CTAGATTCCCGACTAAACTCAAAATCTCCAGACAAACAGCTTATATTCACATCACAGCTGCTTTTGGTTTAATAAAAGCTGAATTAGTAATTAGACTGAACTTGAAATAAATTGTTTGAATTTTAAATCTTTTCTGAATACTAGTAAAGGATCCAAATTGGTGGACTCTGTAAAGTCCAAACCAAAAATGTATTTTGCAATGTATAATAAATGTCTCAACTCAAAACTCTTTATTTATTTTTTTGTAGTAAATAAAGATGGTACTTCGTACTATTATTTTCCTAATAATCACGAAGTCAATATCATTTTACGGCACGTCTATGACCTCATTAAACATTTTTTTAGAAAAATGGCAGGTTGATACATAACGGTTCGCCACCCCTGAATTATAGTAATTTCGCAGTACCCTCTCAATTTTCTATTATTTATGATTTAACAATTAAGAATCTTCCTATTTATATACTTTTCTAAGCCAGTACTTAACTACTACTACGTAGTACTATTATGTATTCTGCAGCTGACTATGGTGAAGCGCACAGACTTAGCGAAAATACATTGTAATCTGATGGATAGAGAGATGCTGGTAACTTATTCCACTCCTTTGCTGTACGCATTACGATCGATAATGTAGCAAACCATTTTTTCGAATGCATGTTATGTCGACAACAAAAAGGTTGAGACTAGCCAAGTGTCTGTTTGTCCGATGGCGGAAGAGAGAGAGCCTGTGTTAGAGGCTGATAAGATTGGTTTTAATCAAATTTGGGTCACCGATAAGCCTCTTAGCACGCCTTTCCATTGAGTCCAAAGATGCTAGGTGGTATTTCAAAAAGTTTCCTGGGTATGGCTCCTAAAATTTTTAATAAACTTCCAAAAAACATCAAAGAAACTGATAACATAGACAAATTTAAGAAATTGCTTTCGAGTTTTTTAATATACAAAGCATACTACTCTATCAACGAATACTTTGAAGATAAAATGAATGGTTTTTAGTACCTGCAATAATTAATGGACAATTTATTTATTATATGTTTATATTTATGTAATTGATAATTAAGATAATAATTAATGTTATTTCTAAACACACTAATAATAATTGAAACTGTTATTTTATTAAAAATTAATTTTCATATTGCCAGGTGATAGGGATAAAAAAATATTTGTATGCCTTTGTAGGCGAAACATATACGTATCATACCTTTTCCACCAAGTTTGTAACTTTTTACCTATGTTTTACAAATAAATTATTTGATTTGATATTTTGCTGTACCACCACTTATATGGCAGTAATACTCCATGCATGACCGGACTTTCGCATTATACGAGTATATCTAGAGTAAGTAGCTGAGCCACTCTACTCGCGGTGTCAAGTGTGGTTGTACAACGAACCTACAACAATCGCACTGCGAGCGCGATGCAAATCAAACGCTCGAAGCGCGCTCGTTCGAGGCTAGTAAGTCGGTCCACACTACACGAATTGGTGCTCGGCTCATGCTCCGCTCGTGCTAGGCTCCTCTAGCGTAGACACCTTAAATTATTCACGAAATTTACAATTAGATTTCATTTTATATAGAGTACCTAGATATAATTTTAATTCATTTTTATACTTTCAATAGCTGTTAATTGAGTAGAAGATATAACCGTATGCTTAAAGTATAATAATTTCGTCCTTACTCAAATTTTACATTGAGGTGAAAGAACGGCGTGAGTGAAACATCAGTCTTTGACTTCCTCGAAATTTTAAATCCACGTCTGCTGCGATTGCACCTGTCCAAGACCGGTTTAACGCGTACTATATTCATGTCTTAAAAAATGGGAATGTATATTGGTACAATCTGTACATCGATAATAAATCTCCCAGCTGTGATTTATCATCTCCTTTTTTAAGGCTTATGACGGTTTTCGTCAATATCAAAATGAGGAAATAAGGATTAAAGGAATAATTAATCTATCGATAACATATGACAATTGACAGTAGATTGTTATCTAATAGTAGATGGTTATCCACCGTTCGATTGCTTTCATTGACTACTCCTAACACACGTTTGTGAGTTCACTTGGAGCGGTAAAAAGGGAATATTTACGTTTATAACATGGCTAGTTTTTAAAAAAAAAAGTTGTAAATCATATATTTTGAAATTCGTCTAAAAATATTGTTTTTTTCTTGACCTTGGTCGTTTACTCGGGCCCAGGATTTGCGAAACACACTTGATGACATTCTACAGAAAATCAAGTTTTTATTTCACAACTTTACTCTTGACAGTCTTCGCGCGAAGTAAAGCCAGTGCCGCTGTTGTAATATGTTATTTACAATAGAATTTCCATTTTACAAGTTTCTGAGAACACGACGCTTATAATTAGAATATATATAATAGAATCAGTCATAGAATATAGAATCATCTAATATATTATAATATAATAGAATAATCTAATATATTATAATAGAATCAGGGATTCAGACTTCATAGTTCATTTTATTATAAATATTTTGTATCCTTATGAGAGCGAAGCCGCTCAGTGCGTTGTCCTCGTCTTCGATGACCTTGCGGCGTTATTGTAGAAGTGGGTAATGAGTGTACATTGGGCTGTGGGTGTCTGCGTTCAACCTGACAAACGGCAATTTTTTTTAAATTTATGACGGAAGCATCGCTATAATACAAGTATCATTGCCTTTCTAGTGGCCATAACGCACTCTTCTAGGTCCAGGGTTCGAATCCTGGGTCGGGTCAAAAAAAAGTTTTTCACCCCCAAAGCACGTAAAGTCGCGGTGCTACTCCTGATCTGTGACAGTTTACTGTCCCAGCGGACTATGAGAGTGGATGAATAGAGAATGCACAGGATTATAGTGTCCAAGTATAAGCTCTATTTACACTTGGTCGCTATAATCCTGTCATGATGTCAGATGGATAGTCTTCGTTGAGACTTGCCGCCGGGACCGAAATTCGGTCTCGAGGACATTATTATTATAACGCAAGTCTGGAAGTATGAGAACAACCGTTCCAAGTGTGGTCTATGTCAATAACAAGGTCATAATATCGTGGACGTCAAATTCATGGTCACAAATGTCAACGCCACGCAAAGCACCGGACGTTGCAAAGAAACATCACCTGTAATGTGTTTCCGTTGCCTAATTTAGAATGAATAATTTAATGAATAATATTATTTAATTCATCATCATCATCATTACAGCCCTTCACAAGTCCACTGCTGAACATAGGCCTCCCCCAAGGTATGCCACAAAGCACGGTCCTGAGCCACCTGCATCCATCGACTTCTTGCATGTCTTACCAGGTCGTCACTCCATCTAGTGGGGGGTCGCTCTACACTTCGCCTACCGGTACGAGGCTGCCACTCGAGAACCTTTTTTCCCCAACGGTTGTCGGTTCTTCGAGCTATATGGCCAGCCCATTGCCACTTCAGCTTACTAATCCTTTGGGCTATGTCGGTCACTCTGGTTCTACTGCGGATATCCTCATTTCTAAGTCTATCACGCAGAGAAACTCTGAGCATAGCCTGAGCAACTTTGAGCGTCCTCATACGGCCAGCAGTGAAGGACCACGTCTCGGTTCCGTAGGTCATCACTGGCAACACGCACTGGTTGTACAACTTTAATTCAATTAAACCAATTTATATTTCTTGAAATATTTACAATAATATGTTATAGTATTTTTATATAGTTATTGGTTGTTTAAAAATAGGTACGTAAGGTTGGTTTCTATAGCGTTAGATTTTAGCTGAAGCTATTTGAGCAACATAATATATAGTAACATAATATAAGTAGTAACATAATAAGTAGTAGAGCTAGAGCCACAACACAAATCTAGTTAGTTACTAGATTTCGTGTTGTGGCTCTAGCTTCGTGGCCCAAATTTAATTGGAACCGTTTTTTCATCATGTTGATGAGAAATGGGGTCTCTAAAATAGTTTAGGGATAATTATCATAAATGTAATGGGGACAGACACCATTATATTTATAAAAAACAATATGCATTTTGATATTAATAGCAGGCATATACAAACCGCTACTAGCCTTTAAACATCAGAAAAATAGTAAAACCGTCAGTAATGCTTTCTCACGTATTAATCACGTGCTGACCGCTAAAGGACATCATCGTGGGGAAATCGAAATTTCTGTGAAATATCTCACGGTAAAACAATATTTCGATAACCTCTGTGGCGTTTTAGCCTGGCGGACTTTTCCTTGTTCTACAATTTTATACAAATGGGACATTTATGCTGTTTACCAAATACACATTAGAATTATTAAACCGTTAAGCAAAATAATTAATTACATAATAAAGCTTAAGAGTAGGTAAACTTCTTGGACAAATTTTGGGTTATCCAATAATTTTTGGTGGTTGTTGAATTTTAAATGGCGGCGTAAGAATATTTGTGGAATATATGTGGCCAATATCGTCCCGTAAGTGTTGTAAGTGACGACGGAGGGAAATAAACTAAGAGACGGGAAGCAGCGTATTCTCAAACGTGTTAGGATAGTGGTCAATAAAAAAATATTTTAATATGTTCTATGGACTTATCTATATTGATTAAATATTATTCTATTCTATTCTATTCTAATAAAAAAACTACTGTGGCAAATATCTCTCTAGTGAATTTTGATAGTCTGTAAAGATCGTCTAAACTACAATACGTCAACATCTATAAGTAAAAAGACGTTTTTTTCATATTTCATTTTCGTTAGCGGAAGTATATTAGTTTCATGTTTCTGAATTTCCTCTTGTTCGGCCCATAAATTAATTTTCATTCCACGTTTGGCAGGCGTACGCTGATTAACGATCGCAGTGCCTGAGTCTCGCACCCTTATGTCTGCTGCCAATCGCTGGTCTGGATTTTTTACATCTGATGTAAAGATATAATTTAACGCCATCTATCGAAAGCTTTTTTCGGTATGATCGCTGGCAGTGGATTCTCTTAATCCACCATTACACGACCATTATTTTTCAATTTATTATTCTTATTAGGTAATGTAGATCTATTTTCAGCTATCTAGAGATTTACAACGAACGAGTACACGATCTGCTCGCTGGCGAGGCGGTGCCAACCATTAGTACCTTCAGCTCATTACCAAGGCGTAAGGGCAACGCTCGCAAAGATCTGCGTGTGAGAGAACACCCTTCTAGTGGGCCATATGTGCAAAGTAAGTTGTATTCTATATTTACTACATATATCGGTTTCTTTTGCTTCATAGTAAAACAAATAAGTGGAGGGTAGTGTAGGTATAAAACCTACCTAAACATAAAATGAGTTCTATAACTTAATAAAATTAGGTTATAATGAAAGATAGTTGTGACCAAAATCACCTAAAAGAATATCATTATAAAATCGCGTAATATGTCATAATTCTATCCTCCGGCAAATTGTACAGAAGTCCGAAGAGTACAATCTGCCACTTTGCCTGGCGTATGTGGATTATGAGCTTTTGATTCCGTCGAAATTTGGGCGGTGCTACAGTCTCTCCAGCGGTGCCAAGTTGACTGCCGGTATATCGAAGTGCTGAAGTGTTTGTACAGTGGGGCTACGAAGGCTATCCGAGTACAGAACCAGAGTACGAAACCTATCCAACTGCAGAGAGGTGTAAGACAGGGTGACGTTATTTCCCCGAAACTCTTCACCGCTGCATTGTAAGACGTTTTCAAGCTACTGGACTGGAAAGGATACGGTATTAACATCAATGGCGAGTACATCACTCACCTTCGATTTGCCGACGATATAGTCCTTATGGCAGAATCGCTGGAGGACTTAAGCACTATGCTCAATGACCTCAATAGTGCCTCCCAACGGATAGGTCTTAAGATACACATGGACAAAACAAAGATCATGTTTAATGTCCATGTCACACCTATGCCGGTAATTGTTGGGAGCACTAAGCTCGAAGTTGTTGACGAGTACGTTTACCTGGGACAAATAGTCCGACTAGGTAAGTCCAACTTCGATCGAGAGGTCAATCGACGGATTCAACTCGGCTGGCCAGCATTCGGGAAATTACGACGCATCTTCTCGTCAGGTATACCTCAAAACATGAAAACTAAGTTGTACAGCCAGTGCGTATTGCCAGTGATGACTTACTGATCTGAGACGTGGTCCTTCACTGCTGGCCGTATGAGAACGCTCAAAGTCACTCAGCGAGCTATGGAGAGGGCTATGCTCGGGGTTTCTCTGCGTGGTAAACTTAGAAATGAGGATATCCGCAGTAGAACCAGAGTGACCGACATAGCTCAACGGATTAGTAAGCTGAAGTGGCAGTGGGCCGGCCATATAGCTCGAAGAACCGACAACCGTTGGGAAAAAAAGGTTCTCGAGTGGCAGCCTCGTACCGGTATGCGAAGTGTAGAGCGACCCCCCACTAGATGGAGTGACGACCTGGTAAGACATGCAGGAAGTCGACGGATGTAGGTGGCTCAGGACCGTGCTTTGTGGCATACCTTGGGGGAGGCCTATGTTCAGCAGTGCACTTGTGAAGGGCTGTAATGATGATGATATGTCATAAAAACCGCATAATTTTGTGAACAGTGTACGTAACTGAATTACAGTCGCAGGCAATTTTTTTTAAATTCCATGGACTACAAGGGCAAGTGACTACTCACGCATCATTGTGAGAAATGTGTTTCCTTCCATTCCATTATACTGCTTCTACAACCTAAATAGAAATAGGCAAGGAGGCGGTACCAATCCAAATGAATTCGAAGTCAAATAAAACAGGGTAAGAGGACGTTCTCTTAAAAAAATACCTGCAATATCTAGAATTGTAGTAGAGTGTTGGAGAATTGGAAGTAGCAGTTTTTCTTGGCAGTGGTGGTTAGGCTGCTTAAAAACTCAAAATATACAAATATATACTTATTAGACTTAGGACTCCTTTATTATTTTATTTTATATTGTAAACACAGATTTACGTCGCGTGTCTGTACGCGATGTGGAGGCCCTGTTGTCTATAGTGGAGGAGGGCACACGTCGCCGCCGTACAGCCACCACCCGACGCAACCCGGAGTCGTCCCGGTCGCACGCCCTACTGGAGCTGTGCACTCCACGGGGTACACTGCATCTCGCTGATTTAGCTGGAAGGTAATAAAATAAAATATTTTTTTTCAAGTATGGCAGTTTTAAGTTTTATAACTGTTAAGAATCTATTGCTTGTTAAAAAAATGGGATGATGGCTTCGCGTGAATATCATTTTTGTTATTTTTTTTCCTTATATTGCTATACCTACTTCTATTCGAATTTCGAACCATTCCGTGGTTGGACTGGTAAAGAATGAAGGCATTAGTCCACCCTTTATATTGTTTTTTTTTTAAATAAGAAATGCAATAAATAATAAATAAATAAAGAAATAACCCTTAAAGTAAGTAGTAAAAAAAATTAAGTGAAATAAAATAAGTATAAGTTCGCATATTAAAAATATGTGTATTTTTGTAGATAATATAAAAGTTTTAAGATCTTTCTGCAGCAAAATCCGTCTGAATGCAGACGTTAGACTGCAGCTGTTTAAACCCGTCTAAAAACGTTACACGTTCATATAGGTTGTTCTTTAAGGTGATTACCACGCTACTATTTATAATCATCGATATATTGTTGTTATTTTTTTCTACATGGCCTCAAAGCTCAATGTCACAAAATAAACATAATAAAGTATTGTTGAACTTAACGACAATTAAGGAACGATATGAGAAAATGAATTTGAAGCGACAGTAGCCTAATGGCAGGGCGCGGACCGCGAACTCAAAAAGGTCGTGAGTTCGAATCCGCCATTCGACTACTGGCGTGAACCACACAAACAATTTAAGCTTTATCACGAGTGGTTAAGGGGAATATTAGTAATGTTTATAGCATTGTTAATATTCTTTTTTAAAACAAAAAAAAATCTCTTACGCTTTTCTCAGAAGACTTATTAAAGTAGGTGTAAGACATTGAGTGGTGGTAATGTTTTAGAAAAAGTATAAGGAGATCTTTGTCGACTTAGTATTTTTTTCTTTGGAGTGGGTTTCAAGGGGGACATATCCTGATGAGTGCTGCTAGACAGCGTTAATATTTATTTTCTTGTGGAGTTAAGTTTTTCCAGGGTGGGCGACTAGACTTTCTATGGAGGCCGTATCTCCCTATTCCTCTTTCTAGCTACGCTCATGTCTTTGTGGCTCAATTATTAAAATTATGCCTATTAATTTATTATGTAATATTCAATACTTTTTGGGTTTTAGTGTTATATTGTTAGAAGTACATTCGTATAGTACGGAAAAATAGGGTAAACGCAGTAGAAACCAATGGCATTCACATTTTTTATACATAACCTTACTTTTAAATAAATAAAAAAGCGTTTAAGAACGAATTTCAAATCATGTGCACCCACCTTACTTTACGCGTAGTAAGAATAAATGAATTTGTAACGCCCTAGACCTTGAAAAGTCCCCTAGATAAAAAATTACTTCTTATTAATGCCATTAGCTTCTCTCTACTTAGTTCTATTTTTATAACCTATTTTTTCTTTAAGGTAAAAAACGTCGCTTGGCATATTTTTGTTCATTTCATTTTATTAAGATAAACCAAATATTGAGTATATTGACGTAAGATTGACGTACAAGGAACTGGTAGGTATGTCTTGTAAGAAATTAAAATAAAACAACGTATTCACATTGACGAGTGGTGATATTGAAGTTGAAGTAATATGTACTTATGTACTAGAACAGCTATTTCAAAACTAGCGCTTATTGTAATAGTAGATTGTATTGTTAAATATTTAAATTATATCGTAGTACTATTATTTATTCTGTGATTATATCGACAAATATATTTATATTGTGTCATTTATTTTGTATATTATATTAGCTTATTTAATATAATATTACATAATATTATATCACAATTACATTTTAGTGATATTTTTATCTGAATATTTTAAAAGGTATCTATGTCAAATATAAAAAAAACTTACAAATTGTATGTTTAACAAAACTTATTAACATAACATTTCAATTACAAATATATTTATTTAAATTAGAATAAGAGTCGTTCATAAATGCTGGACACGCGAGAGTTAAAAATGGACGAATTTATTTCACTTTGACTTTGAAGTGGAAACCTAAAATAAAAATAAAAGAGTAATAAGCAGATTTAAATATGACAAATTTAGCCTAATTGTAATAACTTACATATGTTTCTACAAAAAAATGTGTATCATAATATAGTATTCATCCTATACTTAAGTACCCACAGAAACGTCGCATCTGAACATATTAATTTTATAATCTATATTCCATGACACGAGATGGCGTTTTAGGAATAATTTACATAATAACATATTAGATTGTAGATATTAGACCTTTAACAGAAATAAATAGTAAAAGCGTATTCCCACAGCGAAAAAGCAAGTTGGGAGGGCTGTGGCGGTGGAAGACAGAAAGAAGGCGCAAATATCAACAAATCATTAGTGGCGCTTAGTAACGTTATTTCAGCATTGGGTAAGTGTAGAATGAAATGCAAGTTATTTTACTTATGTTAATACGTAATAAATATTTGTAACGCCTTAATTGAAACTTAAAATGATTAACTTAGGTACTTAACAAACATAGATGTTTTGTTAATTCAACACTTTGGAAACTACGGAAATAATCGCTACAAATTATCACAAAGATGCATTATAAATTAAAAAAGGCCTGCTCTAAACTTCAACATCACATTGAGTAGCTAGTTATATGTGTTTTCACGGATACATTTGCATTTCAAAAAGGAAGAAATGGACTACGCCTACGTCAGGTTCGGGTCGATATTTAAAAAAATATTACCTACGTTGAATAATGATATATTGACATCATTATCAAAAAACACAATTAGTCCTATCATTACTAATTTTTCTTACCGTAAAGCAACACGGGCCATTTCAGTCGCATTTTTTCATTTTTTCTCCAAAAAACTGATATGGATATACATGATGTGACGACGCATTTTATAATTAAAAATAATACAATTTTATATAGAGTTATCTAAAATATCAACGAAGTGCCTAATATTACAACTTAGCTTAGCATTCATTATAGTAAAGATAATGCATTATATATCACGTTTTTTACATTCATATTCTTACATTGTCATCCGATTCTCAGCTATGTTCAAAATTTCAAGTTTCCAGTTCATCGGGAAGTTAGTTTAAAATCAAATACTAAATTCCACCCAAACAGACATACACGAAAGCGAGTTAATAAAAACGTGCTAAAAACACGGCAGCACGCTGTCGTATCGCAATGTTTTAGACATTAGGGAATATTCTAAGTACTAAGGTACGTGAGGGTAATATCGCCACCTTAAGCTTTGCTGACTTATAAAATACAATAACTTTATTTCAGACATCAAGGACTTAAACGTCACGGACTAGCGATATTTTAGGTACTTATAATACAGCTATTTTAATATAAAAATACCCTACACACTGAGGTCTAATCCCCTCCCCCCTCTATTTGGCAGCCATTTTGTTTTTCTCTTGAGATATTCTCTACTCGTTTACGAAAAAAGTCTAAGTTTTAGTCTTACTGAGATAAAATTAACTAATTCGGAGGCCAATAATATTGTTTATCGTTTACATTATCAAAATTTTTGTTGACATACTTGTAACTTTGAAGAAAAAAATTTTACTTCAAATAAATATCAAAAAAATATGCTAATCGGTAAATTATTGTAAATTACTGCAAAAACAACCCCGTTTACCTCATTTTTATACTAATCACAGATTTTGAGTTATGCTACAATGCAACATAAAGTTTACAGCTGTATATTTATTACTTTAAGAATTATTGTTGTTTGAACATGGCGTATGCCCAAACACAAAAGGCCTTTGTTAAGTGACAACTGGCACTGCCTTTTGTGTTTGCGTTACATATAAACACTACAAAACCTGGGAAATCTGGAGTAAAATGTAGATTATGCTACCGAAAAACCAGACCCCACATTTGGCGGTCCCACGCTGGTTACATACGGGTCTCGGCCAACGTCCCTTCTCAGCAAGAGTAAACCCGTCATTATCTTTCTTATTTCGGGTTTCCACAGGAACTGATTTTATTTTCAACACATCAACTAAGAGGAAGACAGAAACAAAAAAAAAAACAAAACCATATACTATAACTGATATATTAAGAAAACAATGGCAAACAAGCTAGGGCAAAAATTAGGAACGCTTCGAAAAATCAACTTAAAAAAACTAACTACACTACACCCTTTATTATTTGATTGATTGATGAAGAGCTTTCGAATCACAGAACCATCTATGCAAACAAGCCTATAAGTTTTGAGTTATAAGAAAGTGACCATATTAGTCGAATGACCGTATTACCCTCACGTACTATATTATATCTCGATATTTTTGGTTCACCTATTTATCCAAGCTGGTGACGCTGAAAAAATCAAGATATTCAAGGCTTAAATCCGATCGTGGATAATGAACTAAATATCTCTTCTCTTTTATAAATATAATCGTATGAATTCAGCCAGCCATACAATTTTAAAATCTAGGTATTTTTGGTTTCAGTAACAGGGGGAAGTGGTCGCAGCAAATTCGTTCCCTATAGGGATTCGGCACTGACGTGGCTTTTGAAAGACTGTTTCACTGGAGGAGCAAATATATTTATTATAGCGAGTAAGTTATTTACCTAGTTGTGTTTATAATCAAGGCGTTTTTTGGTTCGGTTGAGAATCATATACTAAACTAAACCTGCCCTCTAAACCCTAACCCCTACCTGTGAAGGTTTTAAGGCAAAGTTCTCGGTTTCAACAATTTTAATGTGAGCTAGTTTGTTTAATGGTAAATTTTAAAGTGTTTTATTTTCCTACGTTTCAAACATTTTCTTATAGTTGAACACAAAATACTGCACTGAAAGAAGGAAAGAGTAATTGATCGCATTAGGCTCACTTTACATTGCAGCGGAACGTCGCGCATAGCACGCGAAAAAATTGCGCGTATTGGCAAGAATGCTCAAGAATTCTCGCGACTGCGCCTGTAGCCTTGAGGCTATACAGGACTTTCAATTATTTAGTCTAGATCGTCCATTTGACAAGAATGGTAGATTTGGATATTATTTTCATATTGTTCATTTGTGAGGTAGAAAAAGAAGAAAATAAGGAGAAAAGGAAGAATATAAAAAAGAGATGTTTAGGTTCATGATTTATGGAAGAAAAGAAAACGTTACCCTTCGTGTCACTTCCCGCAGATTTCACAGACGGCATCGACAGTAGCTACGGGAATCTCTCACTAATACAAACCTAATACAAACTGATGAATGCGCGAGATATTCCCCGGAAGACGCCCGACTACTTTTTTGACTCATATCTAATTTCCCCGGAAGACGCACGACTTTTTTTTTGGCTCATATCTAGTTTAAACCTTACACAGTTAACATAAAACTCATTATACTATGTACTATTTCGTTACAAAAATTCGCTTCCGTCCCGTTCCGCGGCAATGTATATTGAAACTTAAGGCTTATATCTTAATTTTCAGACAAGGTTATAAAAATAAGTCAACATACTATATACATATATTATTTTATTATAATGACGGCGTTAAACTTTAACAAAGAAAAGAATAAGTTACAATTTAAGTTAATAAAAATGTCTTCAAATAATCTTCTCTCCAAAATTATAACGAGCTTATGGTTAATCAGCAAATAAAATTACAACAACGAAGTTTCCGGCAATGATCGAACAACTATCGTACTGTTCAATGGACATGAACTTAAAGTTCATTTATCCCTTAAAATAATAAAAATCAGATAAATTCATTAGCTTAAACTAGGGCATAGTACCGGCAAATCTCCGTACCGTAAGTGCACTTATGGTAAATATCTCCTATGAATTCAAAAATCCCCCCGCCCCGCTCCCTGAGCTCTCACTATTCATAGCTATGGTGACGATCACCTAAGACAAACTGATCTGGCAATATAATTATAACGCACGCACACTAAACACTGACGGGATGATAATAAGAAGCTGGAGGAGATCCTTGACTCTAGATTCTGGTAGAGATTCTTGATTCTAGATTCTGGAAGAGATTCTTGATTCTAGATTCTGGAAGAGATAGACAAGTTGCGCTAGGGTATTATATTTGATTTTTATGATGATGATTTTCTCAGATCCCAAGAAAGGGAGAGGACACGGTTATCCTCGACACCGGCAACTTGTTTTATTTTAAATTATTTGAGCAAACCAACTTACTTGGTGGTAGGGCACTTGTATCCCTGAGAGTCCGTTTGATAAGAACCAACTTCTTAAACCGACAATACATGTTGGCCAAGCCTCAACCAATGCGAGCGTAGGCAAATTGATACAAGGCGTGTGCTACAGTCTACATGTTGGTAAAGTTTTTTTTTTATAGAAGAGGGGGCAAACGAGCATGCAAGGCTGCACGATGTTAAAAAGTGACTACCGCCGCCCATAATCAACCGCAACACCAGGGGAATTGCAGGTGCGTTGCCGGCCCTTTAGAAAGGAGTACGCTCTTTTCTTGAAGGTCCCCAGGTCGTATCGGTCCGGAAAAATCGCCGATGGTAAACTATTCCACAGAGAGGTTGTACGCGGAAGAAAACTCCTCTTGAAACGTACAGTGGTGGACTGCCAAGCATTCAGATGGTGTGGATGGTATCGGGACGTTTGCCGCGTAGTGCGTTCACGAAATTTGGCGGCTGGGATTAATCCGAACAATTCCTCAGAACACTCTCCATGGTATATGCGAAAGAAAATGCAAAGAGATGCAACATCTCTTCGCAGTGCCAGTGAATCGAGCCGATCGGAAAACACTCGGTCGTCGACGATTCGAGCCGCTCTGCGCTGGATGCGGTCAAGTGGAAGGAGCTGGTACTGGGGAGCCCCAGCCCAGAGAAGGGAACAGTATTCCATGTGCGGCCGAACCTGCGCCTTGTAAAGTTGCAGGCGGTGTGCCGGCATGAAATACTGTCCCGCTCTGCTGAGCACGCCAAGCTTTTTAGAGGCCAATTTGGCCTTCTCTTCCAAGTGACCACGAAACTGCACGTCACTCGATATGTCGACGCCGAGGATTCGATACTGGCTGAGGCAACAAGGGGAGTGCCTTGAAACTGACAAAGGGGTTCTTTTTAGCGGTTAACGCGCGAACTTGTGTCTTCTGGGGGTTAAACTGCACTAGATTTAGTCGCCCCCAACGCCGAGACTCCGTCCAGCAAAGACTCGACTTCAGACACAAGTTTGTCCGGGCACTCGGAGACGTTTTCACGAGAAATATTGGCTCGGCCAGTGTAAAGAGCGTCACCAGTGCTGTCATCTGTATAGCAATGAATGTTACGGGTTTGCAACATATCATTGATATGCAGAAGAAACAGCGTTGGCGATAGCACGCAGCCTTGTGGAACACCAGCATTAATAGGCTTGCAATCGGAGCTTGCACCGTCTACAACGACCTTAATGCCCCGATCTGCAAGAAAGCTGGTGATCCAATCGCACAATTTCTCGGGAAGCCCATAGGATGGGAGCTTCGAAAAGAAGCGCTTTGTGCCAAACCTGACGATCGAAGGCCTTCGCAATGTCCAAACTAACGGCCAATGCCTCCCCCTTCGACTCTACTGCCTCCGCCCATCTGTGAGTTAGGTAGACCAGAAGATCACCAGCAGAAGTTTGAATGAGTGCACATACTGACATGGCCGACTAACATGTGGACACGACTTGCCGAGTGCGAGGCGAGCGCCTTTGATTTGTGCAGAAAATCCGATACTGTTTGAAGTGAGACGAGTCGTGGCGAGTGATCCCGAGTGGTGGCAAGGCACACCAAATGAACCGTATGCACGTTGGCGCTTGCCTACACTCAGCCAACAGGGCGAGCGACGACGAGCAATGGCGAGGCTAGAGAAATGGAGTGTCTATTCGTCTTTACCTATTTCTGTCACCAAACTGCGTAATGCCGGTCTGAAGGATAGAGTCAGTATAATTACTTAATCCTCAGTGAAGGCTAGAGATGCGTTATTGATAACAATCAACACCGCATCTGTAACCTACACTGTAATCTTCTCTGTTTGAAGTTGACTAGTGGCAACATGGTCTGCAGTAGCCGCTTACCATGTAGTGGGCTCTAAGTTTGGTTGTCATTTCACTTTTATAAAGAAAAAAAGAAAAATGAACCTGATAACTAGATTTTGAGTACGCTACGTTACAGTTCCTTACTCCATTGACTAATTGCCGCCGGGTCTCTAATAATCGCAAAAACAGTGATAGGTTGCACACACGACATAAAAAGAAGTAATTTTTGAGAGATTGAATTTTTAGTAAGATTTAATTTAATAAAATTAGATCTACGTGAATTGAATGCCTAAATACCTCTATATATTATAACTGATCGGAAGGGGATGGTATTTAATGATCGCATATAACGTTATTTCGTAATTGACTGATAAGGTTAAAAACTTGTATGTAAACACTATCATTAATCTTTGCAACGTCAGCGTCAAACTATTATAATAAAACGAAACAGCAACTGACATTGGTTCATTATAGCATACAGTGATAACTTGAATAATTACCAAAAAAACAGAACGGCCATATCTATTCCGTTCATTCAATTACTTTCAATTACGATGAAAATTTAATGTCGAATATTCATTATAAAAAAAGCAGTTGGAATGCATGCCGGCTACAGCTAGTCTAAATTAAAAATATTTTTTAAGAAATCACTTTTAATAAATACCAGCTACATATTAGGGTGTCTGGGAATGGTAAAATCATTTAATTATTATGCCACGCTCACGAAATATGTAAAGATTTTTTTTTTAAATTGGGTACATGTAGTCTAAAACGAATTCTTAAACAATTAAAAGCTTAAATATATGCAAAACTCCATTGAAATTCTTTGTCTTATCTTCAATATGATATTTTCAATATGGTAGTATTAGGTATATTTAAACAATATGAAAATTACGTATATTAGAAAAATATAAAAATAAAAAAAATAAAATATATTATAAAAATATAATTCGAATATACGTTATAGTATACAATTTTTTTAGCTGGTTTTTCACAAATATTTCGAATATTGCTCATCATAAAAAATATAATACCTATTATAGTAACCATATATTTATGATAATTTAATGAAAGTATATACAGATAAATAACTCTGTATTTAGCTTCTGATGTTCTATATTCTGATGGCGATATAAACAAAATGTGCTCAAAGCACACAGCAAAGGAGCACAGAGTCCACCTGATGGTAATTGGATGTTGTGGCCATAGACATCTACATTAATCCTCGACATCTAAATTAAAGAATCAGAACGCAGATGCGTTGTCACCACTGAACACTTGGATGGAATGCCTCGTTTCCAGTAAAAAGGGTCTCCGGATCTCTACACTCACCATACGAAACACAGCAGTATGAAGCTGCTATTTTACGCTGGTATTCTGTGAGTAGGTAGTTTCTCATAGTCGCTTTTCAAGGTTATTATGATACCACTGTACAGAAAAATTCCCTATACTACAATATAACACAATAGATATAATGTAAATTTGTTATAGATTATCGAAGATTATTGTTATTCAAAAAAAAATCTCAAAATATAATTTGTATATATTTATTTGAAGCGATTGTTTAGAAAAGTAGCAAATGTTAATGTATTTTATTTATGTTCCAGCTGTGTCACCAAGTTTTGCGTGTTACGGTGAATCAGCTTCCACACTTCGTTGGGCAGCTCAAGCTCGTCGGTTGCAGGCTCCAAAGATTACATCTGTGACAGATGTGGTCTCCAAATGTGCTCTTAAAGCACAGCTCAATCGCTTACTATCTGAACTAGAAAAACACCACATAAGATATGTAATAAACAATTTATATCTCGTATTATTTCAACTTTCATTTTAAGTCGGTCATAATAGTCATGCGGTAATAATGTTAAGTAACGAAACTATTACGTGTAGTATTCGAGAGTAAAATAGTCTAAAGAAATCTAACAAATTTATGCAATTATAATTGTAGTAAATGTAGTTGTGATTTTTTGCAGATACCTGAAAGTGGAAAAATAACCTATGATGACAGGCATTGGATGTTAGAAGCTAAGGATAAAAGTATCGAAATTGGTTTATCAAATACAACAACGAAAATAGGCAACATAATGAATAATATATTGCATCCGAAGCCTGAACCTGTAAATTTAGAATCAACAAATTTATCAGTGGCCAGTGGAAGTTTGGATGTTAATAATGTTATAGACAAAAATACAAAAATAGTTAATGAAATTACAAAGGAAGTTGATAAATTATTTGGCCCTACTTTAGAAAGAACTAGAAGTGGTAGTGTTTTGGAAGTTATGACCCCAATAAAGAGACAATATGGTTCACAAGAAGTGCTGCCTACTGGGAAGCCTTTGCACGGTGGAAACATTGAATCCTTTTCTAATATATCGCAAAATGTAAATGAAAAGGATGATGACAAAGGTACCATTGCAACTATAAGCCCCATGCCAATTTTTTATAAAAACCAAAGAGCAGATATTGTTGCTTCTGTTACTGAAAGATTGTATTCGAAATTTAAAAAAGAAGACACGGTTAACAAAATCGACTCTATGGTTGAGAAAAAAGTTATGCAGCCTTTAAGCGAATTGAAGATTTGCACTAATGCTCGCCAACGTTTCACGGAAATAAGTCAAAAAGCAATGAGGAACAGGAAAAGACTAGGTGTACCAGCCCACACACAAACAAGGAAGACAGTGATACGAGTTAAAGATCGAGGAATCGACGTTCAAACGGATCTAGAACCGTTTATTAAACAAAAAGATAATATGGTTGTGCTATATCGAGACGTTAGTACTGAAACAATTCCTATGACACCCAGATGCAAAGAAGTAGCAGTAGGTGATGGTTATTTAAGTTATCATGATAAATCTACAACGATGGAGCTTAAGAGAATATTTAAGAAAAGTACCAGTGTAATGACCGATGCCACATCAAAAAGAACTACTTGCACCCAAACTCAAGTGATTCCCACTCCAAGAAGAAGGAAAAAGTCTCTTATGAACTCAAAACTACATTATCAAACTGATAATAAGCAAAAATGTGTAGAAAATTCTTTAACCTCTCCAATTATTAATATAAAAATATCACCTATGTATTCGTTGGATTCCGATACACTGAGTTCTACTGAAAGTTCAGAAATTGGATGTGTCAACGAAAATAAAAGTTTTAAAACTCCTGAACTCTTTACAAACCGTATTGGTACTGAGACTTCAACAGGATATCAACAGAGAATTTTGGAGCCACCTAAAGAACAAAACTCTGAAAAGCATATAAAGGAGTTGCCTTTATCACCAGAATACCCCAGTAAAATTTATAAAGATTTCTCAGATGATGAAGCTTATCCATTACCCCGTGTTACTACAGATTCTACAAATAAAGTTGATTCTGATGATATTAAAAATATGATTTTGGGACGCAATAAAAACGAATATCCATATAATGTAGTATTATCTCCAATAAAGAATAAACAACGGATAGAAAGAACCATAAAATTTAAAGATATAAAAAGTAAAGAGGTCGCTAAATTCAATGATATGTATTCAGATAATAAGGATTTAAAAAATGAATATAGTTGTAAAAATGATTATTCAGACGTCTTTTCAGATGATTCAGATTCATCTAAATTAGAGACAGCCTCCTTTGTTTGGAATACGAAAAATCTAAATAAATATGACATAACACCAATTCATCCGGGCAAATCTTGCACCTCTTTGCAGAATAATAAAGCAAACTTTGAAAATGATAAGACCAAAGATTTACTTCACATGGAAAACGACGATACTTTGGACATTGACTCTCACAGTTCATCGACCGAATGTTATAAAAGTAATAGAAATATTCCTATCGTAAAGAAGTATACTACATTTAGTAAATGTGGAAATGAAACAGATAAAAGTGATTGCTATGAATGTATCGAAAATAAAATGGAACAGACTTGTCAAAAATTAGAAAAAGTGGCTAGTAGATATGAGGATTATTTGGCGAATCATTGTAGAGATAACCAAAACGCTCACATACGAAGTCCCACCGAATATTTACAATATTTAGTACAATTAAGAAGAGAAGTCGTGAAAGAATCTCTAAGTACATGTAGTACAGGAACAATATTGTCTGATTAGAAGGTTTTCCCTTATTCGTATGATTTTTTTACTATTTTTAAGTTTATAGTCACGTTTATTTTCTCTTTTATAGTATAATTGTGTGTGTATTAAATGATGAATCTTGTCACTATTAACATTTTTGTATGAATTTTAGTATATATTTTGAGCTGCATAAAAGTGCTTAGAAGTTTTAATGAAATAGTGCTTTATTTGTCATAATATGATATTACTCAACTTCATTAACTAGCAGGGTAGTTCCGTATATCTTCCTTGTTCTTTCACTTGATAAAAAATGTGATAAAAATAATTGAAACAGATAGATGAATATATAACTCTTAATTGTACAACAAAACAAAAAATATTTCAAGTGTCACAAAAGGATGATCTTATCGCTAATAGCGATTTCTTCTTCTAGGCAGCCTTTGGATGGACAGGATCGTAAAAAACAGAAAATTGTGTGGTTTGGTAATGGAATAAGAGAATATTTATAAATATATCTGTGTAATATACAGAAATAAATAAAATCTAAATACATGAAAATACGTTTATATACTATACGAACTCATAGATTAAGATATTGATTGTGTACATGCTTATGAAAAACAGATAGAAGGATCGATATCAAGCAAAGAGTTTATATAATATTCAATAAAATGAAATATAAAATAAATATAATTCAATTATAATGTACCTTAGCAAGTATTAAATAATGTACAGTATAAAATGTATTTCTGTGTTTATAATATATATGTGTGTTTGTGTTGTATATGTATGTCTTATATACTGAACAATGGAAGCAATGCCCTATGGAAATGGACAATTGAAGCCTGCTTTTTGTACGCGTTCAAAGTTTCAAGTTCGGCGGGAAAGGTAATGGCATCTGTTTTTTGGGACGCTCAAGGCATAATTATGATGGAATATTTGGAAAAGGGAGCCACTATTGTGGGCTCTTACTACGCAGACCAAATAAGAAGATTACAGGAGGCCATTAAGGAAAAAAGACGCGGCAAACTGCGAGCTGGAGTGCTGTTTTACCTAGACAACGCACCGGCTCACAAAGCCGCAGTTGCGATGGCTGCCATTCAAGAAACGGGATTCGAACTGCTCGAACACTCTCCCTATTCGCCAGATCTAGCTCCTAGTGACTTCTACCTCTTTCCTCGGCTCAAGGAACACCTCCGAGGCAAGAAATTCGGAGACGATAGCGAAGTAATGGCCGCTGTTGAAGCGTTTTGGGAGGGTCAAGACAAATAATTTTTTTTAAAGGGAATCCTGGATTTAGAAAAAAGATGGACTAAATGTATTGATTTCGTACTCGTACCAGTATCGGGATGCACCTGCTTGAGCACTTTGTAGATGTAGATGGCGTAACTCTCCTTCCTCTTGTGCTTCTTCTTCTTCTTATCGGACTTGGAGATGTTTTTCTGAGCCTTGCCAGACTTCTTAGCGGCCTTACCACTGGTCTTCGGCGGCATCTTGGATAATATTCAATATTATACCTGTACACTGTGAACTGTCAACGCAGAAGTTTGCCTACACTCTCAGAAATATAATCCTGACCTGTAATTCGGTTTAGGGGACTTTATTTTCGTATAACGTAGTCTGGTCTGATAATTATCCTTTTCATTGTGTTTATAATAAGATATGGCTAGTTTGCGAGTAAAATTGACAATAGAGTCCGCAATTTTGATTTTTACGAAAAGTTCAATACTTACTGTTAATAATGTTAGTTAATACTGGCTGAATGACAAGGACAATTACGGGAAATAATTATTTTTAATGGTTTATTTTCGTTATTTGTTATTGAAATTTTGTGAAAATGAGCGTCATGATAAAGTACTTTGCAAAAAGTCTTTTCTTAAACTGTAAAAGTAAAGGAGATATTTTTGAAATTTTGTGTATTTTTATATGCCGTTGTTAAATAGGGTCACCTTATTCACATTGCAATTGCAAATTTTAAAGCATTGTGAATGTTGTTTTCAAGAAAGATAAATATTTGTCTAAACATTGCTCGTACTTGACCGATTTTAATAGCCGCTCGGTAAGCTCGTAAGATTACGTGGTAAAACACGTTAATGTCAATCCCTTTCGTATATTTCTTTAATAAAAACTATTATTGATATTATCTATTTAAACCTTTACAAAGTGTGAAAAATAGTGATCGCTTTAAAGTTATTTAACATTACTAATGCAATTTCGGTTGTTTTGCTTACGACCTTAGGTGACTGTATTTTGGAACGGACGGTCGTTTCTTATGCACTGCGTTGCCTTTAATACATGAGTTGATGTTGAAAGAACTGGCTTGTGTGTGTAAAATTTTAAATCGCACAAAGTTATTGCTATAACTACGGCTAGTGGGTGAAGTGAAGTGAAGTGAATAAAGTTGAAAATGTATTTATTAATTTTAAAACTGCTAACAAAGGAATTTATAGCTTTATTCGTAACAATATTAATTTTGATTTATTTATGGTTTAAATATCAGTATTTGTATTGGGTTAAAAGGGGTGTTTTTGCACCCCAATCCGTGGTACCTTTTGGTAACGTGAGGAATGTGATTACACGAAAGACGCAGTTTTTTCAACCTTATTGTGATAATTATTTTAAATATAAACATTTGCCGTATATCGGCATGTATTGCTTTCATCGACCAGTGTTAAGTATACATGATCCAGATATAATAAAACATATATTGATTAAGGATTTCGATTATTTTCAATCGCATGGTATATTTTCTGGAGGCGTTGGTGATCCACTAGCAGGGCATTTGTTCAACCGGCATGGAGATATTTGGAAGAGCTTACGCTTGAAGATGTCGCCTTCCTTTTCTAACAACAAGTTTAAAACCATGTACCCGTTAGTGGAGAAAATAGCAAATGAAGCTTTAGCGTACGCAGATCTACTGCATTCTAACGGAGAAGCAATAAATTTCTCTAAGTTCTACGAAAAGTATACGATGGAGATTATCGGTAGTGTTGGATTTGGAGTTGAATGCAACAGTTTCAAAAATGAGAAATCTGAGTTCTGTGTCCGTGGACACGAATACTTCGAACCTCAGTCATTGTATTGGTAAGTTAATATCGTTCTTGACAAAAAATTCTGTACCTCTACAATTCGTAATATTGTGTGTAATGGTTATCACTTCTATCTTTTTAATTTTCTATTCTTTTTGGAGCCATGTAGTTCACTAGACCATTGAGCATAGAAAATAATATACCAGGATTAATGCTGAACACTCGTATTAAATTATGTAGTACACTACGACCACTAAAACTATAAATCACAATTATAATTGATTTTCCACGTGTTCGATGGTCGAGGCAAGCATCATGAGGAAATCTGTATACTACGAGAAAAAAATATTCCGAGGGAATTGTAAAGGCCGCCGAAATACTGTAGGTTTATTTATTTCTAGTTTATTCACCATAAATATATAATATACTAATAAATCAGTCTCTCAAATCGCCAGAAAAATTATTCAAGTATAGGTTTTTTAATTGTGTAATTGTTTTATAAATTAGGAAACTAAGACAGCGCGATTTTAGGTTAAGGATTTACCATCGAAGCTTTTAGCATCGCTTACCACCAGGAGGTAATTAATAGGCGGCATTGGCTTATGATAAAAAAAAAACTTATGATAAAAAAATATAAAACTCAAAAGTACACTCTTTTTTATTCATCATAAGTCAGTGGCACCTACCACCTGGTGGTAAGCGATGGTGAAACCTTAGGTAGTAAGTCGCACTGTCTTAGCGTAACAATGGACTATTCTGCGTGGCTAAGTGTTTGTTGCGCACTGCAGGTCACGGGCTCGTATGTAGGATATATGACATAATTTTTATAACATACGGTCTATAAATAATTGTTCTGGACTAGGATGTTTGTCTGTGCACATTTTATGAATGTAAAACAGCTTGACTATAGTGAAATTTAAAGTAAACCCACAGCTTAAAGTTTTTATCGTACTGTGTGAAGTAAATTATTAATCGAAAAATGTTACTCATACATTTTTCGATTAATAATTTACTTCAAAGTTTCTTATTGTTTCGGCTATATGTCCGTGTCCCTGAGAATGGTGAATGAGAAATATGGAAATATCATGAATCTTGGTAATAATGTGGTCAGTGGCATGAAACATTAGTTGCACAAAGCCTAGGCTTGACCCGTTGTAGGAAATTTACGATACCTTCTCCTTTATAGTACTTGACACGAATTCTTCCAAAAATTACAAGAGAAGACATTATATTGGATGATTTTTTTTACGTCAGGACAAAAATAGGGTGAACAGGTGAACGGAATAGAGGCCTAAGGCATTGATATTTTACATTTTTTTACATTATATGAAGTGTATCTATCAATAAATACTACCAATGGGTGCGTATTGTTTTAATTTCGATAGTTTTTAATTGATTTAAGTATTAATTTAGTTCCAAACTTTTGTTTTTATTTTTTATTATAAATAGTTAATTTCAAATGTGTGGTATTTATTGACAGTTCAATTTCATAATATGTTAATGTAAAATAAAAAAACATTGTAAAATATCAGTGGTATAATCGTCTATTCCGTTCACACCCAAATTTTTCCAGACGGTAAAAAAAACATCCAGTATAATTTTCGTAGTGCTATTTATCAACCGGAATGTGAGATACCTATACGATATTTATTTGGACCTTCTTCTTCTGCTATACCTACCCGTAACGCGTGATACTAAATCTTCTTCTTTTCTTCTTCATCAGTTTTTACCCCCCGTTCCAGTCTCCCATTGTAAGAAAGATTTGCTTGGACCACCGCGCTTCGCAGACGGAGTTGCGAACGTAGTTTTTTTTATTATTTTGAGTTCTTATGAGGAAAATGCTGCCGTCCATCTCTCGTTTAATTAATTTAAGTTTTTACTAAAAGTTTTCTTCCTAGTCCGAGCTCTCTGTGGAATCGTTTACCACCGTCAATTTTTCCGAATCGATACGACTTCAAGAAAAGAGCTTACTCCTTTCTCGCACCCCTGGTGTTGCAGTTGCTTATGTGCGGCGGTAGTCACCGCTAGGTGAGCCACGTGCTCGTTTGCCCTCTCCTCTATAAAAAATACATGCGATAATTTGATACAATTGAGTTCCATGACCCATAACTTTGCCAACAAACAACTGACATAATATCCAACTAAAAGCTTCTCTCTTACTCGCAATTTTTTGTCAAGTTGTGTGGTCCCTGATATTACATATTTGGATGTCCAATTTTCTAATTTAACCACATTTTTGTTTTATGTTAATTTTAATTTAAAATGTAATTGATGTAATTGTTAATGTTTTTACAATAATGATTATTCAATGATCAAATAATGTCGCTCCAGCGAGTATAAGTATGTTTACATCTGAACAAGTTCAGATTTCATCTATGTCAGATAGATTAACTATTTTAAGTAAATCTTTTGTTTCTCAGGGAAATAAATGTTTTAGTCTTGTGAGAAATAAATTTCTTAAACCACATACCTTAGATAGTTTTTTATGGTTACTGTCGAAATTAGTGTCCAATTACATTCTTTTTAAATGTATCAATTATGGTGATATTATTTGGTTCGGAATAGCCGCGTCGTCTTTGCTGTTTGTACCCAGACGTTTAAGATGATCTTAGGTCTGTCAAAAAAAAAAAAGGAATACATAATGAATGCTGGGAGTGAATTAAACCTTAGCTATAGTAATATTTATTATAAAATAATATACAGTATTAAGCCGTGGTAGCTCGGATGATTAGCGCTCGCTGTAAATTTCACAGTACGCGAGCAAACCGGGTTCGATCCCCGCCGGCACCAATGAAATTGCTAATTGCAATTTTCAGTGCTGATTTACCACGTGCTCGGCGGTGAAGGAAAACATCGTGAGAAAACCTTCATGTCTGGGAAATAAGAAAACAATTCGAAGACGTGAAGTTCGCCAACACGCATTGGGGCAGCGCGGCGGTCACTTCCTTTCCCTAATACCCTCTCAGAAATGAGGGGAGGCCTGTGCCCAGCAGTGGGATGTAGATAGGCTGTAACTTTAACTTTAATATACCGTGGCGTGGCTAGTCCTTGCCGCCGTGTAGTGGCGGTTAAGAATATCCACTACCCCATATCTTCCCGTGGGTGTCGTAAAAGGCGACAGAGGGAGACAGGCAGGAGATGGGCAGCAGCATCTTCCTGATAACAGCAACTGTACGATAAAAAAAAAAACTGCGGTTGCCAACCCGCTCGCCAAGCGTGGCAACTATGGCAATATACCCCCCATGAACAATTACACAAATAGACGGCCCCCAGTCCCCGGCGGCTCCGCTATTCCTGGCTACGGTGGCGACCATGGTAACGGCGGGGCAGGGGGTGCTAAGAATCTCCGGTGGAGGTTCGGTTGCCACCTACGACGACTCGACCTGGCAACATTTAACGCACGCACACTGAGGACTGACGAGAAGATCCTGGAGCTGGAAGAAGAGATAGACAAGTTGCGCTGGAGTATTATAGGATTATCCGAGGTCCGAAGAGAGGGGGAGGACACTGTGATTCTCGAATCCGGCAACTTGTTCTATCACCGGGAGGGCGACCATCTGTCCCAAGGAGGTGTCGGATTTATCGTCCACAAGTCTCTCGTCAACAACGTTGTAAAGATTGGGAGTGTGTCGACGAGGGTCGCGTACCTGATACTCAGAATCACCAAACGGTATTCGCTGAAGGTCATACAGGTTTACGCACCAACCTCGGCACATTCCGATGAGGAGGTGGAGGAAATGTATGAGGATATTTCCAAAGCCATGCATTCCTCCAAAACCCACTACACGGTGTTGATGGGAGACTTCAACGCAAAACTAGGCACAAGAGAAAACGGTGAGCTGAAGTTAGGGAAATTTGGAATAGGGCAACGGAACCGAAGGGGCCAGCAGCTGGCCGACTTTATGGAGAAAGAGGGACTCTTTATGATGAACTCTTTCTTCCAGAAGCGGCCCCACAGGAAGTGGACCTGGTCGAGCCCCGACGGTTCGACAAAAAAAAAAAAATGAGATTGACTTCATTATGACGACCAGACGCCAACTGTTCAGTGATGTCTCAGTGATCGCAAGGGTGAAAACTGGCAGCGATCACCGAATGGTTAGAGGCACACTGAACCTAAACGTTAAGTTGGAGAGGTCTCGTCTAATGAAGTCAACGCTCCGTCCCCCCTCGTGCTCTAATCCAGAATCCCGAAAACTTTCAGCTCGAGTTACACAACCGCTTTCAGTGCCTACAAGATTGCAATGCAGTGGACGATATGAATGACAAGCTCGTGGAAACTGTCCATGCGGTCGGAGCTAAGTTCTGCAAGACCCGCCGCAGAAGAACACAAAAACTCTCCGATCACACTCTTAATCTCATGGCTGTTAGACGGGAGATGAGGCTGCAATCGTCAACAGATTTGACAGCGTACAGGCAACTGAATAGACAGATCTCCAAATGCATGCGGCGAGACTTACGCAACTTTAATACTTCTCGTATTAAAGAAGCGATCGAGCGGAACCAGGGCTCCAAAGTCTTTGCCAGAGATCTGTCTGCCAGAAAGAGCCAACTGTCAAGGCTGAAGACTGAGTGTGGCAACATCGTTTCCGGGACACCTGAGATTCTGAGTGAGATTGAGAGGTTCTATGGGCAGCTGTACACATCATCGTTGGAGCCACACTCAAGTGTGAGTAACGATCCAAGAGCAAGTCTTATCCGACACTATTCCGATGATATCCCGGACGTCAGTCTGAGCGAGATTAGAATGGCTCTCCAACACCTTAAAAACGGCAAGGCCCCGGGCGAGGATGGAATTACAGCGGAGCTTCTGAAAGCGGGTGGAACACCGGTACTTGAAGTCCTTCAGAAGCTCTTCAATTCCGTCCTCCATGGTGGCACTACTCCAGAGGCGTGGAGCAGAAGTGCGGTGGTCTTGTTCTTTAAGAAAGGCGACAACGCTCTCTTGAAGAACTACAGACCGATTTCCCTTCTGAGCCGCGTCTACGTGCTGTTTTCGAGAGTCATTACGAATCGTCTCGCAAGCAGACTCGACGACTTCCAGCCTCCCGAACAAGCCGGTTTCCGAAAAGGCTTCAGTACCATAGACCACATACATACCCTGCGGCAGATTGTACAGAAGACTGACGAGTACAATTTGCCACTTTGCCTGGCGTATGTGGACTATGAGAAAGCCTTTGATTCCGTCGAAATTTGGGCGGTGCTGCAGTCCCTTCAGCGGTGCCAAGTTGACTGTCGGTATATCGAAGTGCTGAAGTGTTTGTACAGTAGGGCTACGATGGCTATCCGAGTACAGAACCAGAGCTCGAAACCTATCCAACTGCAGAGAGGTGTAAGACAGGGTGACGTTATATCCCCGAAACTCTTCACCGCTGCTTTGGAAGACGTTTTCAAGCTACTGGACTGGAAAGGATACGGTATTAACATCAATGGCGAGTACATCACTCACCTTCGATTTGCCGACGATATAGTCCTTATGGCAGAATCGCTGGAGGACCTTAGCACTATGCTCAATGACCTCAATGGTGTCTCCCAACGGATAGGTCTTAAGATGAACATGGACAAAACAAAGATTATGTTCAATGTCCATGTCACACCTATGCCGGTAGTTGTGGGGAGCACTATGCTCGAAGTTGTTGACGAGTACGTTTACCTGGGACAAATAGTCCGACTAGGTAAGTCCAACTTCGACCGAGAGGTCAATCGACGGATTCAACTCGGCTGGGCAGCGTTCGGGAAATTACGACACATCTTCTCGTCAGGTATACCTCAATCTCTGAAAACTAAAGTGTACAACCAGTGCGTGTTGCCAGTGATGACTTACGGATCTGAGACGTGGTCCTTCACTGCTGGCCGTATGAGGACGCTCAAGGTCGCTCAGCGAGCTATGGAGAGGGCTATGCTCGGAGTTTCTCTGCGTGATAGACTCAGAAATGAGGATATCCGCAGTAGAACCAGAGTGACCGACATAGCCCAACGGATTAGTAAGCTGAAGTGGCAATGGGCCGGCCATATAGCTCGAAGAACCGATAACCGATGGGGAAGAAAGGTTCTCGAGTGGCAGCCTCGTACCGGTAGGCGTAGTGTAGGGCGACCCCCCACTAGATGGAGTGACGACCTGGTAAGATATGCAGGAAGTCGATGGATGCAGGTGGCTCAGGACCGTGCTTTGTGGCATTACTTGGGGGAGGCCTATGTTCAGCAGTGGACTTGTGAAGGGCTGTAATGATGATGATGATGATGATGGCTAGTCCTTGCTCTGTACAAATAAAATATGGGTTTGTCAAGCTTTTCTTATTTTTTTTTCGTGGTAGAGCCATGCTGCAGCTATATTACGATGTAGCACGAATGTGTCGGCTCGACCGGGGCAGGACCACGCTCTCACAGAATACCAGAGTAAAATAGCAGCGTAATGCTGCTGTGTTTCGTATGGTGAATATAGAGAACCGGAGATCCGTTTTGCTGGAATCGAGGCATTCCATCTTAGTTCTCAGGGATGACAACGCATCTGCATTTTGATTATTAATAGAGGTTAAATGTAGATGTCTATGGGCCACAGCATCCACTTACCATCAGGTGGACTGTGTGCTCGTTTGTCATTCTTATTATATAAAAAAAGTTCAACTACACTTATAGTCTGCCACAAAATAAGGATATTTTTTATAATTTATGGATTTTTTGCTCAAATTTTAGTTGTCTATATAATATCAATCAATTTTGGAACTTCGAATAACACATAACCTCAAAAACAAATACATAATTTTACTAAGTAAATATACGAACAGTGGCACAAAACACAATTACTCTCTATCGAGAGGACAGTGGTTATCACAGGGTACGGTACAAATCATTGACAGGACTTAGGAATCATTTTCCTTTCCTGGGCACGTTCCTCCTATCTTGCAAGGAAACCGCTTATATGATGTGAAATAAAATGTGAAAATTATTAAATATATTTTATGTGTCCTCCCAGTCAGTGTCCGGCTACTAGCAGAGCACATCAGGAAGAAACTACGTTACATTTTTTATTTTGGAATACTTTACTGTTTTTATTTATGGTTAACTAAAAAAAAGAAAAAATAATAATTCTAATGTTACAGGACATTTACACGCGCTATGGCTTTTTTCGCACCGGACTTATTTAACAAATTAAGAATCAGACGCATTAATCCAGAAATCATTGATTTCTTCTACAATTTGGTTAAACAAATTGTTAATTATCGTCAAAACAACAATTACAAGCGAAACGATTTTCTCCAGACGCTCATTGAGTTAAAAAACGACGACTCAATTGATAACGAAGGTATGTACTATACTATGTAATGGTAGTTAAATTGTAACTATAAGTAAATTTAGTTGAGAGAATCTTTTTTTATTATTTTTAAAATCGTTACCTCTACACTAAGATTTTCTTCTGAACTGTAGAGGCAGTTTACTAACATAAATTGCACAAGGACTTGCTTCGTGCGGGATTCGAACCCACTGCCGTCAATCCATCACAACATTTCGTCCCGTGGGTGTTGTAAATAGTGACGAAAAAGTATATAATCACTACGTTTGTACGTACGTGCGGGATTTGAACCTGCGGTCCACAACGATGCAACTCATTGCTAAGCCACTGCTACACAGAGTCGTCAATCCATGACAATACTTCATCCCGCAGATGTTGTAAATGGTGACGAAAGAGTATATAATCACTACGTTTGTACGTACGTGCGGGATTTGAACCTGCGGTCCACAACGCTGCAACTCATTGCTAAGCCACTGCTACACAGAGTCGTCAATCCATCACAATACTTCATCCCGCGGATGCTGTAAATGGTGACCAAAGAGTATATAATCACTACGTTTGTACGTACGTGCGGGATTTGAACCTGCGGTCCACAACGCTGCTACTCATTGCTAAGCCACTGCTACACAGAGTCGTCAATCCATCACAATACTTCATCCCGCGGATGCTGTAAATGGTGACCAAAGAGTATATAATCACTACGTTTGTACGTACGTGCGGGATTTGAACCTGCGGTCCACAACGCTGCAACTAATTGCTAAGCCACTGCTACACAGAGTCGTCAATCCATCACAATACTTCATCCCGCGGATGCTGTAAATGGTGACGAAAGAGTATATAATCACTACGTTTGTACGTACGTGCGGGATTTGAACCTGCGGTCCACAACGCTGCAACTCATTGCTAAGCCACTGCTACACAGAGTCGTCAATCCACCACAATACTTCGTCCCGCGGGTGTTGTAAATGGTGACGAAAGAGTATATAATCACTACGTTTTAGTGGTGAATATGGGAAAATACGAGAAAATCCTACGGAGTCCGGTAGATGGCGGTATAGCATATCGCTTACACCACCAGACTAAAATATTTACACCGGCGACGTCAGTGGCGTTAAAGGTGCGACATTTGTAGTACAGCCGTCGTCAATTCGGCTGCCAAGCGTTACAAATAGGATATATCTATAGGTAAAGGACACGAGGTTACGAACATTATTGTAACTTATAAACTTTAAGTTTTCTAAGGTTGTAATATACTGCATGACTTTATTACCGTCTGTAAAAAATAGGGTGTAACACGTGAAAGGAGTAGAAGCCTATGACACTGACATTTTACAAAAAATAAAAACAAAAATTTAGAATTATACGTTTTATTTTGTTGAAAAATTGTTTTTACACAATTACTTTGCCCTTTGCCCTTGAGCCTGTGATTCGACAAGGTCAAAAATGCCTACTAAATTTATTGTTTTATTGACTTTCGTAAAGTAGGGTGGATATGATATGAATTTCGATAGATTTTAATTAATTAATTTATTAATTCAAAATTTTTTGTTTTATTTTTTTTGTAAAATATAATTGTCAAAGGCTTTTACTCCGTTCACATGTTACACCCTATTTTTTTCCAGACGGTAAAAAAGCTCATCCAGTATAAATGTATAAAACTTTGTATGTAATGAACTATTGTACTGAACTTCATCAGAGTTATAAGACCGCATCTTGTACATATTTGAAATTGTATTCATATGGAATGAGTCTGTAATTGATGTAAAATAAATAATAAACAAATAAAATAGACTTTTATCACCTCAAGCATTTTACCAAAAGTGAGAATGAATAATGCTTAAAAGAATAAATGTCTATGTCGCAAATGTTTCGACATAGTTATCTTCTTGAGCATCAATCGTTGCAAAGAGAATTAGCTAAATCGTCACTTGTTAGCCTGAAGTTAGGGCTACCTGAAGTATGCCAAATGTGGGAGGCCTTTGTGTAGATGTAAAGTAATGTTAACAAAAATATTTCCTTGTGGCGATAAGAAAAATTATCAACTATTTTTGTTAATGTTGCAATAACCAAATAAGTCGTATTACAATTAGAGATGGGCCGAATATTCGTTTTATATTCGGTATTCGGCAGATTCGGCATTTTTACCGAATATTCGTATTCGGCCAAATATTCGGCTAAATTGCCGAACATTCGTTAAAATGGTACTCGAAGTATCTACTGTATTGAAATGTTGGAATTGCGTAATGCCATGTCTTTCAAAATTTAATGTTGAAAGTATATCTTATTTATGGGTTAAATCTACTTGTATAGCGTTATGTTTTTGAGGCACTGTAGATTTATTTTCAACTGTAGCAAATAGAAGCTTGATGAAATGTTTTTGGATTTAAACAAAGAAACATTACATTAGTACATTTCACTTTACTTTGATCGTCAGTTTCCCTAAAACCTAGTAGCTCTCCTGCCACTCATTTTTATTGTATATAATTATAAATTTTCAGTAAGAATAACACAATGAAATACTTTTTTCTCACAATAATAGTCAAAACAAGCATGTGCCGGCAACTTGCTCAGTACTAGATGATGCAATAACATGTTTGGTGAGGCGGGGAAGCGAGGGGCAGGATCCGGCGCTAATCCCGCGTGCTTTACGGTAACAAGTTTCCACATAAATTGATTAGGTACCGAGGTGATCCTGCAGAATAATGTTCGGCCGAATAATCGGTTCAGTAAAAGGTTTACCGAACATTCGGCCGAATATTCGTTTTCGGTAAAATCCATGTTCGGCCCATCACTAATTACAATTACTGGCCTTGTAAAAGTTTAACGCTGAATATAGACTTCCTCCATAGATCGCCCCATACTGGGGGTATTTGTTACCCTTGGAAGACAGGTCGCAAACGTAAATTTTTTTGTTTTCAGTTGTTATTAGAAGGACTCTGCTGGCCATCTCTCGGTGTGTTTCCCTCTGTCGTCTCTTACGTCAACCACCACGGGACGATATAGAACATTCAGACACCGCCACTTCACATGATAGAATAATTATCTTAAAATAACTACTACATCAAATCTAGATCTTGACCGCTGGAGAACACAAAGTTTTAAGGTGCTTGATTTTACTATCGCTATCTCGCTTGCCTCCCTAAGGGGATATTCAGTAATGAAGTGTACAGAGGCTTCCATATTATCATCATAATCACCAACCTGCCACAACCCGCTGCCGGACGTATTCCTCTTATTAGGCGTGCCAGTTAGTCCAATCTTCAGCTTTAGGCATCAAGCAAAAATTCCTAAAATACGTTCTACTAAGCGCGTTTTCCACTACAGGAAATTTCTACTTTAAGGGTTTCATTTCTAAGAAAAGTGTGACCAGCACATTGCCATTTCAGCTTGTCAACATGAGAGTATTTGTCGGCAAGGAACTTTTGTCAATAAACTTATTCAACAGTTAAACACCGTATATACGAGTAGCACGTTCAGGCGCACGCTAAACAACTTTGAATTAGTGATCACGTTTTATAATATGCAACAGGCAAAACTTTCCGTTCGAATACTTTGTTCTTCGGGATTTGCAATGCGGGCGACAAAAAGACCAGACGATGTTCTTTAAATCCTGGCCAGATAGTTCAATCCCAGAGAATCCAGGCCAGATAACTCAATCCACCTTTGGATATAGTCTACTGTTGAAGTTTTTCTAAAGAATATTGTTACGAGCTTAGGGTTCGTGACAATAAAAACTGCCGATTGAATTACCAAAATTAACACTTTAATTCACTTTACACTAATTAAAACTTAAAGACACTAATAATTAATCACACTGATTCACTTTATTCCGCTCCGAAACTTCGCTTGTCTCGCCAAATTCAATACTGCCGCCATCGCGTATTGCAGCGCCTTTAAATACACCTTTTTCACCGAAACATCCAGAATATTCAAGTAAATACGCGCGCCAACCGACCAGGCGCGAAAGTTCGAGAGTAGGGCTTCTCGCCTCAAAGCTTAGTTCTTCAATTCGATACTTGACGGCGCTGTTGGTTGAAAGATTAGTCATGTCATTTTCTGGAAAAGCTCTCCTCGCTCTGTTACCCGACACTAGATGGCGCTAGTGCCAGGCGTCAACTTAGGCGCGCAACAATATATATTTTTTTTAAATAACATGCTTCTGTTTCAGGCATAAGTAAAATACAGAAAGGTATATTTTCGATGAATGACGTTGCTGCTAACACGATGCTGTACATGTTTGCTGGATATGAGACCTCAGCGACCACTGGTCAGTTAGCAGCCTACGAGCTGGCCCTCAATCCTCTCGTACAACAAAAGGCCAGGGATGAGATAAAAAGGGTATTGGAGAAATATGACGGAGAGTGCACTTATGAAGCACAGAGTGAAATGGCTTACATGAATATGGTGTTAGATGGTAAGTTCATCATGAACATCATTATTACAGAACTTCACATGTCCACTGCTGGACATGGTCTCCTACAAGGGATGCCACAAAGCAAGTTTCTGAGTCAACTGTATCCATCGACCCCCAGCATCCTTAGCCAAGTCGCCATTCCGTCTTGTAGGGGCCGCCCTACATTTTGGTTTGCCGCCATTTGAGAACGACGGTAATTCCCATTATTTGAAAATAATTCACAATTCAAATACAAAAAATATACCACTGTTGAATAATGTTACAACACTTATTATCTTTCCTTATTATTTTTAATGGTCATCAAGCAAATGTATACATTACAGAAAGGCCTCCACGTAATTGCAATTAAGTTACACTTGGCGCTCCACCACAGCGCGATTTACTAGAAGTTTTCTTCCGTACGATTTCTTTGTGTAATCGGTCACTGCCAGAGATTTTTCCGGACTGATACGATTTAGAGACACCTACTTTTTGTACTGTGTTGTTCATGGGCGGTAATAGTGGTTATCACTTAACATCAAGTTAACTTTATCGCTTTCGTCTTTTTTTTTATAAAACGTTACCTCCACACTGGGGTTTTCTCCTGTATCGTGGGGCAGTTTACAAACATAAATTACACGAGGACAAACATCCAGATCCGGAACAATTACTTGTAGGTCATACAAATACTTGTTACGTGCGGGATTCGAACCCGTGGCCCTTAGCGTTGTAACTCATTGCTAAGCTACTGCGCCACGGAGCCGTCAACTAACTGCACGCTCGTTTGCCTTCGTTCCTGCAAATAATAGATGTAATCAAAAACATAACTTGTAAAAAAAATACCGTAAAAAGTTGTGAGATCCATGTAATACCAAGTCGGTTAATTTATTCAGTACCTAATTAAGGGTCCTTCTGTTTTAAGTTATTACGTAATTAGCTAACCTCTAATTACGTAATCTTATGGTGCCCATATAAATATTAAAAATCTTTTATTTTTTAAATAAATATATAACACTAGAAGTCTGAATTGCTTCTAGTTTTATACACAACGAAGTTATAGGGGGTCGAAAATGGCCTGAACTGTTTCGAGTAAAGTATGGTACGGCCGTGCCGCTTTTTTGCTTGACTTGGCGCAGATTTACAACACTTCACTGATTCGAAGCGTAGAGGCTAAGCGTTTGGTTGAGGCGCTGTAGAAGCACGGGTTCGAATCCCACACGAAATAAGTGATAAATATACATTTGAAGTAATAGTACGTATTATGTACGTATTTTTATTTCAATGTTTGCAACTCCATTATCTTTCTTAAATATTTTCAGTAGTACACAATTACTTTTCTATATTTTGTAGTTCGAGACGTCTTCTGTCATTGATGTCACTTATTGGTCGTTGGTCTGGGTATTTTGGGTATTTTATATATAATATCCTTTTTGGTAAATATTTCTTAGACATATACAATATTATACAATATTTATAACTATAAACAAAAAAACTTAAATTATCTTATACTACTCTCCGCGGTATACCGTGCTGAGAACATTGACCGAGTTTTCTCGCTGAAGTGCTATATTCAGCCTTTAATCGAGAAAATACCCAGCCTTTTTATTAAAATAAGGATCTAAATGAGGTAGCCCTGTAATGAGAGGTTGCTACAGTGTCTATGAACGTAGCATCCTACACTGGTCCTTGTCTAGCCAAGAAGACTAATAAAACTAAATAAAATAAATTAATAAAAGTTATAAATTAATGATGTCTAATAAAACTTGGAAAAATATTTTGTTTTCGCAGAAACAATGAGGAAGTATCCTCCAATGCGCGCGTTGTTTCGAAGATGTACGAAGGAGTACAGAATGCCTAATAGCGATGTTGTGATTGAGGAAGGAACACTGGTATTCATTCCCATACAAGCTATACAAATGGATCCAGACATATTCCCGGACCCAGAGAAATTCGATCCTGAGAGATTTATACTTGAGAAAAAGGCTAAGATGCATTCATGTCATTGGATGCCTTTCGGTGAAGGTCCGCGTAAGTGCTTAGGTAAGTTATCCTGAAATAATTATAACATTTAATAATCCAATTTATTTTGTAAGAAACCAACATGTAGTACATAAAATCTATAACGGACACATAAAGTAAACTACAGCTTCGTACATAGCGTACTTACCGTACTACTTGCCTTTAAATTTAAACGACCCTCTGCAAAGCGCACACCTCTCTAATTTCTGAAAGGGGTTATGAAATAATAAGGTCACCGCGTTGCTCCTGACTTATAAGCGGAGTGTCTTCGAAATATTTTTGTTTCCTCACACATACAGCATGTTTTTCTTTACCACTAGGTACTTGGTAAAACAGGACTTTTGATTGCAATTAACAATTTCAATGTTTACGGCGAGATCGAACGGGGCTGTTCGCGTACTGTGAAAATTACAGAGAGCGTTTAACTCCTGAGCTACCACAGTATAATACATATTATTTAGTTGGTATAGTAAATAAATAATATATGACGGATGTATTCCTTACTTTACGTATACGACATTAGGCTAATGCTAAAGGGTACAGACTGAGTTACTTAAAACTGGTGGGTTCGAATCATAGAGAGGTCTTTGGTTCGAATCTACCACTCGACTATTACTGTCGTGTGGAAAACGGGAGTTTAAGCAGTGTTATTAGTTTTATAATATTGTCTAGCATAGCTGTAATATTTTAAATAGCTTACTTATTAACTTCCCAGTGAGAAGTTATTGTAATGGGTCCGATTTTGCAAATTGGAAATTTTAACATATCTCCACGTTTCAAGGTCTTTAGAGTCGCATAGTATGGTTTTTAAGAGGATGTCCGTCCGTCCGATTTCTATATATCTCGAGAACAAAGAGTGATATTGACATGGGATCAGTTTCATGTAACGAATATTTATGTAACTTAGACTTCATTAAATTTTGAGCAAAATCGGTCAAGTAATTTTTTATGCTGAATGAAAAATTGTATAAAATATTAAAACATGATATTTTTTATTCTTTCCACTAGGAAGTTGGTCGTGTGGACCTTTCGGGTCGCACCTAGACCGCTTTTCTTATACTTGGATTGTAAGCGAAAATAAAATTAATAATACAAACCTATAACGATACTTGACCCGTTTCAATATTTCACAATTTTCATTAAAAATATTAAAATGAGAATGTTTATCACATTTAAAAGAAAACATGAAGGTTACTTTAATATTTACTTATTTAATGATTTCTTATATTTACGCGAACACTATACATTGATTAAAACTACTTTTACGGATTTTATCGCGTTTTATTTATATTAATTTTAATACCCGACGTTTCGGGTGCTTTCCAGCACAAATGGTCACGGGGGACTGAGGTGACTGACGTCCCGATGTCGATCGATTAATATAAATAAAACGCGATAAAATCCGTAAAAGTAGTTTTAATCAATTTACTTATTTTATTGTCATAATTAAAATACATCAAGCTTAAATACTTGTTTACCTTACGAATATAAACTTCTGCGCGATTAGATATTCAGCGATAATAATCTTAGGTGATTTCGACACGCTGTGCCGTAAACTTATTTAAGCTACAAAATATTAGAAATATTTTTAGAAAATCTCCCAAGAATGAAAAGGCATCGAATAAGTTAAGACAGAGAGAGAGAGAGAGTAAGACAGTAAGTGAAAGAAAGGCCCATATCCAAGAGGGAACAGTTTACGGACACACAGAAGTGTGCCATCAGGTGGTCTGTGTGCTGCATACTCATCCTAAACCATAATCAACTGAAATACTTTTAAGGAGTTTTAAAAACAATTTTTTGTATAGATATGGAAATAAAGTATACCTATTGACGTCATAACTTTTATATTAATTGTATATTTACAACCAACTTTCAAAAACTGAAAATTCTATATTTGACTTAAATTATTTTAAATTTGATTTCCCAGTAACGGTTAAACCGACTTTATTGATTCTTTTTTATTAAATATTAAATAGGATTTAAAGACATTTATTGTCATAAAGACATTATACACGCCACTTATATGAGAACACAAATAAAAGTAAATCTAAATAACAAAATTCGTTGTCGTATCTATGTTGTAGAAAAATAAACAAAATCAAAAACAGCTATAGACGGGTTATACATAATTCAGGGATTTTTAGTATGGGTCCACCCATATAAATTTTAATAAAAAACAACCCCACAAAGGATGGAGAAATACTCGTAGATGATGAAGTTTTAATTAATATCTTCTGAAGTCATGGCTTCAATTCTTTGATATACTAACACAGCACCGACTTCAAGTTGTTATGTCGTAATTATTTTATTCTGGTTTTTTTAATGCAGTATTACTTTTTTAAAGTTTAATTGTTAAATAATGCCAAGTTTTACGACACTAATAAGTTATAACATAACAAATTTAAAATGATAACAAATTTTAAATGTGGTATGCAAGATGATGTTGTGACCAGGATTAAGAAAGGAATGCTTCGGTGTTTTGGTCATGTAGAAAGAATGAATGAGGAAAGAGTGACAAAGCAAATTTATATGGCAGATGTGAACGGCAGAGTCAGGAAGGGACGCCCTAGAAAAAATTTATCGACCAAATTGGCGATATTTTGAAAATGGGCCACGTTAGAAGTACCCTTAACCGACGAGCATGTATGCGTAGATATATGGATGTAAAGGAGGCGAAAGAGGTATGTCAGGATCGTGCCAAATGGAAGTCCGTAGTCTCTGCCTACCCCTCTGGGTGACAGGCGTGAGTGTTTATGTATGTATGTAAATTTAAAATATATGGTTTAGTATTAATAATGTTGTCAGCCACCGAATTCATTTATCTAACAACCTAGTAGTTTCATTGAAAACAAAATTCCTTTGCATATTACTTTAATGACTTAATATTTATAGGTCTCCGTCAAGGGTACGTCCAATCGAAGCTTGCACTTGTGAAGTTGTTGCACAAGTATGAGTTGTCGTTAGATGACCGCTCCCCGGTGCCTATGAAGATCAAGGCCTCTTCGCTGGCGTGCTCCGCTGACGGCGGAGTGTGGATCAAGCTTATCAAACTTGAGGTCTGAGCGATTATACATGGGCTATAACTACTGACTTTAACGTGTTAAAAGTAACTACGTAGGTAGTTATAGTATTAGCTGTAATAAATTATTGTGATATTAAACTTATTAATGGTTTAAAGGGACGAAAGAAAGAAATAAATGTTAATAAATTTATTTGTGTGTGTTTTATATTCTATTTCGTTACGTCAGTTGTGTAATTATGCGCGACTGCCTCATTGGTCTAGTGGTCGTCAACGCGACTACCGATAAGAGTTTCTGGGTTCGAATTCCAGATCGGGCCAAAAATCGGTTATTGGGTTTTTATGTGAAGAAATTCTCGTTAGCAGTCCGGAGTAAAGAATTTGGCTGTGTTACACCCCCGTCCCTCGGAAAGCGAGTAAAGCCGTTAGTAACGCCTCTGATCATTCTCCGGTCGTGTGGGATTATCGTCTCACCGGACTACGAGAGTGAGGAAATAGAGAATCCGCTTGAGTTTGCGCATACGATTCAACATTGTTATTCTGTCCTTTGCAAATGGCTAAAATATACATCTATCTTCAAAATGCAGATGCGTTGTAACCCTTCAAAACTAAGATGGAATGTCTTGTTTCCAGTAAAAAGGGTCACCAGTTTCCTACATTCACCATTGGAAATACAACAGTATTAAGCCATTATTTCTTACTAGTATTGTGTGACTGCGGGGTCATTCCCCGGTCGAGCCAACCTGTTTATGGATCAACTATAATATAGCTGTAGCATGGCCACAGTCTTAACTACTACTAAGGTCTGCCATATACATACGGAATTCCGTTTCGGAATTCCAATTCAGGATTCCGAACCCAGCAAGTTCATATAAAATTAAGGCACCGTCACACACACACACGGCAGTTTCCCGTTCAAAATTTTTTTGCGGGAAAAACGGGATTCCGCATACGTGTGGCCGAAACAGAATTCCGTATGTATGTGGCCGGCCTAATTCGGCTTTTCTGATAACACCAAACGCGATGACTGACTGTATGTTCTTCTTAGGCTGTGGCATGGCTCTACCACGTACAATGCAAATAAAATACTTTAGTTTGAGATTAAGGCTCGCCGCACACTAAATACGGAATTCCGTTTCGTGATTCAGAAATGGAACGCACGGGTCAGCCACACACATACTGAATCCCGTTTTGCCCGCAAAAAAATTCGAACGGAAAACTACTGTGGGTGTGTGACGGGTCCTTAATTTTATATGTACTTCCTACGTTACTGTTGCGGATTCCGTTTCGGTATTCCGATTCGGAACGGAGTTCCGTATGTATGTGGTGGGCCTTTGATTCCAGATTTATTTATGAGTATATTATGCAGTAAAATCCTCGTAATATTAAATGACTAATATTGTACTAATTATCTTTTGTCTTTGGATTGGTAGTAAAATGATGATATAACGATGACAAGAAAAGAAAAAGGTGCGTTTACATTTATTCAAGTTAACAGGAGCGGTGGTGCGTTATTAAAAATTTAAATTAAACTAAGAGATGTATATACCGAAGCTCATGTACTGTAATAATAACAAACTTATTCTAATACATCTTTCATGGAGACCTAATTATATTTGCTTACTCATGTGTCGCGCTATGGGCCACATACAGGGTGCAAAATCGGCATCAGTTAACATCTATCAACGCAACAAATTCGTGACGTTGATGACTTTAATGCACTAAAATCTAAATCACTACATATGAATTCTAAGTTTAGAGTTTCAATAATAAGCCAATATTTTCTATTTGCAAGAATTCACGACCCAGTTTGATCGAAACGGAATAGAGTCATTTTTCATTCTTCAAGTCCACAATCTGGTCAGTTAATTAAGTCAGATACTCGCATTTATGTAGTTTTTGTTCTTGATGGTTTATTTTCTTGCATTTATGACAAGTAAAACCAAACTAGTGGTCTATGGTAGGTGTTTATAGTAAACTTAAGTCCATAAAGATATAGTCCGAAATGTTTTACGGCTCATATTATAGCGAGTATTCCACGCTCTATTGTACTATATTATCTGGTCTCGGTGTCGCTGAAAGTTTATCCAAAATGGTATCATTCATCATTTGGGAAAAAAATACCGAGCAAAGACTATAAATATATTAATAGTATTAACCATCTCGTATAATGATAGATGTAAAAGATCCGAATCGCGGTTAATTCTTTTAAGCTTATAAAGAAGGAGGAAGAAGAAGTATGCAGGGGTTAATTACACTTAAAAGTTTCAAAAGATTATAATTTTTTTGCATAGGTCAATTTGTTAGTTTTCCATGCTAATAATGACTAGAAACTCAATAAATTGCTTTTTAAAATCCGTTTAATCTCTTAATCGAGGACAAATGCATATGAAATGAGTTCGGGCATATTGAGAGTGCTCGTCTGTCACCGTAATTCTATAAAAAAATGATCTCTTGATCGGTTGAAGATTTAAATGTTTAACAAATTTAACAATTGTAATAGTTTATTTTCAATTACAACGGTAACTAAAACTAACGACAGAATGATAATATCGGCTAGACGAGATAAAGTAATTTGCAATATTTAACTATGGTTTATACAGTATAGTCGGTGTAAGAACATATAATATCGTTTCGTGGGTCCAGTAAGAGGCGACAGATAGAACCAAACCAGGGGTAGGGCAAAAGCGTCTTAATAATAAAAAATAAAAAAATACTGTGGATGGCAAGCGTAGCACCTATGGCAAATATCCCCCATATGATGCAATCTACTGGGGGCCTATAGTGAGCTAGTACATTTAATTGTGGAAACAGAACACATTTACTCTCTACCGAGACAGTTGTGAACTTTTGATAGTCTGTCACGGTATCTATGATTTAAATATGTTCAAAATATCCGATAATATTCTATATATTATAGATATTTATTTTGAATAAACTAAGCATTGACCCATGTCAATTTTATCCAAGCCTATGAGGACACAAATGTTCCAAGCGACGGGAACTAAAAAATAATTAAAATTAAACGCGGTAATATCATTAACTTTGTTGTATTCAGATGTCGGAAGATGTCCTTAATTATTTGGGTAATTTTTGAACGAGCATAATTATTGCAGATCAGTGTATTCTTAAAAATACATCCGGTGTGATTTCTGCCTGCCCCAGCTTAGGACGTACACACATTTTAATAGAACAGTGGTCGTGACGGCGACCTGAGAAATTGTCGACATTGAAATAGATATCTGACTTATGATTGCAAGTTGCAACACACGTTCTTGAATGTTTAAATGAATTAACATTGACCTAGAGAAATGTTACAGAAAAATAGATGATAAATTAGATAAGGTTACGAATATTATCGACTGGTGATAACTGTGCAGTTATGTTTTGTATTTGTAACTGAGAAATATGATATATTGATATACCAGATAGTAGGACCCCTTTTCTGGCTTTGAGTCTATCCTCGTACCTATTTCTGTCACTGTGTTCCGGTCTGAACTGTATATGAACTAATATGATTTCAGGCTGTAGGTCATTCCATCATAGTATATATATTCTATACACTACATAGACGTGGGTATTGTCGTTGTTGTCTACGCGCAGGCGATGGGTGAAACGATCCGTACCTTAAAGTCTGCCGAGGTGTCGCAAACTTATGTACTCTTTGACATATACGTGAACTTCAGTCTCAGGCATAAAGAAGTGTAATAACTTGTACCTCGGGTAGGAGGTATACGAAGTATCAGCTGGAGAGGACGCCTGTGTCTGGGTTAGAAAGAGCAAGGTCTGCTTCGTCACCGCCAGATAGAATACACGGCGTTAAGATTCGAATAAAGTCCCCTGATGTTACTGAAATTCACGGATAGCGTCGCAATTGCCTTTGTCTCATTGCTCTGCTTGCCCCGAGTAGCTTTAGTCTTGAGCAGAATTTACCTCCCTCCACCCCCCAGAATACGCAAAGTAGCCTGAGCACCCACGCTCAGGAAGAGTAGGGTAGCTTGAGTGATGGTGTTTAGCGAGGGGTCCAATACCAGGGGTGCTGGTACCCTTAGCAAAGCGTCTACTTTACGCTTGTATTCTGTGAGGTCGTAGTACTTCTCTGGTTTGAGCCGGCGGCCCATCCGTGCGACAGCAAAAGCCACCGCGTGGCTCTGTTTACAAAATAAACAAATAAAGGTAGTGGGTATAATTTTGCTAACGACATCCTTTGTCCCTAAGTAAGTGTAAGTGAACGACAACTAACTGACGATAAATTATTTAAAAATATTGAACAAAAAAATGTGGGATTACAAAGAATAAGTTTCAAAGACAATATTCAGTAGAAGAAAATTCTTTTTCGTGTATAACAATGTCCTGCATCTTCGTAGAAATTTTAAAAATCGTCTTTTATCCTTTTGACGTCGATAAGAAAAAAAAAATAGTACAATGCATTGTTCTCTTAGTTTGTATATAAGCAAGTTATAAGTGTACTCTAAGATTGTCCTAAAATAAAATAAAGCTAAAATTTAATTTAATCCTGCTTTTCCTTTCTTTGACTATGTGTCTCTATTTTATCGTCAACTTGAGAATTGGTTTGAGAGATGTCAGTATGCAATGTTTGATCAGTGTTTTTTGGTCGTTCGTCGTTAAGCTCTTTTACTTCAACTTGCCCATTACCTTGGTGGTCCTTTGTTTCAACCACAAATTTCCTTTCTAAAAAATTTTTCATATCGGATGCTATTTTCATTATTGATACCAATGATTTTTCATGTTCAGATGAGATGGTAGTAGGTCTAGAAAGAAATTCATGTAATATTTTATTCAAACTCTCCATTAAATTATTTTTTGTCTCTGCAAAAATCCCTTGCTCGTTACGCAAGTCTATAGACAAATATTCCTGAGAATCTTCAGCTGACATCTGTGTTTGTGGTTGGGGACCAGAAGTTATTCGTTCTTGACCAAACTGTCGTATTATTGCTGAGTCAGCCGTACTTTCTCCTGAGTTTGACGAAGAAAGACTTAGAACAGGACGTTGGGTGGAATCGATTGAGTCCAGAATTTCATACAAAAGTTTCACAATAAATTGTTTATCTTTAGGCATGACTTTACAAGCTGCTATTCGCTTTAATTTATACTGTTCTTCTGGAACTAACGACACTTTGGATTCATTTGGTAGTTTATGAGAAATATATAATAAATCTCCTTCAGGTCTACCTGCAGTCATGTGTGAATCAAATGTAGAAACCATTTGGTTATGATTCTGTTTCTTGAAATGAACTTTAGTATGAAACATGTTATCTTTGATCTGCACATCGGGAGAAACTGTGCGAACATGACTCTCGTACCGTTCCTGAAACACATTTAGTACGATTAAACACGTAATCATAATACAGAGCATAAGATCAAAGATTATTCTTAGAGAGCAATTTGCTGGAATATGGATAATATTACACACATTAGGTGTGTGACACATAAGGGAGTACAAAAGTAAGCTACTACCGCCAGGCTTATCATCACCAGGGAACGTTAAGACTACTGACATTTATTGACATAATCCTGATACACCTCTCTTGATTTTTCCGCATAAATTTATCTACGCATACATGCTCGTCGGTTAAGGATACTCTTAATTTGGCCCATATTCAATAAATCGTCAAATTGGTTGATAAACTTCCCTATGTCTATTTGATAATGTATATAATAGTCTATTTTTATTTGGCATTTAATACATTACCAGCATTTTATCAATGTCCCCTTGCAAGTGAACCGTGACGCGGATCAGATGAAAGTCGACGGCGAGAAGCACTCGCACGAGCGCGAGCAGCGCGGACAGCAGCCAGCAGGCGGTGTGCAACCACGCAGATGCCACTGTCAGTTGCGTCGCCTGGTACACACCACGGATACGCCTTTCGTACGCCAGTGTTGCCACATTTACTGTGTATGTACATCTGAGAAGATTACATAATGTTTTATTAGAAAGAGAACCTTTCTGTTCGGTGTAGAGATATTCCGTTAGTTAGAAACTGTAACATAATTTTTAATTTTAGTTTGTTCAATTTAAAAACTAGAGCATTACGAGACAGTATGATTAACCACCACTTAACACCATGAGAGATTGTAGTCTAGCAGCCTGCGTAAAAGTCCGTAAGCTTTGATTAAATACATATAAATTTACTATTATATTGTCACTTGTTCTGATTTATTATTTTTTTTAATTATAACGGCCCTGTGATATAATTTTCAATATTTAAATAATCAGATTCCTTTATAATTATTTAATTACTGGCGATTCCTTGAGTGTCAGAAAGTAAGTTAGTTAAATAAAGGCTAATGCGTATTAAATAATTTTAACCATAAGTTAGACAATAGTTACTATGTAATTTAACCTCGCGAAGTTCTTTTGGTGAAATAACCTGGAAATAACACGACTATTAAGTGCGAAGTCCGAGCTTTCTAAAAGTTCTCTCGATCAAAAACAAATTTGTGGTAATTGCTTTTACTGCTACGCAGTAACTAGATCTTCCGCCCACTTAGCCACGCGGAAAAGTTAGCTAACAATATAAAATTAGTTAATTTTAAATAGCGAAGGCAACTCAGTTTTTTGTATCAATTTCCATCGGTATAAACGTAAATCTTAATTGTAGCTTTATACACCTCAGATGTTATAAAAACTTGAAATTCTTTAGTTATATTATTGTTTTAGTTATATTTCGAGGAAACTTGAAATTCGCCAATACGCATTAGAACGAAGCGGGGCACTCTTCCCACTCCAAACCCTCTCAGAAAAAAGCCATGAGATGTATGAAATCTGACTGGCTTATGTCAAACAAATTTACATCCTATCTGATGAGTAAGTGGTTACTGCAGATCCAACTTAAAAGGCTACAGATGCATGTTAACTCTTAGGAATAAGATAGAATGCCTCTTATATTGTTAGTAGTTTAACTTACGTGGTACTTCCTGTTATCTCGCCCAGCTTGATGCAGAGTTCTTGAAGGCCGGACTGCGTGACGGCCGATGAGTAGACACAGAGGCCGCCCATAAGCAGGGAGAATACGAACACAGGCGGCAAGACGCGCCACGGTCTCTGCAGACTGTGAGGGGAATTCAAATATATATATATATATACATATATCATAGAATACTATAATACACAACAGAATGGCTGTCAACCTTATTTTGTACGAGGGTCGACGTCGCCGGGAGCACACATATAAGCAATTACGTCGTATTATCACTACTACAAATCCGTTTCGCTGTGTTGACAGACTGAGTAGGTAAATTTAAACATTTTAGACTTTTGATTAGTTCAAGATCATCAATAAAAAAAAGCGATTAAATTTTAATACATATTTATTTGTAAATAGAGTGGAATTTGGCATTTTCTAAATAATTTGTATGCGAAATTTGGAAACGATTCTAACGTCAAAACACATCTCGGTTGACATTTATACGTGTGGATTGACATGTTAGTGACATTTTAGTGGCTACACGGGCTCCGCCCACTCCCTGTTTTATTATGTATGTATTATAGTATTCATGATATATATACACACACATCTATCTTTGATTAAGAATTAAAATACGGATGCTTTTTCACCCCTGAGAAAATGATGGAATGCCTCGAAAAAGGGTCTCTGGATCTCTATAATCGCCACACGAAACACAGAAGCATAAAGCTGATATTACACTGATATTCTGTGAGAGCATGGTCCTACCCCTCGAGCCGACTCAATCGTTCTACAACCATAATATGTACTATAGCTGCAGCATGCTCTACCACGTGTAATAGAATATAAAATATGCTTTTCTGAGCATTATCAGTGCGAGTGCAGTGTGATGAGCATTATTAGTGCGACTGTTAGAGAATTTACCACTTCATTTCGTTTTGTGAATATCACAAAAGTCAACTAAGGGCTGATTTTTCAAACATCAGATAAAATTTGTTCATCAAATTAATTATGGCTGGCTGAATATAAAAGTGAAACGATTAAACTAAATTATCATTGCATACTACTGCAGGAAGCTTGAAGCTGAACATGGGCTTCCCTCATAAATTGTCTCACAGGTGGGTTATTTGCCTCAGGTGCCACGCTTGGCAAGGGGCTTAGCAACCGTAGTTATTTATTTTAGTCTGTGTAGCTGTGTCATTGTAAATTTCTTATTAAAACAAGAGTGATAAATGAGCACTCAGTTCGCCGGAGGATAAGTGGATCCTGTGATCTTACCAATATAAATAAGGATGGTGTGTGTACTAGTGTAGTAATAGATACGAGTATTATGTTGCTATTTTAAGTTAATGTTATATGTTATTTATTGTTCTGAAGATGTAGCGTTGACCTTGATTAGAAGTGTAGTTTAGTAAACTATGAAATGATATTTTCGTGAATTGTTTTAAAAAAATGGTTCCTCACGGATGAGCTGAAATCTATGGAAAAAAAGTCTGTACCCAGTCAGTGTCCGGCTACTAGCAGAGCACATCAGGAACATGGTAGTCCACACCAGTCCGAAAATGCCGGATACGAGGGGCACATACGTTGGCAGGTAGCAAGCGCTTTTGTCAACCCATTGCGTGCTGAGGAAATCCACTGGTAGCACTGAAAAAGATTTAAATAGTTCTTATCACATGACATCACCAATCAACTGCTCTACCCAGACCTTTATGAAAATGTGTCAGTATTCTACGCTGAGCAAGTGGTTAGGTTTTCTTAAAAAAATTCTAAAGTGACAAACGGATATACCGTCCACCTGGTGCAGCTACTAAAGCTACTGCAGTCCTTGGACACCAGCGACCAATTTCAAATAATGAAGACTACAGGTGCGTCGTCACTTCTAAAGACTAACATTGAATACCTTACAACCTGTAATTATAACCGTCAGACCGGAACACTGCTGCTTTGATGGCAGAAATAGGAAGTAGGATGGTACCTACTACCTACCCAGATGGAGACCTAGCCATGAAAGCAATAGAACCTAGTGAGAATTTGAAGTCTGCAGATACTCGTTACTCTCCAGATATTGCTCCGTAAGACGACGGCTCCACTGCTCAGGGGTTCGAATCCCGAATGGTACAGGTATTTGTATCGCATACAAATCATTGTTCCCGGTCTGAATGTTTGTCCTTGTGAAATTTATATTCCCACGATACAGGAGAACTTCCCAGTGTGGAGGCAACGTTTTAAAAAAAATAAGATAAAGAATATTTTATTTTTTCACTCACCAAGCGCTAATCCCACCAGGGATTTTAGCGTCGATTAAAGAATTTTTGATGTAAAAACGTTGTAATAGGAATGACAGCATATGGATATTATTGTCAGATGTCAGTCATCAACATAAGTAGAAGAATAGTAGAAAATCAAAAACTGTACAATTGACTAATCAAAAACTGACTTGACTATTGAATAGTCACCTTTACTTTTACGAAATAAACGACAAAATGTTTTGTTAGTCTCATTAAATTAGTCAGTTTTAATTTACACAACAATTGAATGGCCCAGTTGAAGAAGTCCCTAAATCCACTTAGGGAATTTTATGCACCAACAATACAGCCAGTTAAAGCTCTTCATTTTCTATGGTTTAGTGTTTTTTAGATTTAATTTTTTTAAACACGATAAAATCTTAGACTAGTGATTTCATTTTAACAAATCTCTATGTCCAAAGATCCTCCATAGTTCTTATTTTATTTATAATTTCATCATTTGTGCGATTTTTATACAAATATTATAGAAATAACTGAATGTTGATCATGCGGGACTGAAGATCAAGCGATTGAGTCCAAATAGCTAATGTGTAGAATCAATAGGATAAAATAATGTTTGAGAAAGTATAATTTTTGATATTTTAGTTCATAAAGAAGGAATGCAACCTACCGATAAGACTAAAAGCTTTTTTGTGTCTAAAGTTATTCTTTGACCACAACTCTTTTTTTAAACTTTTTACAATATCTTTTCAAGGATTAAAATAAAGGTTTATGTGCAAAAATTCCAAAACAGAAAAAAAGGACTTAAGGACTTCTTGAACTGAATCATTCAATTAAGATGATATATTTGTAATATAGTAGTAAATACCCGGCCTGTGCTAAAACGCTAAAGAAAGAAATAAATTTGGTTTCTTTTTTGGAAAAAAAAATTGCCAAGTTTTTATATGTAGTGCCTAATGCATTGTTTAAGTAGTCTAAAACCATCTTCGTATTATTTCTTTTTCATGTAACCGGTTTAGGGCACATCGATTGTATGATTTAAAATCTTTATCGGACATAAGTAGAAACAGTTATTGTGTTTTATAGAGATATATCTTCGTAAATAAATATATTATACACAAAGGTAATAGCTGCAGCGCAAAGTATCAACTTAGTCGTACTTTCAGCCATTTTTTCATCAGGAATAAACTCGTAGATAAGGTTATGGCGCAGTGAAGTTATTGACAGCAGTTTTGGGAACAAAACGCACTTTTCGTCGAATAAATACATCATCATGTGAAAACAAAATGTGCAGAATGATCCGAATACAAACGCCATAAAGAACAGTAGCAAATGAGCGCCTGTAAAAAAGATAATAACAAACATAAAGCATAACAATTAAGCATAAGCAAAGTTAAAGTCATTACATCTGCTTAATCGAGGATAGATGTAGATGTGTATGCCGTAGACTCTAAATGCCAAAGCATTCACTAACCATCAGGTGGACTATATGCTCGTTTGTCACCATCATTATATAAGAAAACGATGCTTTAATACAGGCAAATGATTATAATCCACCATTTTGCGCTTTAATTCCAGGTGGCCCTAATCGATGACATGAACTAAGTGGTGAGCTGGGTTAAAATGCATGCTATCTCAGCCGACATCAGGTGAGAAAGGGATAGACGCTGTGATGAGCAGTAAGAAGCTAATGCGCACACACATACGCACTCCTGAGTGACGCAATTCGCGACGGCGTCATCGCGTACCTACCTATGCGATTCATGTTTGAATGACAATATAAACTCAAATGGCATTTGAGAGTTCCGTGGCGCAGTGGCTTAGCAATGAGTGGCTGCGCCGGGGGCCGCGGGTTCGAATCCCGCACGGAACAAATATTTGTACGGCCTACAAATAGTTGTTGCGGGTCTGGATGTTTGTCCTTGTGCAATTTATGTTTGTAAACTGCCTCCACGATACAGACAAAATTCTACTGTTGGGGTAACGTATTTTAAAAAGAGAAAAGAGCGAGGAAACAAATTGGTGTTATTAGAACTTAGGATCTGCTGTGCTAAACGTAATTATTAAGAACTCAGTTTATTTGTTATTATGAAAGTTCTTATGTGAATTTAAGTAGATATTGTTATTATATAATAATTTAATTGATTCGTTTTCATCTACATTTTAACCGACTTCGAAAAAAGGAGGCGGTCCTCAATTCGTTGGTTTTGTTTATGTATGTTCTCTTCCCCGATTTCTCGAAGATTCCTGAACCGATTCGGAAAATTATTTTTTTGTTTAAAGGATATACTTTCCAGATGATCCCAGGGTAATCGATGATGGTTAGGACAGGATCTGATGATGTGATCTTGAAGAAATAGAGGGAACTCTTCTATAAAGGACAGCAAATCAACCGCGATTGCTGCTATCACGTATCTATGCATTCTTTACGCAATCACACAATATAATATCACGCCTGTACCCACTAAAGGGACATAACTCTCAACTAAAAATGTAAACATAAATACTTTTTTTGAAAAACATATAACCGATTTCTAAAACAAACAGAAAAAAGTGTAAAATAATTATGTGTTCTTTATCTTTTTGTATTTTATTGTAGGTTATGCAAATATTACTAGGTACTATGTATTCTAAATAGGTATTTACTTACCATAGCTAGTTAGCTATAATAATAGCCCACAGACAACTCCCCGAAGTTATGCCATCCAGTGTCAGGATAACTGCTTTTTCAACAGCACGATTTTGATGTGAGTGGGGCTTTTATGTAGGTTAATTAAATAAATAAAAAATGTTAGTTTGTAAATTGTTTATTGATTGTTTGTGTTCTATAGCGGTTTGTAATATTCTCTTAGTACTTAGAAAGTTATCAACAATAGGTATTGTGTCTCTACAGTGACAAGCACAAACGTCTATCAAAATAGTAACGTACCTAAAGGGAATACTAACAGCACAGACTTCCTTACAGAAGTCCAAAGAACACGTCTAGACAAGGTAAGTAATTAGAAGAAAAGTACAATTTAGTAAATGAAATTCACAGTACAGATACAATTAGCGAAATATAAATAAAATTTTGATTTATATTAAGTATGATAGACAACGCTAGTTGAAAACTAAACACTGTATGGGAATGACATCACTGAATGGTCAGTCCAAACGATTCGTTACGAAACGTTTGTAGTCTAGGGGGCTTGGTTTGTTTATGCTATTGATAACGAAGGCTATAAAATATGTACAACTTAGAAACTAAATCCTAGGTATGTGTACTTATCTGTATTCATAACCCAATATCTGAGGTAGGTTGATGCGCTCCTTAGTTTTTATATATTTCGTATTATTCTGTAAGAAATTAAATCTAATCCAAAATATACTATAATACCATAGCAAAGTTACTAGATAGGCTATTTTCTTTAGTAGTAGGTATTTGGGTACGAATATATACTAGTTTCCAGTAAAAAGGGTCTCCAGTTCTCTACACTCACAATACGAAACACATCAGCATTAGGCAGCTATTTTACGCGGGTATTCTGTGAGAGCGTGGTCCTGCCTCGGTTGTTGCGCTTGCGCCTACCCATTCGTATACTACGCGTACAACCATAGTACAGCTCCAGCGTGGCTCTACCACGTTTGATATCAATTACGATCACATAAAATAATTTATTTAAGTATTATCATGTAAGTGTTGCTCTTGTTTTGTCTGGGCATAATGCATATTTATCATATTTTTTTCTTCACACGGGGTTGGCTGGCAGAGATGACTATATCTATACAAATATGTGCCTAATATGTACAAATAAATAAAATTGAAGTGTTTAAACACGTTTGAAAGTATATACGGTACTTATAAATTTAAAATAAAAACACAATTTTTTAAATTTTTGTCTGTCTGTTTAGCGTCTTGTTTTATTAACTAATCTCCGAAATTATTGGACCGAATTTGACGCGACTTTTACTGGCATATAACTGATTTTATAAGGATTAACTTGGCTACTTTTATTTTAGATTAAGGTTCCGTGCAAAAAAAAAAAAAAACTTACAAGCCTAAATTACAAGTGGGTGAAGTCACAGGGAGCAGCTAGTAACAAATATTAATGAAATAGTGTACCGTTCGTTGTCAATCAAGTGGGTTTACTTTAATTATTATTGACATATCTTTATTTTGCATTGTGCATTATATTATTTCAATCACTTGAGCATAATATAATGTTTTATTATAGGGAGCCGTTAGTACTATGACCATGGACTACAGTAGCCGGTTACTATCAGGTGGATAATAAGTTAGTTATTATAATGTTAATTTCATAATCACAGTGTTTATATTGTTGCATGCGAATCTTAGAACATTTTTAATTAAAATACCCAAGCACTATTACGTGTAAAAACACTACGTGTTCCAATTCGGTTTCTTATAGCGAGGTAATAAATACGCCCTGTGAAGCAATGCATGGGGGAGGCCTATGTTCAGCAGTGGTTTTAAAGGGGTTTTAACTCAAAATAGGCTATAAAGGTATAATGAGTTAATGAGGTGATATGTAAATTAAATTCGTCTTTTTGCTGAAACCGTGGAGTTTTAAATTGGTGCTGTAGTAATTTTCGATCGAAGTTTTCAACGCCATTAAGTACTATGTTGATATTTTAGAAAAATCGTAACTATGATGTTATAGCCTCTAAAAGTCCACTGCTGAACCCATAGATTGCCTCACAGGGAGGATTTTAATCCATAGTTGCCGCGCATATGAAGTTTTTCAACCACAGTTTTTATAATTTTGAGTTGTTATTAGTAAGTTGCTGTTGTCCATCTCCTGGTCCTGCTTCAGTTTCTCTATGTCGCCTTACGACACCCTTGGTACTATATAATGGGGTAGTGGACATCCTTTTACCACCACAACACGGTTAGGGCTACTTTTATTAAATTATAATTTATAATGATAATAATAATATTTTATTTCTCTTGGTATTTACAATTTGCATAGGGTAGGGAGCATCTTTTAAGTACCTTAAGGCACTTGTGTCGGAGACTCCCGCTCTTCCATAGCCAAACAAAACGTTCAAGAGACGTGAGATTACATATTATACAAGAGAAGAAAATATAATATTCAAAAATAAATGTGTGTGTGTGTGTGTGTGTGTGTGTGCGTGTGTGCGTGCGTGCGTGTGTGTGTGCGTGCGTGTGTGTGTGCGTGCGTGTGTGCGTGCGTGTGTGCGTGCGCGTGGGGCGGGTATGTGTGCGTGAGTGTTGTGTGTGTGTGTGTGTGTGTGTGTGTGTGTGTGTTTGTGTGGGTTTTTTTTCTCTCACCCTTTGTGTCGAAACATAACTTTTTCTCTGTCTTCGTAATACAGGGTCTTTAGCCAATTTATAATCAAAATCTTGCAGTCCTTGGCATTTCTACAGTAAATATTAAGCTTTTGGTTGACAAAATTATATAGATAGATAGATTGGTTAATAAACTGACGTCTAGCGAATGCTGTTTTATCACAATAATCTTATATAATACTTTGTAATAAAAAGTGATTTCAAAAGAAAGTAATATATAAGTCAATATTGATTACTTAATAGTCACCTTTCCAAGCTCCATTTACCTCAGATTCTTTTTTTTCAATCAACCTGTATTCCTCGTAGAGTTTAACTTTCTCCATGTTTTGTGTTTAATGTTACTACACACGACACAAAACTACTATAAAATATTTATTTTAACAGTATCATGATCTGTGTGACGTCTTCAGTTGACGTCAAGGAGGTTATAAAAACCTCCTTAGTTGACGTTTATTAAAATGACAGCTTTTGTTATTTTTTCCTAAATTAAACACGTTATTGTAAAAAGTATCGTCAATTATTTACGATTTTTTTAATTATTTTATATTATTTAATTTTTCGTCAACAGCCCATATAAGCTGACTGCTGGACACATTATAATTGACTTCTCCCATGGAAATAAAAATTATCTATCTAGCTAATTACCAAGCGGATTGGTAATCGTAGTCCACGACCTATTTTCTCTCCTTTGATCATTATCATCTTAAAGACTTGTTGTAAATGTACTTTTTGTCCTCGCACCTTTGTCGATGTTACCTATCGCCGGTCTGGGAGTTGCATGAATAAACGAGATGGTTACACTATCATCTATCTGAAAATAAAAAAATATTTATTTACTGGAAACATAGTTATAGAACATTTTAAAATATTGGCATACAGTTCTCACGTTCGACTACCTATAATTTTGTCATGCAAATATTTCTACATGTTTAATATAGTAGGTCAAGAGATTTCGCTATCTCACCCTATACATCACCCACGTAAGTAATGGGTTTTCCTTTGTTGCGCCGTCAAAAGGTAATACTTAAGTAGGTTATTGTTAAAAATATATTTTCTATTTTCCTTTTGAACAATACAATTACAAAAGTAGTTTAAAATGCTCGTAAAAATACATTCGCATATCTTGCCAAGTTACAAACAACGACTTATGCGATCACATGATATCACTCATTGTTAGATATTAACTGAACAAAGGGTTGTAACCAGACAGCTATATATATCGATATTTTGACCTAATATCTTAACCTCGATTTTATCGTAAGGCTGAACTGTAAATAATAGTTATGTACTTTCTAAAATATAATTTGTCACTAATAAATAAATTACTACAATAAATATTATGATTACTTTGACTTAATCAAAGTAATCATAATATTTATTGTAGTTAAGTTTTATCTATTCTGATGTAAATTTATTTTACCAATAATTGTTTCTTTCGACTTATGAAGAAAAAGAAATAACTTCTTTAATAATTCACTTGATGATGTAACAATAAAGCATTCGCTAAGATAAAAATTTCATAGCGAGTTTTTAATTTCACATTTTCTGAAAGTTTTAAATTCACAAATTTAAATATCAATACTATAATATTAGTACTTTTATTTTATTATGAAATTGGTTTTATAATAATTTCTTTTAAAATTACACATTTAAATAAAACTAGTTTTTACAGATTACATCACGCTTTGTTGAACGTCTTCGGTCTGAATATCTTAAATCTGGTGCAAATTGATGGTGACCACCATCATTCGGAAGCTATAGAATTTTTCTGGCATATACCATAGCTGCCTGTGACGAAATCTATGCGACGAAATGGGGTGGTGGATTCTCAATCGCAACCACCAAATGGCGTTTGAAGGCATATATAATTATAGTCTTTACTATCTTTTCTATTTAATGCTTGTAGATTTAGTCTACTAAAATTTGTTTTTATTTACCAAATTTTACTAGGTGGTAGAAATTGTTTTCTACTTAACTTCTGTTTGGGTAGATACCAGCCTTATTACTATTTCTGCCGCCGAACAGCGGTGAGCGTAGTTTCTTATATTTACGCGAACACTACACATTGTTGAAAGATATAGAAAGCTTTCATAATAAGGGCAATTAATCTTACGCTCACCAGATGTCGCTAGTTGATATTGAGGTGAAGTTTCAATGTCATTTAATTGATAATTTAGTTTTTAATAAAAGTTTATCTGTTTCTAGAGTATAATATTAATACACAAAATAACGCCTCTGTGGTTTGTCCTTTAATTGTTCGCACATTTTTTTTTATAGAATAGGCTGACAAACGAGCACACAGTCCACCTGATGGTAAGTGGTTGCTGCGGCCCATAGACATCTACATCTATCTTCCATTACAAATCAAAATGCAGATGCGTTGTCACCCGTGAGGACTGAGATGGAATGCCTCATTTCCAGTAAAAAGGGTCTCCGGTTCTCTACACTCACCATACGAAATACAGCAGCATTAAGCTACTATTTCACGCTGGTATTCTGTGAGAGCGTGGTCCTTCCCCGGTCGAGCCGACCTATTCGTGCTACAACTATACTACTAATATAACTGCAGCATGGCTCTACCACGTAAACATTTTTAACTTTTTTTTCATTTTTATTTTTATGAATATCTGTAGTTTGCTTTATTTATTTTTAATCCAATTAATACAAAATATAACTAATGGTTCAGAAAGAAACATTAGCCTTTACAGTTTTCGAACAAATTAACTTCCCGACTATGAAATCTGTCAAATGTTATAGCTCATTTTAAGTGGCGCCACCCTGGTGGCATAAAAAGTCGTTGATCTCTCTCGTTAGAAGCTGTGAGACATTCCACTTTAGTTCTCAGGAGTGAAAACATATCTGTAGCCATTGACGTGGCAGGGTCACGCTGCAATTATGTTGCATTCCGCCCATTCATACTATACTATTGGCAGGCGTCACCTTTTTAACAAAAAAAAATATATCAATGAAATCGGAAAACGTAGCAAAGAATGTCTTAACCATATATAAAAAATATTTCGGCAAATTGAGAACCTTCCCCTATTTTGAAATCGATTACAAATCTTTTGAATGCATTTGTTAATAAAATGTTACAAATCATTAAAAAATTGGAAAACAAAGTTAAGTATGTCGATCGAAGTCCAAAAATGTCTCAAAAATCTGTGGTATCAGAATCGTAATATAAATCAACACAAAAAATATCAATTCTTAAAAATTATCTTTTGTCGATAAAAATTGATAAAATGAGCACATCATTATTTGAGTTACTGACATCTACTTGTAAGCGATTATAGTATCACAGTTCATTCTAAGATATTTGTATCAAAACAATCATAATGGTGTTAAGTTATTAAATAATGATAAAGTAACAAAGTATTTGTAGCCATGGCAATACATTCTTTTTTATTTTTAACAGTTATTTTGTTTTGTATGCAGTGTACGTTTATTCGATGTGAATTTCGCAGAATTGAACTTGCTTCATGGAATAAACATGTTGTTTGGACGTTGTGTAATAATAATAACAGTAAGTAGACATTTCTTCTTCTCCACTGGCCCTTACTTCTTAAAAGTCCTCATCAATGTTCTGGACATGTGTCTCTCGTTGTAATGAGGATTTGTACTGTACAGGTGTACTAGGTACTTTTTGCCTTATTTGCGACGCTTAGGATAGCAGTACTAGACGGTATCTTTGTTGATTTGTTGATTCTGCCATGCTGACCGTCGCCAGTATGATAATTTTACGTTCGGCATAAACGATGTGGTTAAAACACCATCTATCGGAAACCATTAGACCTTTCTGGAATATCAAGTATTTTAATAAATTCAAATAATATTTTAATTATTGTACTTAAATTATACGTAAGTCTAACACTACGAATTTTTTATCGCCTTGTACTTCAACTTTATAGGTACCTATTACGTATAATTATTTTCCTATGAATTCCATATTACTTATTATTTTCATTTTTCTATAAATTTTCAAAATATAATAAATACAGTGTAAGGTTAAGCATATTCATATCATTAACTGTGCAGTTTAACAATCTTGTTTGTAATTAATTCATCAATTATTAGTCAAAAAAGGTGTGGGTACCTTTTTTATATATGTTAAATTTTTTATTATTTAAGAAAACGCAAAATCTATCCAAATGTAAAATTAACGAGGTATTAATTATGCAATTAAGTATCTAATGAAGTGGGTTTGTGGTTCAAAAAGTTCATTAACGTACGAATGTTACTCATATTTAGATATTGTAAATGGTAGGTACGCTTAGACTAAAGACTCGAATCGTTAAGGTAATATGTTGAAATTTAGGCTTACAATATCCATAGAATACTATAATACTTAACAATATTGGACCCATAAAAATAATTTCCTAATGTTGTTGAATGTGCACGATACGATTCCTAAAAGTAGTGATGGTCAAGCTATTGCTATTTATAATATCTAGTACGTATCAAAAGAAAAAAAAAATAGAAAAGCTTTATTCACTTGTTTTCGTCAAAAGTACCTACGTAATAACTAATAGCACGCTTCTACGGTATATTCACTGTATCGCATTTTGCGCGAACAGTAAAATTCACATTTGCTTTTGTCGCTTCTTATGAAACTGTATGATGTATGGTGGTAGATTTCTCTCACGCACGCTGTAGCTATGGTAATTAGTAAGCCGCGCGTGCTGGCTGGCTGCAGTGCACCATGGCGGCAGTTTTAAAAGCTAAATAAATGTCTAAATATTTTTTTTACTACCCGCATTTTATCAACCACTTCACAGCACAGGTAGCTGGCACTGTCCCGGGTGGCGTATACTCTGATTTACAAAAAGCCGGTGTAATAAGTGACATTCTTTCGGGATTCAACGATATACAGACTCGCTGGGTGGCTTACGATACTTGGACGTATACGGGACATTTTGAAGGTAAATAGTTTTTTTCTAAGTGTCTTCAAGCAGCATTCACTTGAGTTCTTTTATCACATTCATTCATAAAGTCATTACATCCCATTAAAATCCGATCTGAATATAGCTCGGCCCATAGATTGCATTATATCATCATGGGTTGTTCAAGGCAGAGCCGATACCCTCACTGATGGTAGTTACTTTCACTCCCTGTCATCTAGTGAAACTTTTACTCCCTGTCACTTGTGATGTTCGGGCCTTTACTTTTTAGTCACTGGTTTTTTTTTATAGGATAAAGGTGACAATCGAGGACACAGTCCACCTGGTGGTCAGGACTAAGATGAAATACCTCGTTTCCAGTCAAAAGATAGACATTTGTCAATCATGAATGATTCTCTCTTAAAAGTATTGATGGTTCATTCATCTGTTTTTGAATGTTTCGGTACAACCAATCAAAAACAATTGACGGAACCTTTTTAACTCGTGATTGGTGTGAATTTTAAACGAGCCGAAAACCGACCGAATCCCGAATGATCTGAATGAATTGTTTTTAGTGTAGGGTACTGGGGCACGAAATGATCCATTTGAATTCGAGGAAAGTACGCGTGACGAAATGTACTGGAATGATTCGGTCACGAGAAATGAACGATTGACACACGTCTATAAAAAAGGTCTCCGGTTCTCTACACTCACCATACTAAACAGCGGCGTCAAGCTGCTATATTATGCTGTTATTCCGTGAGAGCGTGGTCCTTCCCCGGTCTGGCTCTACTACATGTAGCATGCTCTATGCTGGCTCTACCACGTGTAAATGGTAGTTTTACGATTTAGACGTGGTAAGAGCCAAGAAAACATAGAGCATGCTCGTGTAGCTTGCGACCAAAAACAATAACAGACAAAGCTGAAGGTACTCCGTGTTAACTTTTGGGACATCGGGACGTCAGTCACTTCAATACCCCCGTGACCATGGACTAAACACTGTGTTGGAAAGCACCCGAAACGTCGGGTATTAAAAATAAAATAAATAAAACGCGATAAAATCCGTAAAAGTAGTTTTAATCAAAAATATTTCAGTAAATTTTGGATTAAGGATAAGCCATGTAGAGGTCTCTAGGCAATGCGAGCGACGGACTACTCTTCCTTTTGATAACTTCTTATACTTACTACGTTAAAATACATTTTTAAAGAATGCCATTAAATCACGTGGGGTTCATAGAACGTTGCCTATTTTGATTGTAGATTGATCCGGCCCTGCATTAGTTTACTTTTATGAATTTAATTTTATTCTAGTTGGACACCATGATCTTGAAACTTCGATAGTAAATTTGGTATTTGAAGGTGTGGATACCGTTGCGTTTGTTGAACTGAATGATGTTCCTATTGGTACCACTCATAATATGTTTGTGAGATATGTCTTCGACGTTAAACAGCATCTTAAGGTTTGTATACCTGAATATAATATCTCAAAATCAAAAATAATTAGAATTGTAAATTATTTTTCACCATACAGAGCTTGCTTCTTGTTTATGTATATTCTAAGTTTCTCAGCTACAAAAGTAATACTCCTAAATTACGAATTAGTAAGGCGAAATTTGACTGATTTTTTTAATACCTATTTTTTAAATCTGTTTAAACTAAATGAGAACTTTTCCAAATAAACACGGTGAAATTCTTCGACTAAAATAAATATGAGATACTACGTATTCACTTCTTCTTCCAAAATAATATCAAAAAGAAATGAAAGCATCTTTAATGAGCTCTGATGAAAAATGTTTTCTTCCAGATCGGAAAAAATGAATTGAAAGTATCATTTGCTTCACCTGTGGAAGTCGCACGTAATCGTTCCAAAAAGCATTTCGCTGCGCCCGATTGCGTGCCGGATGTATACAATGGGGAGTGCCATGCAAATCAAATAAGAAAGATGCAGGCTTCGTTTAGCTGGGATTGGGGTCCAGCATTTCCATCCGTCGGCCTATGGTAAACTTCTCCTTTATATACATACTTCAAGTACACATTTTTGAAGTTAAAAATTCTTTAGCTATTTAAAACTCGAAACGAAAAAACAACATTAAAAGAAGACAAACGTATACATCTATCGGTTTTATCCTGAGAGAGAGAGAACGAGATAGTGTTTCCTACTGTCTCGGTTTCCTTTTCTCAAAATTTCACTTCTACCGCATGTAGACTTCACATGTGTTTTTTATAAGAGAGAAAGCGTGCCTAGGGGCGCAAGGTTACAAAAGGCGGGAAAAAGTAAGTGCGGCTCACCTGATGGTAAGTAAACCAGGGGTGGCCATTCTTTCAGAAAAGACAAAAGAGTAGATTCTTTTCTTGAAGTCCCTAAGTCGTATTGGTCCAGAAAAACCGATTGCGATAGTAAATTCCACAGTATAATCGTATGAGAGAGAAAACTCCACCTAAATCTCACGGTAGTAGGGGAAATCATCAGGATCGAATATCGAGTTATGTTGCAGTGTAAGATGGTGGAGTTAAGCAGCTGGAATTATTTTGAACAATTTCTCTGAGCAGTCTGCGTAGTATATGCGGTAGAAGATGCATAGAGATGAAACGTCTCTTCGCAAAGTCAGTGGATCATGTAGATCGTAAAGAAATTAGTCGTCGACGATTGGTCGCTCTCCGTTGAATACCGTCAAGTGGAAGGAGCTGATACTGGGGTCTCACAGCCCAGAGATGAGAACAGTATTTCATATGAGGCCGAAAGTGCGCTGGTAATGATGACTTACAGAAATTCGTTTGGGCGGCCTTGTCGAGAGAACATATTGCACGAGTTTCCGACGGAAAGCGAACTAGTGTCTCCCCAATTTTTTCAATGTGTTCCGACTTTACCCTAGCAACAACTCTTTAGAAAGACCTGGAGGCAGAGCTGTACTTCTTTTTGAGTGTGCTAGTGTTTACATCCCGAGACGTCGATGCGTTGGCCCAGACCTTGTAACGCTCCTGCCTTTTTCGCGACGAATTTTGCAGTAGCGATCAAATCAAGGCTGGGATCTGCCACCGATAGGTACTACAGATGACGGGAAGAAAATTTCCATTTCCTGAAGCACCCCATCGGCGTCAGACTCAGCAACGTTGTTGGGATCATCCAGCGAGAAATAAATCCGCTTCCATGGGTGGGATTCATAATAAGCCCGTATCCCATCCCAATTCACTGACCTATAGTGCCATATACACGGCGACAGCCAAGAGATCAGGAAGAAAAAGAGAAAAAAAAACACACTATGGAGATAGTCAGAAAAAAAAAGATGCTGCCTGAGCATTCACGCACAGTAGGGAGATGGCCAGTGAGGGATTCTCCAGGAATATACATGCTGGTATCCTCCTGGATTATAATATTTTTATTTAACACCGCTGTCATGTTTTTTCCACTGAACTATACTATAAATTATAACATAGTTTACTTGCGAAATACGTAGTTAGTTAATTTATAATATACGAGTATAACCGCCAGAGGGGCGCAGATGTGGTGCTAGCCTAGAGCGCTGTCGACATTTAATCTGCCTCTGACAAACGAGCTTACGGCTCACGCTATTTAACGAAACATTCTGTTTAGTTCTTTTGTATAGCATACATCTGCATCAATCATTACCTATTAATTACAGACCATCAGAACCACTGATGTGTATAGGCCTCCCGCATTGGTTATCTCATAGGGGATATTTACATACACGAAGATATTAGCAGATAGGTTGGTAACCGCGACTTTTTGGTAACCGCAAATTTTTGATCATTATTAAATTGTTATCAGATTTATTGTTATTAGGATTTTTATGGAAAGGAGGGCGAATTAGCATGCGGTTCACCTGGTTTTTAGGTAGGTATTGAAGGTTGCTGCCTATTTCGTGTTTCACTTTTGCTTACGTCACCCGACGAGATGACATGAAGTAACGGATTTTCATACTCTGCCACTACACAGCAAACTTATCTGCACATTTATACTCAATTCAAGATAGGTGTGTAAGATCTATTGTGAAGAACCATGCTCGCATAAAAATACCAGCTTGAAATACAAGTTATTGCTGTATTTCGACCGTGTATTGGTGGTGTAGAATATCCACTACCCCATAACGTCCCGTCGTCCAATTTTTAAAAATAAAAATTATCCGAATTCAAATAAGTTTTTTTTATTTCTGGAGGCACATTTTCTCGTGTGTTACAAGAATCCTCCATAATGATATCGTGAAGTACGTATATGTAATCGTATAATTTAGCGTAATATGTACTCGATTAGCAGGGAAATGTGAATTTACTCGAAGAAATAAGATAATCTGTAGTTTATAAAATCTCAATTATAATCGAGCGCCTGAGGTTTACCTGGCGAAATAATAAGTGCGACCAAATTTCGTTTTGTGTTGCAACGGCTAATAGTGTATTATAATAGAAAAGTCAAAAAGAAAGAGACAACCTATCATTCGGCCTCCTGTTAGGTATAGGCCTCCTTTAATTTCTAGAGTTTTGGACCGGGAAAGTACAATACTGTCTCAATGCAAGTGGGTGGACTTCAATTGTCATGTATATCCTAATTTCTTAGATATGCATGTTTCTTTACGACTTTTTCCTTCATGACAAAACACGGCATCAGTAATTAAATTGCAAATGTGTCAGTGTATTTATATTTATGTAATAATAATAATAATTTCTTTCTGTGATCATTAACAAAATTAGTACGAATCGCTTTCCTTAACCCAATTTTTATAATCATAACATACTGCCTATTCCCCAATAATTATACAAGTGTAAGTTAGTGTTAATTTTAATTTTAGGAAGCCTGTTTTTATAGAACTTTACGATGGAGCTATAATACGTTCCGTGACCACTCATACAGAACAGAAAGAACAAAACTGGGAGTTAAGAATCGTTGTGCACGTAGAATCGGGAACAACAAAAAAGCATGTCACTGGTTATCTCAGTGCTTCGTTAACGGTCGATGGTCCTCAAACAATAAAGATAGCAAGAAAAGTCGACGTAGTTACAAGAGATGATGGGACCGGTGAATTAGAACTTAATATGACCGTCAGTCTTGTAAGTATTAAATTTAACTTATAAACCTAATTTTAAATATCTTAATTCAGAATAATAAAATTAATTATCCTAAGAGACTACTATGGAAATTGCTAGAACTATGGAAATTTTGATATCTTTTAATAAATCCTGCTAATGTAGGCAATATTAGCAGCATTTTTCAATTACTCAAAAATAGTATTAAAATTTTTTGGAATTGTGAGTGAAACTAAAAATTGCAAGTAACTGGAGAAGATATACCTATTATATATTACTATATGATATACCTATTGTCTCAGCTTTAAATAATGGTGTACATCTGGAAAATGATAAAGAACTGTTTCACTTACTAAATAACCTGTTACACTACGGTCTGCCTTTCAGCAATATAAAAATTATAAGAATAATTCTAAACCTCTAACGACACCCAGATAATATAGGTATTCTCTTCTCTTCCACATGGTGTTTAGTTTTATGTAAATGAGCCTTATGACATGGGACATACAAACATAGCTTCTTCTCATAATCTCGTATAACTAAAATAAAACAATAAAATATAAATTATAATAATGATATTATTTGTAAATAATAGCAAAATTAAAATGGTCTTGTGTGAGTTTTCTTTTACTCCTTTACTATAAAAGTTTATATTATTTTCTAAAAAATGTTAACCGTACACAAAGATTTTTAATGAATCATGAAGGCGTTTTACATACATAAATTGCACGTGAAGGATGTGGTGTGGGGTGTTCGGCAATGAAACCTAAAGGCTGATAATGAGAAATATTATTAAATATTATGAGAGAATATTAATGACTAAATCCCATTCCAGAATGACATCAGTCTTTGGTGGCCTAATGGGTTTGGTGATCAGACTCTTTACGATCTGGAAGTTTCTTTAAAAACTCACGAGAAAGGTGAAGAAATTTGTCAGAAATCTGTAAAGATTGGTTTTCGCACACTAGAAGTCATTGAAGAGGATGCTTCGAATATTTTAGGTAAGATTTAACAGTTTTTAAGCAAAAATGGTAAATTTTTGGTTATGGATGACTTACATATATTGTTATTGCAAAAACTAAGTTAGTTGTAGTATTTGTTCAAATTTAAAATACTTATAACATTGCATACATAAAGGTCAAACTGTGTGCGTGCGTGCGTGCGTCTATTTATTGCAATACATTTTCAGTTTCATCATACTCTATTGTCTTTAATTACCCTGTAACGTATATCATCACATCTTTGTTCCCTTCTTACACACTTTTGTTTAATAAGCAACATTGCGAGTATGTACGATTCAATGGGTTGGATCACACCCGTCGTGATTACAGCTAAAATATTTATTCAGAAGCTTTAGAGATCAGGTTTAGCCTGTGACAGTAACGCCTGAATTACTGAAAGAGTTGATTAATTTCAAGGAAGACCTGTCTAACATGAATACTATATCTATTCCAAGATGGTTGGATATTAAAAGCATCTCAGGCAGCCGATACAGCTGTGTTCTATATTAAAGTTAAGAGGGGGGATAATATTCATGTCTGATTGATATTTAAAACTACAGTGGTGCGGGTTGAAAGAAATATGTCTTTATCAAGATTAGAGTTGCGTGCTGTTCTGATCGCTACGAAATTAATATGCGAAGTATCACAGGTTCTTGAGGTGGCTAGAGAAAATTTATATGCATGGTCGGACTCGACGATTGTATTGACATGGCTATTTGGAAACACAAGTCAATGGACAATAGACCATTAAACACTCACGCCTGTCACCCAGAGGGGAGACATGTAGACACAGACTTCAACACGATCCTGACACACCTCTCTCGCTCTGTCAATAATAGAATTTAAAATAGCCAGGTCAGTGGAGACCGACATGTCTCCACTATAACTATTTTAGAATTAAAATGATGAAAAGATATTGTAAGCTTGAGACAGATTTAGAGGAGAACCAAGTTAAGATTTAAACTGCTGTGAAATTTTACCAAAAGAAGATTTTATCTGCACAAGATTTTCAAATTTGTCAAGAGGTTTGAGTGTTGGCGTATTGTGAAAAAATATTGATTTAAAAGTACCCGGAGAGCAAAGATTGACTTTAAATAAAAGGAGAAAGTCCTGCTTATTTCTCCCGTAAATCCAAGATACTACAAGCGGTACGTAGACGACACTTTCACAAGTCTACCTTTAGATAAAGTATCTGCATTTTTAGACCATCTTAACTCCATAAACTCTAAAATTCAATATTCACAATGAAGTTATAGGCAAACAATTCATAAATTTTTTAGATGTTTTACTAATTCGGATTCCTGATAACACAGCCATACTGTGTAAAGAAAAAAGACCCATATAGGTAGATGTTTAAACGCTGATTCTCACCACCATCCATCACAGGTTAGCTTAGGTTAGCTAACGTGGCGAAATCTTTGTTTCAAAGAGCACGACGGATCTGTGACAGTAAACACTTGGCCGCCGAGCTTCAATGCGTCAAGCATGTTTTGCATGACAACAAGCTTCGAGTCTACGTCACAGTTAACGAGTGAAGCCGGCAACAGTCGAGCGTGTGCCTGCTGTACTGCCATATGTCAGAGGTGAAATTGAAATCAAAAAACATCTTAATTTCAAAAGGGAAGATGGCTATGTGCTACCATCTGCTTGGGATCCTATAATTAACAAAATTAAATGCGTAGATCGGAACAAACACTAATATTTTTAATCTGGAGGTAGTCATGGTTAACCGTCATATTGGGACGTCGAACACCTTAGTGCCCCCCCCCCCCCCACGTGACCAAGGGTGCTGTAAAGTGCTCCAAACGTAGGGAATATAAAATAATATACGCGATAAATCCGTAAAAATTAGTTTTATTCGAACTCTTAGTCCCGTACTTGATGATAACCAAATTAAAAAAATTAATAAAAACACATTTTTTAATCTTTTTTTTAAATGTTCGTTCTTTTTTGTGTAGATTATGAAAAAAAGAACAACTTCATTTTATTATTTAAAAAAAAAGTTATCAACAATTATACGTGAATGACATGCATTTTCATGAATATTTGAAGCCTTGAAACCAACATAAGTTTTCAATTTTTTATTCTTGTATTTTTTCATAAATCTGCCGTAATAATGACGATTTAAAAAAATCATTGAAATCTGATGATTTTTCCATTTTCTAGAGCCAAAAAACGAGGTGACCGCGATAGTATAAAATTACCCAATTCTCCATCCTAGTAACGTCACGGAGGATATGAACAAAAAAATAGAATTGTAACGACTAGATGACTATACTCGGGGTTTCTCTACCTAATAAACTTAGGCATGAGGATATCCGCAACAGAACTCGCATAAGCGGCATAGTCCAACGGATTAGCAATCCAAATTGGTAATAGGCGGGCCATATAGCTCGAAAAACCGACAACCTATGCGGAAGAAAGATTCTCGAGTGACAGCCTCGTACCGGTAGGCTAAGTGTAGGGCAGGCTCTAGACGGAGTGACGATCTGGTAATACGGTGGATCCGGACCGGGCTTTGTAGCATTTCTTGGGGGAAGCCTAACTTCAGCAATGGACTTGTGAAGGGCTGTACCTTATGTACATTTGTTTCATAATTCTATCGATAATGTAAATATTTATTACACTTTAAAATTTCAGGAAATACAACAGCTGGAAAGGGTCTCACATTTTACTTTAAAATTAATGGTTATCCAATTTTTATGAAGGGCTCCAACTGGATACCCGCAAACATTTTACCAGAACTTGGGTACGATAAATCAACAGGTATAAATTCATAGAACTAACATTTATATTATTTAATACTTATAAAATATAGGTAATTGGAGATGACCCAACTTTTGCTGACAAGGAAGTTGCGTTTTAGCGCTGGTTTTCAGGCACTCCTTTCCCTCTTTCTGTTATACGGAATTGCGGGCTCTCCAATCACACACAAAATTTAAATAATAAAATCCAGTTTCCGCCATCTATAAATTGAATTACGCGCGTCTTGACACTTGAGTAGCAAAAAAAACTATTAAATTTGTAGGAGATAAAAAAATTAACTCAAGTGGATAGAGTACCTTGCGCCCTCCTTTCTGCCAAGGAGGGTCGCGTTCGTATACGGCTTAGAGATCTCTAGTTAGACCGTTAAGCCAGTCCCTAAAAGGTGGGGTTTAGTGGGTAAAAGTCTCCACATAACCACGCTGCCGGCTGCGTGGTATGCTATGAGAATTCCCCACCTCCCTCCCCCGTTTTCCGGAGGGTTGCCCATATTTGCTTCGGGCGCAAAAAAAAAGGGATAGAGTAAGTCAGCTCAAATTCTAATTTCGTCCCCACTTGCCCGCGCGTTGTATGCTACCGACATGTTTGTAATCACTAATACTGTAAGTAGAAAGGTCGTTAGACACTTATTTCATTAGATTTATCATATTTATGCCTGTTTCTTAACGCCAAGCCAGTCGCTTCTTATTTTTATTACGGTTATTTCCCATTTTAATTTTACGTCGTCCTGTTGCGTAATGTATATTCTGATCGTAAGCGACACAACCTCCCCGTTCAAAGGCCGAAGCGAAGGTATTCTGTGGAAGTGACCGTGCGCCGTGCGGCAGGAACCACGCTTCAAGAGGCCGATAGTTTAGGTAATTTCTTTTTACAGTGAATATAATGGTATTTTAAAAAAAGTAAATAACATAATTACTGCTTTGTAGTTAGTTCAGTTAGTATGCAAAGTTTCATGATCTTATTTAAAGTATTTTATGAATAACAGCGGTTTATTGTTTATTTTGGAGGTAACTTTGGATTTTTTTTTCTATCGAGAAAATTTTACGAAATCGTGTTTTCGTCTAACATAATCCTTAACATTAATCCTCAACTTTACCATATATTTATTTCAAAATTAATGCTGTAATATTTTCGGCATAACGAAGGATCTTGCTAAGCCATTTGAGATTATATTTCCCCTTAAATTATACAGTTTATGTTTAAATTAAATATTTTGTTTTCAGTGGATAGTCTTCTAACAGCTGCAAGTGAAACTCACATGTCGATGCTCAGAGTTTGGGGTGGAGGCGTATACGAGTCTGAGTATTTCTATGAGAGGTGCGATCAGCTGGGCATTTTGATCTGGCAAGATTTTCTGTTTGCGTGCGCTATGTACCCTGCTGATCCGGAATTTCTTGAGTAAGTATCCGTCAGTATTTTTTTAAAAATAAGCATAGTTTTGTTTGATATTCCTTACCCCAATACCAGGATTGTTCATGTATTGCGGAGGCATTTTACATACATAAAATGCACATGGAAAAATACCTTTTATTATCGAGTATTCTGGGGTATTTTTCTGGGTGTTTGTGCGTGTAAAGCCCATATCATTTTAAGATATTTAATGAATTAAAATCTATTGTCTAATCACTAAATATTACTTAACTTTGCCATTTATATTACATAAAATACAGTGCATTACACGAAATTAAAATTAATAAAATAAAAGATTGCAAGATTGTTAATAATATTGAGAAAAAACTTACTCTTTATTGTTCATCATGTAGTTAAAAAGGTCTCTATATTTATTACTTTGTATTTATACATAAACCTAATAAAAATTACGGGAACGTAAAACGTTAAAACTATTTAAAACCTATTTTATTTCTAAATACAATTATAATTATACTTACGTAATTAATACGTCGTGACAGAAGTCGATGTAAAAACGATCTGGCCGCGCCCATGAGCTCTGCCTCATGCAACCAAAAGCACAGACTCTACGGTTACTAGATACTGCCTAATGCCTCCTCTAAAAAAATGATAACTAATCTAACTTGAATTCTCCATTCTAGTAACGTTACGGACGAAATAGAACAAACCGTGATTCGACTGCAACACCATCCATCAATTGCACTTTGGTCTGGTAACAACGAGAATGAGGTGGCCTTGAGAGGCAACTGGTACAACACGCAAGCACAATTCTCCAAGTATAAAGAGGAATATATCAAACTGTACGTAGACACCATTAAACCGATCGTCGAGAATTTGGATCCAAACAGACGCTATCTCGTTTCAAGCCCGTCTAATGGCTTAGAATCAGAGCAAGAGGGGTACATCGCTCAAAACCCATATGACCCTTACTATGGTGATACGCATTATTATAATTACTTGTCCGATAACTGGGACTTAAATATATACCCGAATACGCGTTTCGCTTCCGAATACGGTTTCCAATCTTTGCCGTCCCTAAAAACGATGTCTACTGCCACAAAGAACAAAGAAGACTATAAGTTGGATAGTGCTTATTCGAAGCACAGACAGCACAGTCCAAACGGTTACGACTTCATTAAGGACCAAATTAACCGACATTTAAAGTTGGATGAAAGTGACCCGAAGTACTTCGACAAGTTCGTCTTTTACAGTCAGGTATATTTTAAAGTGTTGAATAGTATGTTTTTGGTGTAAGAATGCCCACCAATGATACATCCAACCATTAAAGCCAAGATAATCCACTGCTGAACATAAGCCTTCTCCGTATATTGCCTCACAGGGGCGATTTCACCATAGTTGCCAACCCACCTGCCAAGCGAAAAGTTAATTATAATTTTGACTTGTAGTCAAGAAAATGCTACTGCCTATCTCCAGCTTCAGTTTCCCTCTTTCGTTTTTTACGCGTATCAATATTTTTTTAAACACTATCCAAACACTTTATGTAACTGTTTCCGTGAAGGGCTTTTATATAAATAAATCGCACACGGATAAAATTTTATTTACGACGAAATTATAAATCGATTTCAAAATTTTTAAAGATTAAATCAATTTACACATAATAGCCACTTGATACCTACATAGGTCTTAGCACCTGGCTAAGACGTAGGTGTAGGTATCCAAGACCTAGTCTTCAGAAATATTTCATTACACTTTTTGCTTGTTGTAAATCCATATCATCCCGTGGGTGTCGTCCGAGGCGACAGAGGGGAACAAATCAGATGGGGAGGCCTATGTTTTTTTTTTTGCGCCCGAAGCAAATATGGGCAACCCTCCGGAAAGCGGGGGAGGGAGGCGGTGAATGCATACCACGTAGCCTAGATGCGTGGTTATGTGGAGACTTTTAACTATCGAACCCTATATTTAGCAGTGGACTTTTATAGGCTATTATGGTAACACATTTTGTGAAATATTATTATATACTAATAGTAACTTTTCTTACAAATTAATTAATAATAAAAATGGGTTTAATAGGAGTAAATTATTGTTTTTTCTTGATTTGTTTTGTAAGTAAGAAGTATTGATACTATATTTATTTTAGATATCCCAAGCAATGGCAATGAAGGCAGAGACGGAGTTTTACCGACAAAGCCAAGCAAACTGGTACACGATGGGTGCTTTATACTGGCAGCTGAATGACGTCTGGCAAGCACCGTCCTGGTCTAGTATAGGTAATCTTTTTTGTTGTGTTAGTGAGGATTAAACAGCAAATCTAATCTAATATTATACTGATTTTATATTTTTAAATACTGGCAACCCTTTTCTTGTACCTATTTTACGAACGTGTAACTAGTAGGGGATTAACCGCACAATCGATTTCGCTTGTGTTTAGGCATAGTAAAAACAGAATAGTAGGAAGGATAAAGTCCCGCGTCGCGCGAAACTACTGTTGCAGGGTTGTCACTGTCTTTTTGTACAGCCAAGTCTCATTTAGTTTTATAAGTAGTTATAGTATTTACAAGCAATACATACCGATACGTACCTATGCATCATATTTTTTAATTATTTCTTTGTTGTTGTGATCCTTGTTGACACAAAACTAGTTTTAAAGCAAGTATATCACTTTAATGCAAAAATAATTGATGCCTCTGCCTTTGATATTTGGTGACGGAAATATTTCGAAATTTTTGCGTTTTTTATGACCTCTTTGAATTTGGAAATTTTCCTTTGTAAAGAGTAATCCAAATTAAATAGAACGATAAATAAAATTTCTAGACTATAGTTTGTACCAAGGTAACACACAAGCAGCGCAGCAGACGAAACGACGAAACGACGTACGAAATACGCTCAAAAAGCGATTTCGTAGCAGTTATGTTTTTTACATTTCATTGTTCAATTTAAGGGGAAATATAATCTCAAATGGCTTAGCAAGATCCTTCGTTATGTCGAAAATATTACAGCATTAATTTTGAAATAAATATATGGTAAAGTTGAGGATTAAAGTTAAGTATTATGTAAATCGAAAACACGACTTCGTAAAATTTTCTCGATAGAAAAAAATCCGAAGTTACCTCCAAAATAAACAATAAACCACTATTATTCATAAAATACTTTAAATAAGATCATGAAACTTTGCATACTAACTGAACTAACTATAAAGCCGTGCTTATGTTATTTGCTTTTATTAAATACCTAAACTATCGGCCTCTTGAAGCGTGAGTCCTGCCGCCCGGTCACTTCGATTCGGCCTTTGAAGGGGGAGGTTGTGTCGCTTACGATCAGAATATACATCACGCAACAGGACGACGTAAAATTAAAATGGGAAATAACCGTAATAAAAATAAGAAGCGACTGGCTTGGCGTTAAGAAACAGGCATAAATATGATAAACCTAGTGAAATAAGTGTCTAACGACCTTTTAACTTATAGTATTAGTGATTACAAACATGTCGGTACATAGCATACGACGCGCGGGCAAGTGGGGACGAAATTAGAATTTGAGCTTACTCTACCCTTTTTTACTTGACTTACTATATCCCCTATACTATACTTGTCCATGCTTTTAGAATTTGTTCGTTCGTTCGTTAACAACTCTTATCGGGAGACGAAAATCTTGTAATTTTAGACAGTCCTGTATGGAGCCGGACTAACTGCGAATAACGATGGAAATGGTAGATGATAGACAGTTCCTAATCGAATATTCCATAATTTTAAGAATTCCACGTTGGTCTCGTGATCGTAAGCACGACGCCGATCATTCGGTCCCGGGTTCGAATTTCGGTTCGAGGCAAAATCGGTAATCGGTTATCGTTATCAAGAAATTTCAAGAAGTTTCAAACTGAAACAGGTGACGGGCAACGGCATTTTTTTGATAACTCAGAATTATAGAAAACTGCAGTTGCTAGCCCGCCTGCAAAGCCAATTTTGCCACTATGTGGCAATCTATAGCGGAAGCCTATGTTCAGCAGTTATAGACCAATAACCTGTCATAGATGAATGAACATTTCCAATCATCTAGGGCTTACTGGTAGAAAATGGCACAGGAAAAACTTCACCCTTTATAATAATAATATCCTCCAGACCGAATTTCGGTCACGGCGGCCTGCCTCAACGGAGGCTAGCCATCGGCGCAGGACTGGATTATAGTACCCAAGTGTATGCGCAAGCACAGGTGCACTTTCTATTCCCTCACTCACATAATCCGATGGGACGGTAAACCGACACGACCGGAACGAGAGATCAGGCGCAGGACCAACGGCTTTACGTGCTTTCCGAGGCACGGGGGTGAGACACCGCCAACTTCCTGACTCCGGGCAGCTACTGAGAATTTCTTGACGGAAAAACTCAATAATTGATTTTTTGGCCCGACCCGGGAATCGAACCCAGGACCTTGTGATCAGCAGTCGCACTACTACAACGAAGCAGTCACCCCTTATATAAGTCACTCTTTATATAAGGTGTATACTAAAAATTTAATAAACAAATGAATTATCTGTGGTAGCCCAGAGTCAGGAAGTTAGCGGTTCACCCCACGCTTCGGAAAGCACGTAAAGTTAGTCCGGCGGCAGTTCCCTTTCCGGTCGTGTTGGACTGTCGCCCCATCAAACTATGAAAGTGCAGGATTATATTATAATGACACACACAGGATGACACGTCACTACATGTCTATGTTTTCTAATATTTGATTTCAATTGCAGAATACGGTGGAAAATGGAAAATGCTGCACTACTACGCTAAATCATTCTTTGCGCCGGTTTTAGTATCGCCTCGTCTGCTCCTCACGGGTGCAGTAGACGTCTACGTCATCAACGACAGGCTCGTGCCACTTGTCGATAGCAAAATAATAATAGAGTTTTATAATTGGAGCAGCTTAATACCGTTTAAATCACAGGAACATCCAGCTAGTGCGGAAATGCTTTGTGCGGCAAAGCAGATGTCAATAAGCTTGGCGGAATACAGTAAAGATGAAATCTTTTTGAAATTTTCCTTAGACATAGAGAACGTGCCATATTCACCGCATAACTTTGTTTTCCCGAGGCCGTTAAAAGAAATAAAAGGTCTGAAGCAACCACACATAAAGGTAACAACTTAATAATAGATAATAAGACGCAAGCTTTCTCTTTCATAAAAAGAACCGTTTTATTTTTTGTCTTTTAAACAAATTACTTACGCACGTAACTTATATAATATGTATTTGCATCCTACTGCGCTAAATTCAGACCTCTCATATTTAGCCGGTTGTTCTTTATTTTATAAATGGATGTGATGGTTTAATGATGATGTTTACCTAACTTTACCACCGAGCAGGTAAATCTGCACATAAAACTGTAGTCAAAACTTTGGTGTTGCCAGTGAAGATGAAACTCGGTTAGTAAGGCTATCACTTAATGAAATTTAAGACCTCATTAAAAATGAATAATAATTTAAACGTCAACGTGGTAAGATAGTCTACTGCAAATATTATATTATGGGTATGTTCCAAAATAGAACCCAGTGTACTGTCCACAGTCCAATGCAAATGACGTCATGAATCGACGCTATACCGGTGATTCGTTCCAAAACATAGGAAGGTATAATATGACGTCATACATTTGCGTCATTTTGGAAAAGTGTTGGCGATTATTTTGTCATTTTGTGCTCCAAAAATCATTATATCATCCTGATGGAGATACCAGCAATTATTCTATAATTTTTTGTAATTGTATAAATAAAAACAAATTCTGACATGCTTCATTCAGCGCACACACAATTAAAAATTGTTTTATTACGGCTGGATATCCGACACAATATGGCGGCGACACGCCAATATAATATGGTGTCAATTGATGACGTCATTTGTATTCGGCAGTATACTGGAAACGTTTCGGAACATAACCTATATCTGCAGCACGGTCCGCTCGATCAGGGAAGTACACGCCCTTACAGAACACCAGCGTAAAATAGCAGCTTATTGTTGCTGTTTTTTGTATGGTGAGTGTAGAGAACCAGATACCATTTTAACTGGTAACGTGGTATTCAGTTTTGAGGTGTAGAAGCCACAGCATTCACTTACCATTAGGTGAACTGTGTACTCGTGTGTCGCCCTTATTCTATAAAACAAATGGTAATATTTTGTTGAAAATGATATCAAGATTTTTGAGTGAAACATTATCTGTATGAATATACATTATATTTATTTCAGATAACCGTGGAAAACAACAGCTTTCAAAATAGATTTAAAGGGTTTAGATACGTTGTGAATATAGAAGTAGATGCCGTGATTCTCTTCCTCTGGCTTGAAACAAACTCACTGGATGGACGATTCTTGGACAATGGTTTTATAGTAACTCAACCGCGAACAAAAGTCGACTACATTATCCAAAAACACGTGTCCGCGCAAGAATTAGAAAGAAGTATCACATATCAATACTACTTAAATTGAACGAGAGGATCATTAGTAAATACTAATTAATATTGAAATGAAATCCTAAAACTATATCGTTGAATAAAATGAAGTTATTTAGAGTTTGTCTTATTTTTTTAGAAAAGCTGACGTTACCGGTAAATCTATCATTCGTACGAACTCTTGAACTTCAGTAACGTCCAAACGACGACGTTTAAGCGATATGCCACCGAGGATTCATAATAGTTGAACATTGTTTTATATGTTCAACTATTACGAATCCACGGTGTACATGTTTTATACTATATAATGTTATTTTTTTCCTTAAATTTTTTACATTCATCAGGTGACAACCTCATCAAAATAGGTATACATTTTCGACGTTGTTAGGAAGCTTCCCCTCTGGTCCTTACTCTGTGATAGGGCCTCTTGCTATACGAAACAAATGGGCGACATAACCATATAAAAAGAGTCGATGGCTCAGATTCCCGCCGACAAACTGTTACGCAGTGTAATCGGTGTAAAAAATGTACTAAAGGTTTGGTCCAGAATATATTTATTATTAATTTAAATATAATTTTATTTCATAAGCCGTCAGCTGGTTACACCCTACCAGCTCCCCCTACCAGAATATCCATTCAACATATTGCCTTTTGAACTTGAAACTAAGATAACAAATCCAGTAATATCCTCATTAAGCATAGTAATTCTTTTAGGAATTTGCTTGATGAGGGACCATAATCGAAGACCAGTTTCAGGTGCCGTTTCTTAAGCTCCTATGTGAAACCTCAACATTTCATCGAAGTAGTCTTGCAATAGTATTTTTATTACATCACTATACTTACTAAAGCCATCCACTAAACTTAAGGAGTAATAGCTGACGACCCTTTTTAATGCCATTAACAAATCAAATCCTTCCAAGCGTTTATTTTGCACAATGTTTTCTACAATGTTACACCATTCTTCCATGTCCGAGTGTGAATTATCTGGATTACAATGGCGGATTCTAATAATTCGTTTGATGGTGTCTAATGCAGTCAATGAACCAACCAAATTCTGACAAGTAAGATCACGGAGAAGTCACTCCTTAAGATTAAGATAAAATATTTCTAATCTTGTAATCGTACTATCAAATCTTTCAAATCGAAATTCGAACAAATTCTAAACAAAAACTTATCACGTGATGCAAACAAAACTCGTCGCTCGCTTGGTTCAACTAGCATATTTTCAACTGATTTCTTTTCAGAAAATGTCTGCATATATTAAATACATTCACACAAAATGCATTAGATCAGGCGTTCCCAAAGACATGGGAGCCAAGCCTGCTACAAAAAAATACCTCCCTCCTGCCGCAATTTCACCTACTACTGAGTATTGGTTATTCATAAGTTAAGTGACGAGACCCACTCGGTGTTACGTGCTATTCTCTGCGTATAACAACAATACGACTTACGTCTTTGATTAAAACTACTTTTACGGATTTTATCGCGTTTTATTTATATTAATTTTAATACCCGACGTTTCGGGTGCTTTCCAGCACCCATGGTCACGGGGGACTGAGGTGACTGACGTCCCGATGTCAAAGTTAACCCGGAGTACCTTCAGCTTTTTAATTATTGTCTTTGGTATCTACGCAAAATGAACTAACTGTATTTTGAAGTCTTGCAGTGGTATGCTTGGGTTTAGTTTTAATTTTATTAATTATAGGATCCCAAGCAGGTGGTAGTACCCAGCCCCCTTCTCTATTGAAATTAGGATATATTTTAATTTCAATAGCCTCACGTATCATCATTGGCAGGAATCGATGTTCTTTCGCGAAGATTTGTGGTCTATCAAATCTGATGTAATGGTTGGGGCCATCTAGAATATGATCGCAAACTGCAGACTTCCCGGAACGTTGATGCTTCACGTCAGCTATGTGTTCTTTTACGCGGGTTCTAATTGATCTCTTTGTTTGCCCTATATATGAGAGACCACAATCACAATCAAGCTTGCACACTCCTGCATCTTGTAGAGGAATATGACACTTGACGGATGGTAAGAACTGACTAATCTTCTTCGGCGGCTGGTAGAATGTTCTAATGGAAGCTCGCTTCAAGGTGTAGCCAATCTTGTCTGTGACACCCCTGACATACTGTAGTATAGCAGGCATACGCTCGACTGTGGCCGGCTTCACTCGGTCACTGTGACGGAGGCGCGGGACCCGAAGCTTGTTGTCGTGCAGAACCTGCTTGACGTGCTGAAGCTCGGCGGCCAGGTGTTTGCTGTCACAGATCCCTCGTGCTCTCTGAAACAAAGATTTGCCCACGGTAGCTAACTGTGAAGGATGATGGTGAGATTCACCATTTAAGTATCGGTTTGTATGGGTTTTTTTTCTATACAAAGTATGACCTATGTTGTTGTTAGGATTTCGGATGACTAACACATCTAGGAAAGCTAAGGCGTATGCGTTAAAAACCTTACGTAACAGACCAGAGCTTACGATTCTCCGCACAGATAAAGGAAATGCTACGGTTGTAATGGATACGTCGGATTACAATTTTAAAATACAACAACTTTTGTCGGATGAAAGTACATACAGTAAGGTCAAAACAGACCCTACAACTAATACGCTTAAAACAACTAGCGACCTAATTAAGAAAAGTACTCCGAGAAATTGAATCTAGAGATATACCTTCGTGTGCAAACCTCCCAAGTTGTATGGGTTACCAAAAATACACAAACCTAACGCTCCATTACGTCCAATAGTGAGTCAAATCGATTCGCCAACGTACAGATTGGCTCAACACTTAGCCAAAATATTGTTACCACTCAGAGGACACACAAGAGCACATACTAAGGATTCATACCATTTTGTCAGTGAGATAAAAGACCTACGTCTTGCTGACAATGAAACCATGGTCAGTTTTGATGTTCAGTCTCTATTTACATGCCTACCTGTTGAAGACTGCATCTCAATTATAACTAGGAAACTAGATGAAAATAACATGCCACCAGAATATGCAGTACTACTAAGACATTGCCTTACATCTGGCTATCTATTGTGGAAGGAAGAGTTCTAGAAGCAAGTAGATGGTGTTGCGATGGGCTCGCCTGTATCTCCCATTGTCGCCGATATATTCATGGAAGACTTTGAGGAGAAAGCCCTCCTTACTGCACCTGTTACCCCAAGGTTCTACAAGCGGTACGTAGACGATACTTTCACAATTTTACCATCAGACAAAGTAACTGCATTTTTAGAACATCTTAATTCCATAAACCCTAAAATTCAATTTACTATGGAGTTAGAGGCAAATAATTACTTAGCTTTCCTAGATGTGTTAGTCATCCGAAATCCTAGCAACACCATAGGTCATACTGTGTATAGAAAAAAGACCCATACAAACCGATACTTAAATGGTGAATCTCACCATCATCCTTCACAGTTAGCTACCGTGGGCAAATCTTTGTTTCAGAGAGCACGAGGGATCTGTGACAGCAAACACCTGGCCGCCGAGCTTCAGCACGTCAAGCAGGTTCTGCACGACAACAAGCTTCGGGTCCCGCGCCTCCGTCACAGTGACCGAGTGAAGCCGGCCACAGTCGAGCGTGTGCCTGCTATACTACCATATGTCAGAGGTGTCACAGACAAGATTGGCTACATCTTGAAGCGAGCTTCCATTAGAACATTCTACAAGCCGCCGAAGAAGATTAGTCAGTTCTTACCATCCGTCAAGTGTCATATTCCTCTACAAGATGCAGGAGTGTACAAGCTTGATTGTGATTGTGGTCTCTCATATATAGGGCAAACAAAGAGATCAATTAGAACCCGCGTAAAAGAACAGATAGCTGACGTGAAGCATCAACGTTCCGGGAAGTCTGCAGTTTGCGATCATATTCTAGATGGCCCCAACCATTACATCAGATTTGATAGACCACAAATCTTCGCGAAAGAACATCGATTCCTGCCAATGATGATACGTGAGGCTATTGAAATTAAAATATATCCTAATTTCAATAGAGAAGGAGGCTGGGTACTACCACCTGCTTGCAATCCTATAATTAATAAAATTAAAACTAAACCCAAGCATACCACTGCAAGACTTCAAAATACAGTTAGTTCATTCTGCGTAGATCGGACCAAAGACAATAATTAAAAAGCTGAAGGTACTCCGGGTTAACTTTGACATCGGGACGTCAGTCACCTCAGTCCCCCGTGACCATGGGTGCTGGAAAACACCCGAAACGTCGGGTATTAAAATTAATATAAATAAAACGCGATAAAATCCGTAAAAGTAGTTTTAATCGACTTACGTCTTCTTCTAGTTTAGTAAGGATAGACCCAAATCGCATCGCAGTGCATCTATGACCCTAAGACGATGTGGAACGTCCCGGGGAAGTTACCTAGATTCGACACTACGTGTCAAAGAGGGATGAAAGGATTACAGGTTACCATTACGTTTTACGTTACCTTGGTGAATAAAAATTTTATTTCAAATGTATTAAAATTGTTTACAATTTATACAAAATTTGTTTACAAATTATATAAAATTTGTTTACAATTATACACAATTTGTTTACAATATAAAATAATAGGATTAAAATAAGAAAGAAGGGATTAATTGCATGTTAATCTGCTTTCTCCTGGAGGACGCAATATAACATAAACACTTACAATTGTCAGCCAGAAGAGTAGGCAGAAACTACGGGATTCCATTTGGCATGATCCTGACACACCTCCCTCGTCTCCTTTACATCCGTATATCTACGCATACACTCTTATCGGTGTTAACTCGCGAGGCCACGTAATATGACACTCCCGTTCGCTCGCGACCGTAATGGCGGGAAAATTTGCAAATTAGCAAATTTTTTGCTATATTGCAAATTTTGCTATATTTTCACTTTGAGACAATATTTATGGATAAAACTTACAGGAATTCTTGTTGAATGTATAAACTATTGAATAAAATTATTTTGGTTGCTAGAAATTATAATAAAATTCATAAATTACCCTTTATAGCATAAGTAGTAGTATATACTTCACTTTTAGTGCCAAAATTACTACTAATTTGAATTCTACACTTTTGTTTTTGGAGAAATTTATATGAAAATGTTTGGAAATATGTATATTTTTATGTTTTATGTGTTTCTATTCGTTACTCATACCAAAATATTAAAAATTAAAAAATTAAAAAAAAATAATAATAATAATATTTATCTGTATGACATTTCGAACAATATTTCAAAAATATTTTTGTGTGAATTTGAAATAAATGCAACGTCAAGTTATTTGAAATATGTAAGAAAATTATTTTTACTTACATTTTACACTAAAAATAAATGAGAATTGGAAAAAATAACACATTTATGACCCAACCGCCAAAATGGGCGTTCCGTATTTCGAAGTACTTTTGGCAATTTACTTTTCACTTTTTATACCATAAATTATATATCTACGTGTTTACTATATTACAAGGAATATAAAAAAGTATAATACTTTCGTTTTAGTCCAGACACAAATATAAAATTCTATAAAAAAGACGGAGCACCTTCATCAAAGCGACACGTGGAACGCCGAAAGTTCAGAGTGATTTCTTTTTTTTTTTTTCTAAGAAACATTGCCAGGTTATGGTTTAAAATAAAAGAGCATATCTTTGTCTTTGATACTATTATCTATTGCATAGTGTCTTTGGTTTTGTTTTAATTAAAAAAATTCTTTTTCAAAGGGTAGTACTTGTTGTACACATGTGTACCTCTATCGAGCGAGCGGAAGGTGTTTATTTCTTGTACACATGTGTACTGTCGGCGACTTTACTATACTTTACTTTAGGGTACTCCTAATATAGTCCATTTTCAATACATTGCCACTTTGATCAATAAACTTTCGTCTAGGGCGTCCCTTCACGACTCTGCCGTCCTTGAGGAATTAAACTTTTAAGTTTATAGTATTTGGGATATACACTTTAACATACAGATGTCATTTTGTAACCTTTTAGAGCCGTCCCGAAAAGCTCGACATAATTTTTTTAAAAGAAAAAGAGCCTGCGTCACACTTAATTGAAAGTGATTACCTACCCCCACAAACAACTGGAACACCAGGGTACTTGCAGATGCGTTGCCGGCCTTTACGAAGTCACACTTGCGCTTTGATATTCAGTAAGAACTTATATTTCTTTACTTAGTATCTTATGGTTGTTACAAAGTTCAAAGGTCGGTGAACCCCTTTTAGCAATATACTAAATTGTCTGCATTAGGTTAATTCGGGTACAAGTTTTGAAATAAAACGACATAATGCAAATTAATAAATGTATTTACTTATGTATATAATTCGATAATATGCGTGCAGTTCTAGCAAACAATTATTAATTGCAATATAATAAGGTATATTTATAAATTAATCTTTGGACGATGTTTCCCGAACTGGTAAGGGCTGTTTTCGAATAGGTACTGGTAACAAATGCAAGTTAGTATATTATAATATAATATAGAAATTTAAACATTCATCGTTTAAAATATAATTTGTTTCATTATTTTAAAATAAATTATTGAAAAATAAAACAAGTAAGTATTACTTCAGTCGGTAAACTGCTTGACAAATTTAGTGGTAATATAGCTACCAAGAAATTATATCACTTATAATCAACTTTTAAAAATAGACTTTTAAATTATAAATGTCCAAACAAAAATTAAATTAAATTATCAATTTAAATTATCCAGAATCCGAAAGCTAAAAAGAATCTAGAATGTAGCTTTTAGTGTCTAAAGTAGCAATAATTAGGAGCTTTCAAATAATTCTACGAATCAGAACATTGACTTTACAATATTAACTGTTTCGATTCTTAACAGCTTAAATATGAAAACATGAAATATTTAATCTCTTTAATATCTAATTAATTTAATTAACAAATGTACTTAAGTTTGCATTTTCGCGTGTTTAAATTTTATATATAATGGTAGCAATTTATCAATTTGACACGTTAATTAATTTAAGCACCATTTTTAAAATCACATGCGTTCTTAATGATTTCTTTTCACAATAAAAATGTAAATTCTTCTTCAAACTTTAAAATAATGGTAAGCATAATGAGTCAGAAACAAAATTAAAGAATAAAGTAAAAGAGAATATTTAAATAAATTAACAGATTACATGTTTTGCAAAAATATTACTTCATTCAAGTCTTATTTAATGATTATATAATATAATATCATAAATATAAATAACAGCATTGCAATGTGATATTTGTTGGTAGTAGGAAGCTGTATAGGAGTATTTACTTAAATATTGATCCTTTAATTAATACGGCCGTAGGATCATATACCATCAATAGTAATGCCCTCGGCTCAACTTGAGGAAGTTCTCTCGATATTGCAGACAAACACTTTACTTTTCACTTTTTTCTTACTATAAATAACAAAAAATATACTAGTATTTATAATCACTATAAGGCTATTATCTATTTTTGTGAATGCAGTCATTACCTATAATTATAGCGTCACTTAGTTTTAATCCGTTACTAGTGTTTTCTTTATATTATTAGTGTACGCTATTTCTGGTAATTTATTAACAAATAAAACAACTTACAACAAAAAGTAAACATGTACATGCAAGTCAGTTAATTGCGTAAAATTACTTTGTATATAAGTTACAGTAGTCAGATCCTAGCTAAGATATATTGTAAATTGTTATAAGCTACGACAGAAGATGAAGATTAATAAATATCGGACTAGCTTTTCCTTTCACGTATTAATATTTATTTACTTGAATAATATTCAATGAAGCTATAAAAGCTATTAATTCCATAATATCACATTAATAATAATAATTTTCAAATTGAGACTTGTGGGAGCTTTATGAAAGGGTGCATAAAGTATTATTTTATAGAATAAATGTGATAATCAAGCACACAGTACAATAATTAAAGGTAAATACATGGATGTTGTAGTCCATAGACATCTACAACTATCCCGAATTAATAATCTAAATTCAGATGCTTTGTCACCGCTGATAACTAAGATGGAATGCCTCGTTTTCACTAAAACGGTTATAAGCACTCACCATACGAAACACAGCAGTATAACCTGTTATTTTAAGGTGGTTTTCCGTGAGAGCGTGGACCCTCCCTGGTCGAGTCAATCCATTCTTGCTGCATCTACAATATTGCTGTATTTTTCGACAACGTATATTGTCATTAGATAATAAGTTAAAAATGTGAATTAGTCAATAGTTAACATTTTTTTATTGCATTTTAAGAGCAACCCTGGTACTTCATGTTTGGGCGTTGATATAGTTGTCACAGCAATAACTTTTTTTGTATTTCTCTGAAGCATATAATTCCCACAAGAGCTTGTACAATAGAGAGAATAACTTTCTCTAGCATGCATTTGTAGAACGAATTAGCGGGTACAACATACGCGTTGCAGCATTACGCATATATTTAAGAGTGCTGTTTCGTTCCTTATGTTAGTTGCCCATGCAAGACGATCATAGATAAGCACCGAGCCTGCAAAGAAAATATATTTCAAGTATAAATATGTTTATATCGTTGAAGATTTTAGTATCACCAAGGATATTTTATGAATATGTCGCAGGTTTATGGTAAAATCAAATTTTTAATCAAAAACCTTGGCTTTTTATCAAGAACCAAAAGAAGATAAAATTATTACTTAATCTTATCATTAACCTGAAAAAATCCTGATTTTTGATGGAAAATTTTAAACCAGCCTATTAAGATTAGGTTAGGTTATAAGTTATCTAACTGTTTTATTTATTTAAAGAAATAGAAACCGACATTGATTATATAACAAAACTAAATCAGTCTAGGCTTTTGATCAAAAACCATATTTTTCCGTAAACCTGCGACATGTAGACAAAGAAATTATATAATCACGTTATACAACATTAAGCATACAGACATAGCAGAAGTTATTGATAACCTTTCAAAGTTAATATTTAAATACATTATGGTTTGTTGAGGTAACTTGCCATTTTGTATAAGTTGAATAATCCCAATTGTTAAGTGTCTAAGATCAGCAGACATGATTTAAGGCAGTGATTTCGACTAGAGAATTCTGGAACTCTTATTATCAATATATATAGTGAATTGAATGATAAACCAAAGGCCATATTTCGAATCACACCCCAAAAATTAACACATGTAATGCTTCCAGAACCGTGCCATTGTAGAGCCGGGGTAGCTCAGCTCATTAGGGTAAGGCTCTCACCGTAAATGTCATCTTAGTAAGCGAGCAACCCGGGTTCGATCCCCGCCGGCTCCAATGAAATTGTTGATTGCAATTTAATAGTGCTAATTTACCACTTGCTCGGTGGTGGAGGAGAACTTCTTGAGTAAACCTGCAAGTCTGAAAAATTAAAAAAGAAAGTATTCCGAAGTTCAATAACACGCATTAGTGAAGTGCGTTGGAGACTTTTTTGTCCTAAACCCTTTTAGGAATGAGAGCCTGTGTCCAGGAGTAGGACGTGTATCGGCTCGAACTTGTCTTTTAATGCTTCCACTAACATACAGATTGTCTGTAGAATGCGAGAAAATGAGATAGAAGACATAATTTATAATAATAAAATTAATTTATATTTTAATTACATAAACCCTACAATTTTCCTCGAATACTCGGCATTCGGCTCATTTTCTCGAAGTTTAGTTTTATGAAGGTTTCGCATCTACGGCGTGTGATCAGCACACATTTTTTGACTATTTATGGCACTACTTTCAGCTGGAGCGCAACTTACCGTTATATAAATTAGCAGTCGTCTACATTTAGAACGAACAAGTGGTAAAATTAAAAAAAATTGTACAACCGACTTCAATATAAATAAAATGAGAACATCATCAATGTAGTCGAAGTCAATTAAATACGCATTATTAAGGATAACTCAAAATCTACTGGTCAGATCTTGCTTAAATTCATATGGGAGTACATGCAAAGCACCAGCTTTTAAATTAAAAAAGAAATCATCAAAATTGGTTCACCTAGAAAAAATTGAGACATAAAAATACAGACGAATTGAGAACCTCCTCTTGGAGTCGGTTGAAAATAGATTTAATTTGCGAGTAAACCAATAGCGCATTAAATTTAGTAAAAAGTGTATATGTTAAGCGTGTAATGATACATAACTGGCAATATTTATGCACATAAAACATGTAAGTGACACTAAGTTGCAAATAAAATATTGAAGTATTACTCAAGGGAGGGATTTAAGCCCATAATATGACATAATATTTCAAGCATTCAAACTCCATTTCCACACATTCAAACTCCATTGCTAATTAGCACACAGTGATACTTTAGAGCATACTTTAATTATAAACAATCGGTATTTCATAGTTCGAACTAAACTCGTTCGCAACGAAATTGGTAAGCCATGCCTACCGCAACTTAATACTTGTTTAGAGTGATATTTGGAGTTATGAATGTGTCCATGTTTTATTACGTGGTCAAGCTTTGCGTGTTAATTAACATGCACAATCATTACAATAAACATTTAAAAATACATCCGGATTTTACACAACTACCTACATTGTGTATAGGTGAAACTTTTGGCCATAATCTTATAAGCGATGTAAGTATATCGAAATTGCTGAAAGTATAGAATTTGGTTTATCATTAAATAGCCGCTGGCCATGAACGAAAATTCAGAGTAAATTTATTTTAAGGAAGTGGGGGCAAACAAACGTGCGGATCATCTGACGGTAAGTGTTTTTTATTACATTTTTTTAAATTAGTAATTTTAACTATCATAATGAAAATATGGAAATGGACGCGCATATCGTTTGATTGCCGTAGTCGAAACGAAGATAAGGGCCTAAAAAGTTTCACTTTTAAATAATTTTACATTTTAGACACACACCAATATAATTTACCAGTGTTAACAAAACATTTAAATAAGCAAAAACAAGTAATTACCAGTACCTACGTTCGTAAAATGGTGCTCACAAAGATATCAACTTATATGTATAATAAGTTATATAAATGTTAATCAAAATACACACCTTACTTAAAAGCATCCCAATAATGACCTAAATAAACAAAACATCAATAAAAAGTTCCATTACTGACAGTAAGAGTCAATTCGTCATTAAATATGCTATTGTAAATATATTTTTATAGGTACAAAAACATAACATTTTTACAGGGATTGAAAAGGTTCTCCAATAAACCGGTTCTTTACGGGTCTAAGTTACCATTTTCTTTAAAAAAAATATTATATTACTTTTTTTTCAATGGGTACAAGCGGAACAAGATCTTGTTTGGTTTGATTTTATAACATGTTATTTACAAAATGCTATTATCAGTAAAAAGAGTTCATGCATCTATACATTTCTGAATTGGTAACAAAGTTTTTAACTGGTTTTCAATTTCTTTATTTCTACTTGCGCATGAAACGATTATCTATTAAAGATATGAATATAAATTAAATAAAAATGTATTTTCCGCAACAGCGAATTGCACATATGCAATAAAAATACTTAAGTTTATTAAATTAACATTGATAATAATCATGTGTTATTTAGGACACAATAGTGCTTGGATAATTATTTTACTTAAAAACACATGACAAATAAATAATGATGTGTAAAATTAAATACTTAGCATGATTAAATTACAAATGTTATAAAATTTGATTCCAGCACGATTACAATTTTCAATTAGACGAGTTTTTTTTTTCAATGAGACAAACCAAAATAACCTCTACGAACACCAGCATATTCTGTTTTTAATTTGAGACATTAAAAATAATAGAAATATTTTGGTAATAAGAGTTAAGCAGTGAACCGGTGCATTTTACTTAATTGAATCACTTTTACCTGACACGTGAATGCAAAGCTGCGCGCTCTTCAGAAGGAGTGTCCCTTAAGAACGAAGACGAAAGGTTGAGGATGACCATAAGGCAGCACAATAGGAGTGGTCCTAAAATGGCTCCCTCGGGACCCAAGTAGAATATGCCTCCCGCTATTGCCAGACCGGTTACATATGGGTGACCGCCACTGCAAATAAATCAAGGATACAAATTAAAATATGTAACTTAAATTAAAAATTTAAAAATAATCCGAAACATAAAAGCTGATGATCCTCCAACAGTTGGACAGATTTCTTAAGAACACTCTCGATTAAAGACATCTTTTAAACGAAAAAAACTTAATCAAAATTGGTTCATACGTTCAGGAACTATGATGTACCGATCTCTTGGATACACCTTTAAACGAGTAATTCTTAAATATATATATAAAAAAAATATATATATATATATATATATATATACACACATCACAATATTGATTCTACGTCCTTTCATTTCGCATTATTGTAGCGTCCACCACTTACTTGTAGGCAAATTTTTAAAATTTATCATATGTCGATATACAAATATTCGTATATTGCCAGACGGAGGGAAACCGATCAGGACTCCCTTCCATATTACAAATTATCCAGAATCCTCGTAATATACATAGTTTTTAATTCATTCTGCTGCTTAACGCAATTCCTTTGTATGGTGCGACGTTGCCACTCTTATTAGTTATTCCGCTTTGTAATATTTTATTTATAGGTGATATTTTGTTTATGTAGGTATTCGATAGATTCCTATAGTCTAGTATGTTTTTTTCGCAGGAGACAAAAATAACAGATCTTTATTAGATTCGTTTAGCACGAATAATACAGTTTTTATGATTCTGGTTCAGATTAGATTTCATTTTAGTCACTTAAGTTTCGTATATTGTTCAAAATAATGAAACAAATCCACAGAATGTGCAGTTACGAAAAATACGCAATATCATTTTGGTCTCCGGCGAAAAAAAAAACAGATAGATATCATGATTAATTTACCAACTAGTTATTCGTTTACTAAATACGAAGAAATATCTAGGATTGCCCAGCCATGATATATTATAGATTGACTATATTATTATTTATTTTACTATTGTAAATAAGTACTAATTGTAGATATTGACAGGTTTAATAGAAGTTCATTTTCTTATATTGTGACTAATAACCTAATATGACCTTATGTAATTTTAATATAAGGTTTTAACTATTTACCTGATCTGTAAAACATTACTCTCTACTTAACTAGATTCATTTTTGTGAAAGGCTGTTTTTGTTAAATTATGATATTATGTTTGGTTTTGCAGTTAGTTGAAATACAATTTGTTTGCGTTTGTTATAAATATTGGACGCTATAATACTAAAAACATGCATATCGTGTTCTAATCGGCGTCCGTATTGTGGCCTACGCACATTGAGAACTTTCCACACTTATGCTTGCTTGCATTTAAGATTCTTTGCTTATATTTAGTAACTTAGGTAAATAAACTTGTGTAAGTTGATTAATGTACTTGACATGGACATTGACCGGAGTATTTACCCATATACGGACGTAAGAATATCCTAAAATATTCACACTAAGTTTCATTTGACGTCCACTTCTTCAATATCCGATGTCCAAAGTTGTTATTGATTATTGCATTTTACTATTTATTTATGTTGATTATTTATTTAGTCCATATTTATATTTTGTCGGTTTATACTGTACCCAGTGCTAGTAGATAATTTTACTTTCCAATTTGTTTTCGTGTCCTTAGATTTAGCTACATATAATAATATGGACGTGCGAATATCCTAAAACATTCATACTGAATGATATTTGACGTCCATATTTTTGAATTTTGTTATATTTCTATATGTAGACGTCAGGTTATCGGTAAAGTTTAATACCGCACGATATTTGACGTCCATATAACCATGAATATATTTATATTTTAATTCCTTGTGTATAAGACACACATTAATGATCATTGCTTTAATAACATTTTTCGCTATTGTTTTATTCGTTTTTCGGTCATGCAGTGTAAAATAGTCACTTTGGTGTTTTAATAAATGTTTCCTTTTAGAAATGATAAAACGTTTAGAAGCTTAGAAAACGTGTGTGAAAAATTAAATTGTATTTCAACTAACTGCAAAACCAAACATATCGTAATTTAACAAAAATAGCCTTTTACAAAAATGAATCTAGTTAAGTAGAAAGTAATTTCGTACAGATTAGGTACAACAGTCGCACTTATCCTTAAGATGCAGTGAGATCACCAAAAGTCAACACGATCAAGTAAATTAATTATATTTTCGGAGTTATGTCAGCAACAATATGCCACGGTCTATTATATAAATTAAATCTATTATATAAATTAAATTACTATTGTATAAATTAACAACCTAATGCAGTAAAACCTTATATTAAAATGAGTTTCTTCGCCAGACCATATTAGGTTATTAGTCACAATATAATAAAACAAACTTCTATGAAACCTGTCAGTATCTACAATTGAGTCCATCTTCCTGTACTCAATCAGAAGATAACTTATACTCAAACAGAATTATGGATTGCTTACGAAATACCTAATGAGAGTTTTTTTGGCTGATTAGTACCAAATGTGAAATTTTAAAATATAGTGCAGCATGAAATAAACCGATAAGCCGACGTCCACATCTACATTTATAAAAATATAACTAAATTCAAAAATACGGGTGTCAAATATCATTCAGTACGAAAGTTTTAGGATATTCGGACGTCTATATTATGTGTAGGTAAATGTAAGGTTAAGCAAACAAGTTCAAAAGTAAAATTACTAGTACCAAGCTCAGTATAAACCATATAATAATGTCCTGCAGACCGAATTACGGTCACGGCGGCCTGCCTCAACGGAGACTAGCCATCGGCGCAGGACAGGATTATAGTGCCCAAGTGTATGCGCAACTACAGGTGCACTCTCTATTCCCGCATTCTCATAATCCGATGGGACGGTAAACCGACACGACCGGAGAGAGATCAGGCGAAGGACCAACGGCTTCACGTGCTTTCCGAGGCACGGGGGTGATACACTGTCAACTTCTTGACTCCGGGCAGCTATTGAGAATTTCTTGACAGAAAAACTCAATAATTGATTTTTTGGCCTGACCTGGGATTCGAACCCAAGACCTCACGATCAGCATTCGCAATACTACAACATAAACATATATTACCAAATACAAGTTACACGTTGGCAACGGTGACGGAACGGCAAAGTCGCATCTCCTAATTTTGTGCGGAAGCCAAATACGGCCATAAATCAAAGTATTCACAAATCGACAGCAGCGCTATTATTTTTGCAACGAAAATTAGCGAAACTACGTAAATATTCAGTATAGCAAGATTGGAAGAAAAATGACGTCCAATTTTTTCTTAGATTTTGACATTTCTGTGATAAGCATGACAATTTGCGAACATTGCGCTAAGTCTTCTATTTGACGCCTGTATATTGGACGTCGTAAGGTTGACGCCACATTATATGCAAAATTGGCCATAGTGGACGTACAATAAGTTACGGGAATATATATATAATCGGAATCTCGCAAACGGCTCCAACGATTTTCATAAAATTTAGTGTACAGGGGGTTTTCGGGGCAGTAAATCGATCTAGCTAGGATTTATTTTTAGTAAAATGATGTTTTATCAGTGTTTTCAGGCAATAAAAAACTGCTACAATATATCGTCAGAATAAGAAGGTAAATTTTGGTAGCGCGTTAACGATTATAATAGCTCAGTTGGGATGTCGGGCGGTCGCGAAATCGTAGTAACCTGGTTCGAGTCCTGTCTTTTTTTTCTTTTTTTCCAAGTTCCTTTCTTTTTTGAGAAAATCTATTAATTCGAGCCCTTATTTAGTATTTTTTTTAAAAACACGAAAATTTAAATTAAACTAATTGCACTCATGATTTTTTATTCAAATAACCAGTTCAGTTTTTTTCTATTATATCGGTAAGATCAAAAAATATTCTTCATATTTCATCAGTATGTAATTTGTATCTAAATATAATTTCCAAAACACGATTTCCAAAAAAAAAGTCAGTCACAAAGGTAGGCAGAGATTACTACTGTATTAGTGCCAGTAACGGATATCTACACTTACTAGGCTTAGGTGAGTCGTTCTAGTGAAATTACTATGGTTCAAGTTTTGGCTATCTATATTATGAACGCTTTTTTATATAGGATAGGGTGACAAACGAGCACACAGTCCACCTGGTGTGGACTGTGTGCTCTGCTCTGTGGATGCTCTGTGGATGGTAAGTGGTTCCGCAGCAACCACTAGACATCTACATCTATCTTCGGTTACGAATCAAAATGCGTTGTCACTCGTGATGATTAAGATGGAATGCCTCATTTCCAGTAAAAAGGGTCTCCGGTTCTCTACACACACCATATGAAACACAGCAGCATCGAGCTACCATTTCACGCTGGTATTCTGTGAGAGCGTGGTCCTTCCCCGGTCGAGCCGACTCATTCGTGCTACAACTATACTACTAATATAACTGCATGGCTCTACCACGTATAAAAACTGGACTAATCACGTATAGTTTTAGCTTACTTGTAAATTCCGAGTCTAAGGTTGGCTATTGCGTTTAGTTCCTTTAAAAGTCGTCATCAATATTTCTTTTTTAGTTTCTAATTCTTTTACTGGCGCTTCTATTAATTCGGCAAGACGACTTCAGACATCTATCACTTTCTTTGTATCTTTATCATGAGATCAGATCATAAGCGATACTAAAGACGCACCAACGTGTAATGTGTCACAAGCGCGTTTTGATGTATGTTCAAAAACCGACATTCGACCGGAACGGCGCGGCGTTAAGCTTCTCCTAGTTCACGCAAACCACGGTAAACAACTTTGTTAACACGCTTGTGGTTGTGGACTTGCCAGGACTTGGCCAGAGTGTAAACCCGGCATTATAGGAAACTTAACTGATAAAACTGATTTACGGCGTGGTGGTCGTGAAAGGAAAACATCGTGAGGAAATATGCGCGCTGGCTCTTCTTTACTCCATCTCAATTTGACCTCAATTTTTACAATAGAAGCATTTATCGTATATTCCAAAATCTGTTTTTAGGACACAACGTAATGAATCATCAATTTCTTCGCTGTTCTATCAGCTCAAAGGTTATCAAAGAGGGACCGCTGTGGTTGTTTTTACATAGAGACGTAAATATATAAAATCATTGTAATAGCCGTGATAATAATAAAATAAGGTTACTGGTGATATTTCCGTATATAATATATCATTAAGTATATAAAATAGAACTTTATATAATTTTAAAACATTCTTGTGTTGAAATCTTCTGTGTTACCTAAGTACTCGCTATTTTTAGATAACGAACTTTTATAGTCAGTTGTAGGTTTATTTGCATGTAGATAATTAAAAAAATCCAAGTTTAAAATGTTATGTTTCAGCTGTGTAATTTGACTTTCTTCTGCTTCCTTTTTCTTTCCGTAGACCATTGCTGAATATGGACGTCATTCACTTCAAGAAGGATTTGCCATTATTGCTCGTTTGACAGGCAATTTGGCTACCGTCAGCAGTTTTAAATTCATTATTTATTTTAGAAATGAGTAAAAATAGTACAGGAAAAAAGGAGGAAACATTACAGGAAGGATTAGCCATAATACCTACGCTTGGCAGGCAATTTGGCAAGCACAGTACCAGATACCGCATCTTTGACGAAGCTCTCCGTCCCCTTGCTGGATATTTCACATGTGGCATTACATGAGATGATATTACTGTAATCTGTCGGACGTCATAACATCTTTTTATGCGTAGTTTTCCCAAATTGCGCCTCTTACGAGACCCACTTATTGATTATTGACCACGTTACGTATGAAATTTCTTACGCCACTTGCACGGTAATTTATTTTACAATATTAAACGATAAATATTTGGCGATATATATTAACACAGGTTTATCGAGTAATAATAAAAATTGTTAAAAACAATAGAATTAAGGTGACAAACGAGCACACAGTCCACCTGATGGCAAATGGATGCCGTGGCCCACAGATATACACTTATACTCGATTAAGAATTAAAATACAGATGCGTTGTCCCTCCGAGGACTAACATGGAATGCCTCGTTCTCAGTAAAACAGGTCTCTAATTTTCTACACACACCATAAGAAACACAGGAGCATTAAGCTGCTATTTTAAGCTCGTATTCTGTGAGAGCGTGGTCCTTCTCCAGTCGAGGCGACCCATTCGTGCTGCAACCATAATATAGCTGCAGCGCGTCTCTACCACGTGTATAAAAATCCTGCATTACAAATAAGGCATAACTTACTCTTTGATCTCGGCGTAAACAGCGGCATCCAGGAAAGCGATAGGCGCGGCCTGCGCTATGGGCAGGAGCAAAGCTGCCATCGGTCTTCCCTGGAGCCATACGTCTAACGCGGCTGGAATGCCAGCCAAGTACGGCCCAAGGAAAGGGGCTGCACCGAGAATCGCTGCTAGAACTGTAACGTACGTTTTACTGTGATTTTAAGTTACACCTTTCGTTGATGATTTGACGTTTCAAAGTTAATTTGATTACTCGTAAGAAAGTATATTTATTTTTTTTGGTTAAAATTTGACTCTACTTAATTACATTTACAAATGAGTTCACATGTACACTAACTAGACCCGCGAAAAAAACCCCACACCCACCTAAAAAAAAATAATGAAAAACCATTTAGTACCTAAAAAAAAAAAGGCGGAAACCGCCCTAAAAATTTCCCCCCGCCCTTTTAAAAATATCAAAGAGGTTCCAGAGGTACAAAAAGCCAATCAAAATAATTATATATTTATTTAAAAACAACATTGACATTATATCTTTTTTTGCTTGTTATCGCTTTGTTTTGGAGGACGTAATTGTGCGTAAATATATTTATAGAACTCCAATGCTTTTTGCCTATCGTACGCAACTGTGTTTCTGCAATGCCCTCCAGTACAATGGTTTACAGATTCTTCTCTTGGTGGAGGTTTTGGTAACTCTGTTTTAGTATGACTCGTATTTGTACTTCTTAATGTCTCAACGAAATCTCTAGATGAATCAAATACAACTTTGACAATTGTTCTATTGGTCATATTTAGATGACTGTCTTTTAAAAGGTCTTCCTTATCTATGGCTGTCATAGCAGCACTTACATCTCCTTTAAGCGGATTTGCCTGCCTTATTAAATAAAAAGTTGGAGCCGGTTCAGTAACATCTTCATCAACTATTATATCGTTATTCGTTGTATGTCTATCATTGTACAACAAACACATAACTTGAACATCTAAATTTATTTGACACATGGCACTATCCAACAATAATTTTACAATGTCTATTGGTAGTACACATGGGGCAGAAATACAAGTATTACTATTTGAACTATTTAAAATTAACCTGTATAATTCGTTTTTTAAAGATGATGTTAGAAATGCTATGTTGCGACATCTACAATCCAGTTTGTTTTCTTGGTACATCACTAATGAACCAATTGATCTGCAACTTTGATAGTCAAAATTTAATGAGTAGGGTTCCAAATTCTCAATTCTGTTGTTAATGAACTTAAAGTGTTTCTTATTTGTCCTTTTCCTCAAACATTTAACGTTTATGAAAGCGTTACTTCTCAGCATATTTATATAATTATCAGTAAAATCTGTTTTAACGGCATTAAACATCAATCCATTGGCCTTTATTTCTTTAAAACGATTGTGATTTATATTTAAAAATTCTGAAGTTACGTTAATACTATTTGCAACAATATCATTAAAAACATTATTTGAAAATATTGTGCTTCTACTTGAAACAGTAATGCTTTTGGATTCTAAATTATCAATGGTGCAGTTATTAATCATAAATACACTATTATCATTGCCGAGGATAGCTTCTATTGCTTGCGTTTGAATGTTAGTGATTGTAACATTGTCAAATTCAATACTTTTCACTCCGGTAACGTTGTAAATAGCTTTTGTATGAATAGATTTAATTTTGCTATTTATGATGCGAAATTTTCTAGGCGCTGCTGCTCCAAAACATTTAGATTCTGTAGAAGTGCTTGGTGATTTAAAAAAATTCTTCGGAAGATGTGTTATCTCATTCACACTCTCTATAGTAACTTCAGGTGGAACCTGTACTAATGAATTAGTCGCAAATGTTATAAACTCAAGTCTGTCACAATTCTTCACTTTAAACTGTTGAAGTCGAGAAGATTTTTGTAAAATAGGGCAATCAATAACCACTCTCAAATTTTTGCAATTCTGGACGGTTAGACTAACTAAGTGCTCCGTATAATAATCTTTTAAGTGTATTATAAAATCCTAGAACAAGAGAAACTTTTATTAAAGACACTGAATTTAATAATTTCATCATCATATCTTATATTAACACAAACACTACACAATGAATGAAACTAGTTTCTTACGGATTATATCGCTTGAATACTTGCAGTAGTATACTTGGGTTAAGATTTAATTTTATTAATTATAAGATCCCAAGCAGAATGGTAGCACCCAGCCATATTCCATATTAAAATTAGGACGTTATTTGATTTCAATAGCTTTGCAAATCATTGTTGATAAGAATAGGTGTTATCTAGCGAGGATTTGTGATCAATCAAATCTGATGTAATGGCGGGGTTGACCCTTTACGTGGTCACTGGATGCACACTTCCCGGAGCGTCGATTTATTAAGAATTAACTATGACATTGGGATGTCGAATATCTCATTCCTCTGTGACCATGGATGGTACTGCAAAGTACTATAAAAAACGTCGGGAATATAAAAAAGTTAAAGGAACGTGATAAAACCCTTAAAAAACTAGTTTCATTTAAGATACTCAATTCGTTTAACTTATTAAAGAAATAAACAATACTCACGTTATTTCCTATGGAAGAACAATTATAAACAACATTACTCGGTATATTATTATTACAATTCCACTCTGATTGTTGGCAATTTGTAAAAGCGATTCTCACAGCAACGGCTGATTGAAATAGTACCACAATTAGCAATAAAAATTCTTTGTAAACCATTGTTACAGACACGACGATAAAATAGCATTTTTTCTCACTATGCGTCTATTATAAGTTCTATCGCATCACATACTAAATGAACAACAAAAAAGTCATACCGGTCGCGAGTGAGCATCATCCCGAGATAATACTTCACTAAAATATACGACGCGAAATGTAGCTGAGTTAAATTTATCATTTCTCTACTCTGATCGTAAGTTCAACGACTCGTTATTCGAAACGTAAATTTATAAAAAAATTACAGTAAATTACGTAAATTCTTTAATTTAGACTGTTCTCCTGTCTCTTTTATTGATAACCCTGAATTGCTTGTGCCGATAACGCCGTTTTATTATTTTCTACGGATGAATCAATAAATACGCTGCATATATTTCGTATAGCATTTGTAATAAAGAGCCTAAAGTCTACTTTAAGACGAATTATTGTTAGTAACCTGTATGTGATTAGATAAATTTATTAAAGGCATTAAAGTCCTGTTTTATTTTTCAGGATACCTAATTGTGCCATACATAAAAGCAACCATTACTTTAGTGACACTTCATATCGATTACAAAAATAACAATTATTTAAAAATAAAATTTTACAACAAATTTTAAATAATTTATCTGTGTATTTTGACATATTACCTTCTGACAACGAACTTTGTAATTTTAACGTTTTTTAACTGTCCGCTACGAAAATAAATGATTTTCGAAAATCTGGAAGTTATTGGTTTCACACTCCAGTTTTCGAAAATCAAGGTTCCATAAGATCTCGACGTTTTGAGATACTAGGAAGTTATTTTGACTATTCCTACGAGGATGTCACTATGTTTGTGCATGCATGTATAAATGTAAACATCTCATAACTTTGTAATGGAGTGTCTGATCGAAGAGCGGTTTGCGGTATCTGAAAGGGCCTCGCTGACCTTAGATATTTTGTGAATTTAGACCTAATCTTCACAGTAGATTCTGAGAAAACCTCAAAAATTCGACTACTATTTTTAATTTTCAAAATGTTTTTGTTACTACTTCGACACCCTTGTTTTGATCAATTCTATAATCTAATCTGATCTTCTAGTTAATAAACGACGTCGATTGCCGTAAACCGCGTCAAAATCAGTTGATTCGCTCGAGAGATATCGGTGTCGAAAGAAATATCGGAAGTGTTTTTACAAAACAAGTTCATCAACAATAGAAAAATTTCCGTCAAATCAATTTTAATATATTTTTTGTTAAGCTGAAAAAGTGCGTCGAATTTCGTAAATTACATCAAAATCGGATGATTTGTTCGTGAAATATTCAATTTCGAAAAAATAAAAAACGTGGGTTTTCAAGCTCTGAGCTTACAAACGTCATAATAGGGGTGGAACTTGGAGCGCTTTGCATTTAGAATTAGCGGAAAGTTCCAGCAATGGCCTGCAGGTCAACCAATTTTAATAACTTAGAAATTTCTGCTCGGATCGGTTCTTATGTAATGAGTTAACTATTAGTTTGTAACATATTTGTTGATTTGAAGAGTCAAAATGTGTCGAAAAAGGCACGTATGGCAATTCACAATGCTGTGTTGGTCCCTAATTTAACGTATGGTAGTGAAAGTTGGGTATGGCAGAAGAAGCACGAGAGTAGAATAAACGCAGTAAAAAAGCGGTCGTTAAGGAGTATGTTAGGGCTGAATCTGAATGACAGGGTAAGAAATTGTGTAATAAGAGAAGAGTGTGGTTTGCAAGATGATGTTGTGACCAGGATTAAGAAAGGAATGCTTCGGTGGTTTGGTCATATGGAAAGAATAATGAGGAAAGAGTGACAAAGAAAATTTATGTTGCAGAAGTGAATGGCAGAGTCGGAAAGGGACGTCCTAGGCGAACATTTATCGACCAAATTGGCGATTTATTGAAAACGGGCCAAATTAGGAGTACCCTTAACCGACGAGCATGTATGCGTAGGTGTATGGATGTGAAGGAGGCGAGAGAGGTGTGTCAGGATCGTGCCAAATGGAAGTCTGTAGTCTCTGCCTACCCCTCTGGGTGACAGGCGTGAGTGTTTATGTTTATGTTATGTTATGTTTGTCGAGCGTTTTGAGATCGAATATAGGGGGAACTTCCAGGGATGGCCTGCAGGTTCAACTTTTTTTATAAGCCGATTGGCAACCGCAGTTTTTTTATTATTTTTAGTTGTTATTGAGTGCTGTTGCCCACCGCCAGTTTAATTTTCCTTCTGTCGCCTCTTAAGACATGGGGTAGTAGATATTCTTACACCGCGACTACACGGTTAGTTACATAGTACACCAGATGGTAAATAATGCAGTGGTCCATACACAATAAGAATATAAATGCAGACACGTTGTTAGCCTGTGAGGCTTGGAATACCCCGTTACCAGTAGGTCTGCAATACTGGTCGCTTACCTTACGGAACACAAAAGCATTAGGTATGCACATACACAAAACACTTGGCTGTGAAGAAACTGTAAAAGTCACCTCGCTAGCAGCACTAATAGCACAGAAAATAGAAACAAAAATGGAATACATTAATGAGTTTGAAGGGGATTTTTTTTAATTTTTTGGAGAGCCAGTATAATTCCAGTTATTAATGCACCATTACTTTTATGGGACGCTTAAAAATAACACGTAGGTATAAGCATACCAATATTAAATAATTGATTTTATAGAAGCACGAAACTTCGATGAAACTTATTTCGGCTTACCTGATGGTAAATAGACAACTTTTGCACCAAATAGGTTATGCACCAACCACGTCCACAGTCCGTAGAATAACGCCATCTTGAATGACGCCCTAAACACCTACATAGAGAAAAAAATAAGAAAATGAACTGTTTAATATTTAATCAATATTATTACTTATTATACAATACTATTAAATCACTATTTTAAAAGATAAGTAAGTATATTGAAAATGGGCCAAATTAGGAGTACCCTTAACCGACGAGCATGTATGCGTAGCTATATGGATGTAGAGGAGCCGAGAGTGATGTGTGAGGATCGTATTCATAAGAAATGAAATGAATAAAAACGAGTTAAAGTAGCATTATCAACAGCAAATCCCCCTCAAATTCAATTTACTAATACTGTTCCTAAATAAGGAATAGCAGATAAAAGATTAGTAATAACTGCGACCCCTTAAAATGATATTTGTTCTCAAGGTAAAACATATCCTATAAATACTGTAGTTATTAAAATAAATAAAATAATAACGCCTACTATTCAAGTATATTTTAAATTAAATGATTCATAATATATTCCTCATACAATATGTAAAAAAATACAAATAAAAAAATGAAGCTCCATTAGTATGTAAAGTTCGAATTAATCATCCATAATTCATATTTCGACAGATATAATTTACTCTATAAAAAGCTAATTCAATATTAGCACTATAATATATAGTTAAAAATAATCCTGTTAAAATTTGAATGATTAAACATAATGCTAATTAATAATGATCCAAAATTTTATCATAATGAAATAGTAGACGGAGAAGGTAAATCAATTAATGATCCATTAATAATTTTAAATAATGGGTGAGTTTTTCGTAAAGGTAAACATTTATTTATCATTAGTTTTAAATTAATAATTAATTTGATACGTCTATCAAAAGGGCCAAAAAAAATTTGTAATATTAACTACTGCTACTAAAGTAATAAATAAGTAAATTATTAATATTATTATTATTGAGTCTTTAGACTATAGGGATCATAGTAGGGTTTACTCTTTTACTAGGTATTACTACCATCATTCGTCATCATTTTGCATTTTATGTGTGCGCATGTTTTGGCCTTGCATTGTTTTTAATTTTCACTGGAAATGAACATGTTTTTCATGTTTCCAAACAGTGTGTGATAATGTGTAATGAATTAAATTATGTATTTCATACACTAAATATTGAACATTTTGATAGCTTGATATTTGTATTTCCTGAAGGGATTTTCCCGTTGGTTAGAAATAATTGTTAGCTAAAGATATTACTCTAACATATAAGCAATTAGTAAACTGTATTTGTTATTTTTTTAAGTATTGTAACTGTAGAATACTCTGTACAGTCAGTACATAATACATATAAAGAATGGAATTAAAAAATGCGGTTTATCGAGCTCGTACCGTCAACATGCACAGTACCAATAGCGAAAACCCGTTAATAACGGTTTATCGTTATTATAGCGTTATATTATTCGGTTAACTGAAAATTTTCTATTAAATAGGAAAATATTTGAAAAAGAATTGTATACACAAGTAGGTACATTAATTTTAAAATAATAATGATAACTAGAGAGCCGCTCTGGCTTCACCTGGGTGGGATCTATTAACGTGGCGTTATTTATACTTAAGACAATCATTAAAGACCATTTGTTTTGTCTTATAAATGTTTCTACCTTAAAAAAGTTTATAAAGTTTTTGATTAAACTTTAGTCTAGATCACTCCTGGTATTGCTCTCTATTTGTTTGTAAAGTTTTATTACAATTAGTTCAGTCATATCGAAGACTATCTCGTACAGATAGACAAACGAAAATTTAAAAAACGGTTACTCAGATCGCAATGGCATGTAAATATTTTATACAAAATTATTAACAAACAAACAAAAAAAAAAAAACAATAATTATAAAGAAAACTCTTAGAACGCGTCGTAGTTCACAAATTAGCGAAACCGGACTGATAAAAAAATAGAAAAAAAATAGTTTATGGCTTTTTGTTATCATTGATTCCAATAACAAGTTAGATTAACATTATAGAACGTACGAAAAATTTATATCGCTAAGTATTTTTTTGCAGTCATTACTCGCGGGTTTGAATATAGATAGCGACAGTGTGAGAGTGAGAGGTGCATAGATGCGACGCCATTTCCCATTCTTTAACCGCACGGGTAGTATGATATTTCGTTTTTCACAATTATTTCCGTCGGATCAAATAGTTTTACGCTGGAAATTAACAGTAACTTATGTTCCTGTTGTTGATATCACAACGAAAAATTGTTTTTCATTAGTTACGTAGTTACGAATAAAGACACATGTGCTCAGTGGTGCCATCTACGTATTTCTAACACATTTTTTCTATTTTCCCGCGGCCAAATAATATTTTGTGGCAATACAAAGAAGCTATGTTTATCATCAACTTCTAATTATCTCTGTGCAAAAATACATCTCCATCAGTGCTTCGTTGCAGCGTGACAGTATAAATAAAGACATAAATACTCCTTCGCATTTATAATATTATAAATATTATAGTTATACCGTGTAATATCCACTACCCCATATCATCCCGTGAGTGTTGTAAGAGGCGACAGAGGGAAACAAGTAGGAATCAGGATATGGGCAGCCACGTTTTCGTAATAACGGCAGAAACGGAAACGCCAATGTTCAACAGTGGACTTTAATAGGTTGCAACGGTAAACATTAACAGTTAAAGATCCATGCGGCTGATTGTACAAAATTACCTGATTAATGGCAACAGACAGCGCAAGCCCGAGTCTTGGCCCGAAACTGGCTTGAACCCTGGTGAGAACTTCCACTGGTTTATAGAGGGCGTTACTTGAAGCCAACAAGTAAAATAGGGTCGTGAAGAACACCACCTAGAGAGATATAGAAATAAATTATGAACCTAATGTAGCAAAAAAATTATAGCATCAACTTTGTAAAGTGGAATTTTATTCTTGATAAGTATAATATAAAAATATTAAGAAATAATCTATTGACGAGAAAGCCATTTGGCCTTAATCCCGCCTGTTCGTTTTATCACTGATCTGTTTGTAAAGGCGTTCCCTGAGGCGGGATCTATCTCAATCAAGTTATTCAATATGCGGTTTTGCATCAACGCAACGTTCGCACTGAAATTTGGGTATTTGACAGAGAACAGAGTGACATTAATGGGAGTCTGTTCTTCCCTTTGGATCCCTTACTTATCTGGATGAATAACCGCATTGATGATGGCGCCGCTACCACAGAATGGTAGCGAGGTGACGGCGCTGAACCATTCGATTAGTAGAAGCAAGTGCTCACGTCTACTGAAAAAGTTGATGAAAACGTTAATGACGACACTGCTAATTTCGCGAGCCAGCGATTAGAGGCACGTTGCCCGTGGCTACTTACCAGGTTGATGAACATATTGATGATAGCACCGCCACCGCAGAGAAGCAGCGAGGTGACGGCTCCGAACGAGCCGGCAAGAAGGGAGGCGTTGCTCGCGAGCGGCGCCCACGCACTCGACGCGATCGCACCCAGCGTGCCAACGTTCGCGTATACCCATGTCACTATACCGGTGTAGTCGAATAGACCTGACGGAGTTTTTATCCAAGTTAACATTGACATAAAAAGGTAGATATAAACAATACCAGAGACCGTCTCATAGCTGGGCATACTTATCATTATTGACAGTCTAATGAACAATGCAACGAGGAATCACCGCGCTGATTCTGGGTATGTTTTCTAGCCACATTTTGGAAATATTTTTTATTTATTGGCAATGTAGGTTTCCTCATAAAATTTTCTTTCACTGCGGGGCACGTGATAAATCGGCGCTTTAAACGCCCATTATATATGACATTCAGATCCCGCGAACTGATATTTTTTTGTAGTATACGGGTGACAAACAAGCACACAGTCCACCTAATACGTAAAACATAAACATCCTCATCTATCCTCGATTACCGCTCACGTCTAACGATTGAGATGGAATGCTTCGTTTCCAGTAAAAACGATACTATTAAAGCGTGGTGCTTCCCCGGTTGAGCGGACTCATTCGTGCTGTAACCATAATACTGCCTCTCAACTAACTCAACTGCCTTGTTGGTCTAGTGGTTGTTGTAGTGCGACTGCTGATCATAAGGTCGTGGGTTCGAATCCCGGGTCGGGCTAAAAAATTAATTATTGAGTTTTTCGGTCAAGAAATTCTCAGTAGTTGCCCGGAGTAAGAAAGTTGGTGGTGTCTCACCCCCGTGTCTCGGAAAGCACGTAAAGCCGTTGGTCGTGCGTCTGATCTCTCTCCGGTCGTGTCGGTTTACCCTCCAATCGGATTATGAGTGTGAGGGAATAGAGAGTGCACCTGTGCTTGCGCATACACTTGGGCACTATAATCCTGTCTTGCGCCGATGACTAGTCTCCGCTGAGGCAGGCCGCCGTGGCCGAAATTCGGTCTGGAGGACATTATTATTATTATGGGGTATCTATATAGTTTTCTCATCTGGTTGGGTTCTATAAATATATAATTATAAATGAAAATGAAAAGATAAATATACATAAATATCAATAACATAAAATAAATATAAAAGTACATAAATAAATAAAAGCCCAACCAGATGGAGGCCCTCGGCAGGGGGAGACCAAACGGCCGAGGGTTAGGGGGAAAGGGAAAGAAACCGGCGGACGATGCGGGCGGTATCGAGGAGCACCGCCTTCTGCATTTGAACCCGGAGCGGTCCGCCACGTAGTCCCAGCCGCCTCAGATGACCCGAGAGGCTGACTGGGATTAGCCCGTTTGCAGAGACGACTACAGGAATAATTTCGGTCGGCAGACCACCCCACATGTCGGTCACCTCGTGAGCCAGGTCCAGATATTTTGTTTGCTTGTCTGTTTCGGCTTTCACGAGGTTCTCGTCATACGGAATGGTAATGTCGACCAAAAATATCCTTGACTGTGCCCGGTCCATCAGCAGAATATCAGGCTTATTCGCAAGAATAGTCCTGTCTGTGATGATGGCCCGGTCCCAATAGAGCCTGGCGCGATCATTTTCGAGCACGGCTTCCGGCAAGTACTTGTAGTACGGCAATTTCCGGTCCACGAGACCGTATTTCAGAGCGAGCTCCTGGTGTAGAATTCTGGCTACTAGGTTGTGCCTGTGCAAGTACTCAGAGTTAGAAAGCGCCGAACAACCAGAGATAACATGCCTAAGTGACTCACCGGGATGGCGACAACCTCGACAGATGTCGACGGTGCCATCCTTTAGGATGTATCTCCGATAGTTGTTGGTCTTAATAACCTGATCCTGTATTGCACAGACAAAACCCTCGGTTTCCCCGAAGAGATCACCAAAGCGTAGCCAGTGGAGGGAGGCTACTGTGTCTACGAAAGGCTCCTGTAGAGCCTTGTAGAACCTCCCGTGGAGCTTCTTCTCCTTCCAATCGGTCTCCCGGTCGGAAATGCTCTGCACTGCCGGGTCTTGCCATTGCTCGTTGGCTAAGGATAGAGGGGTAAGTCCTTTATCACAAGAAATGACGTCCTTATAGAATGGATCATCCGATCTCGCCAGGAAGTAATCACGGAGGCTGCACACTTCGCGATTATGCATGGTGAGCGCGTTCAGGAAGCCACGCCCACCATGCTTTCGCGAGAAGTACAGCCTCATTACCGACGATCTCGGATGATGCATCCTATGGGACGTCATTGTAGTGCGGACTTTTCTATCCAGGGCGTTAAGTTCAGTCTGACTCCACCTGAGTATGCCAAAGGTATACATGAGGACAGGCATGACCCAGCCGTTATATGCGTGTGCCTTATTCACACCGGACAAAAGGCTGTTAAGCACTTTGGTCAAGCGTGCATAAAACACGTCGCAAACTGACTGTTTCATACCAGTCTCATCGATACCGATGTTTTGTGACATACCCAGGTATCGGTATGTTTCAGCCTCGGAAAGGGTCCTTAAGTTGACGGGCATAGATAAGTCTACGCCCTTAGAGTTAGCAACCCTTCCCCTTTCAACATGGAGGACCGCACACTTATCCGTCCCAAGCTCCATTCCAATGGAATTGCTAAATTCACAAGTGATGTTTAGCAATTCCATAAGATGGGAGCGACTGGAGGCGAATAACTTGAGGTCATCCATATAGAAAAGGTGGGTCACTTTTGTCCCTCCTTTCCGTAGCTGAAATCCCCTCCCGGAGCCCTCCAGTAAGGTACTGAGAGGGTTCAGAGAGAGGCAGAACCAGATTGGACTCAGACAATCGCCCTGGAAGATACCCCTTCTTATCCTTATGTGATTCTCCGCAGCCATCATCCGCTCGCCCAGATGACAAAGGATCGTACTCCACTGCCCCATACACTGCTCGAGGAAGTCTCTAACTGTACAGTCTATCTTGTACAGCTCGAGGACTCTCTTTAGCCACGTATGGGGCACCGAGTCGAATGCCTTTCTGTAGTCTATCCAGGCGGCGGAGAAGTTCCGACGGTTGCGTTTCACCATTTTGCCAATGACCGCGTCAATGAGGAGTGGTTCCTTGGTTCCACGACCACCGCCCCGACATCCATTTTGAGCGCGCGACATCACCTGATTTGAGTCCAGGTGACAAGTGATTCTCGCGCTCAAAATGGATGTTAGTGTCTTGTATATGGTCGGTAGACACGTGATGGGGCGGTATTTGCTCGGGTCTGTGGTACCCTGGTCTTTAGGAACCAAATGAGTGATCCCAGTAGTGAAGAGGCTTGGGAGCGACTTCTGGTTGAGAGCCTCTTGAAACTGTCGGGCAAGCACAGAGTGACACACCATGAACCCTTTTAGCCAGTAGTGATGCAGCCCGTCAAGCCCCGGACTTTTCCAGTTCGGGGCCCTACGGACCGCCTCAGCTACGTCATTCGGCGTTATGATGACGGGGTCCATGGGCGTAATACCCGCACACTGACTCGCCACAACTTCCGTCCAAGGGCCCTCGCTGTGGTTTACGGGCACTGACCACAGGCCGCGCCAGAATGCTACAGTGTCGGCCTGATTCGGTGCTGGACCCGTTCCACTTACCACTGGTCGCTCCAATGATTCATAGAGCCTCTTCTGATCACTCTGGAAGAGACGATTCTGGTTGAACCGTGTCGACCTCTCGGTATATCGCCGAATCCGCTTCCCCAAGCAGCGATTCTCTGCTTCAGATCATGTATGCGCTCCGTAATTTTTTTCGTTATATCCGGCTGGGACAAATTGACATTTGTCCCAGCAAACGCCATCCTGACGGGCGCAATTCTTGGCCTGTTGTTGCCTGATCTGAAGCATATCAGTCTGCCGATGAGAGCTCTAGCCTTTGCGATACGTTCCTCAATTCTTCTTCTCCATGCTGGGATAGCGCTACTATGGCCAGTAGCGCGTCCAGCCGTGGAAACCTTGGCGCCTATGATACGGCAGACTGCCAGCGCGGCGCCAAAAAGAATTGAGTCCGTCTCGCAAAGGTCCCGGCTGGCTTCCAAATAGGTCACCAGCATTGGGTTCAGAGCCCTCACGACAGCCCGATTCCGCTTGCTTAGGGCTATGCGGGGAAGTCGCGGTCGATTTTCGAGAGGCGTACTGCGCGTTTCCACAATCGCCTCTTCCAATGTACTCCTCATATGCTCTAATTCCAGTTCCTGGGCGACTGTTCCATCATCGTTTGAATCAACCACAACTGGGGTATTCACGGCGGCATCCACGTTTGCTATTATTATTATTATTAACCATAATATAGCTGCGGCGTGGCTCCACCACGAACAGAAGGAAATTGAATCAGGAAATGGGCAGCAGCATCTTCCTGATAACTCGAAATTGTAAAACTGCACTTGATTCCTGCACGACTTGACGCTCGGCTAGGATATACACTAATTTATTAAATTAGAGATTATTTGTTTAGATAATGATTTCTTATATTTACGCGAATACTACACATTGAAATAATACTAGTTTTTCTAGTAGTTCTAGGAAGTTTGCAGTCTGTGAACACGTACAGGATCGCCCCCGTCACTACATCAGATTTGATAGACCGCAAATCCTCGCTAAAGAACACCGATTCCTTCCAAGGATGATTCGCGAGGCTATTGAAATCAAAAAACATCCTAATTTCAATAGAGAAGATGGCTGGGTGCTACCATCTGCTTGGGATCCTATAATAAATAAAATTAAATCCCAACCCAAGCATACAACTGCAAGACTTCAAGATACCATAAGTTCATACTGCATAGATCGGAACAAAAGTTAAATTTTAATCAATGGTAACCGCGGTTAACTATGACATATGGACGTTGAACATCTCAGTCCCGCCCGTGACCATGAGTGCTGTAAAGCGTTCGAAACGTCGGGTATTTAAAAAGTTAAATATACGCGATAAATTCCGTAAAAACTAGTATTATTTCAATATTTGTTTAGATGATAATAGATAAGTTAAATCTAACATTATATATATTATAGAATATATAGTAATTCTCAATATATATTGTTAATTTAAGTCATAATATCAATTGACACTAACCAGGTGTGTGAGAAACGTTAGTAACAAAATTGTCCCAGGAGTCCTGCACTGCAGAGCTGTCGACTTGCGGCCCGCTGTTCCCAGGAAAGTGCAAAGACACCCAGCTCTGATACACTCTATCCCAAATTTCCAATATTTGCTCTTCTACGCGCCCAATCTTGTCTGGATCGCCTTCTTTGAGAATACTCCTCACCTAGTGAAAAATATTACTGCTGAATTTTAAACGTGCGATTAATATTTGCTAATTCTAAAAACGGCAAGATGGATATTACTTAAAGCCAATAAAAACGAAATGCTTGAGTACTTACAGAGAAGGGTATTTACCCTTCTTTTTAAGTACTCTTTTTAAACCGATTCACACGATATTTAGAATCTTAGCAATAGAACATACTTTTCATTCGTGAAAAGTGGATTCTTACGATAGTTAATTACTAACTTGTGCCATATTATATTCAAGTGTGACGGATACCCTTTTTTCAGACGCAGATATTTACTAATTATTGTACATTATATTTTTGCTAAAAAGATAGTAAAACGGTTCGGTTAAAGGTACGATTAATGTTTCGCGCCAACACTTTCTCTTATCTATATATATTTTTTATTATTTAATAGGAAAATTAATATACCATGTTTTTTTCATATTCCTACATCTCTACAAGTCTCTAGCTCATCAGGAAGAGCTTAAAATTTGAGTTGCAAGATTCCACCCGGAACGACACACAGACAGACTGACAAGAAAGTCGATTTAAAAAAATACATATGGCACTCGGGGACTGCCGCGGTAAAGCTATTGCATAGCATTTTTATCAACTAATGCAATTATATTATTTATTTATTTTATTTATGCAACTACTTTTCCTTTAGTTGGAGCCTTTCTTCAAAGTTTTGCGGAAATCAAATATATTTTTTGACAACACTCCGATGGACTTCCAATGAGTAATGACCAATCTTACTGGCTGGAGATGGACGGGAACTGTCCTAATTCCCAACCCGTTGAAAATTCTTATTAACTACTAAAGTTATTATAATATTAAGGAACACATTTAGAGCCCCTTCCATTTCAGAGGGAGCATCTTTGTCATTCCTATTTAAAAAAAATACATGGGAGTGTGTTGCGGGCCTTTCTTCAGCAGAACCTTTAAAAATATGCACGAATGGGGCGGCTCGATACATAAGTGTTGATATTTTTGCCGCATATTATTTGGTAACTACCACTAGCAAGGGTCGACAGTGCACTTAATACCTGAAAAATATACCAATAATTACATGAAACATCTGTTTTTTTGTAAGCTAATATTATAGGGTCCTTAATTTAGATTGGTATGGTGGAGACCACTTGACTTCAGTGACGTCATAACTGCAGCCGCTTATATAAGTTATGCAAAGTACTTTTTAGTTCATGGCAGCCAACACATTATACACAGTTATGCTTAAACAAGTTGGATTTTTCTAATAGTCTGTGTTTATAAAATACTCTAAATTCACGAAAGTTGCTAGCATGACGGCGACTCATATAAATCCAAAGAGTATGCTTCTTGCAATAAACTATATATATTATTCTTTAAAATATTTTTATTATCTTACAATACATGCAACTAGTCTACACGCATACGTCTAGCTGGTAGCACGCACACAAACACCGTGCCGAAGTCTGCCGAACTGAAACGACGTTAGACGATGTTAGGTTTTGGGGTCTTAGGTTAATTTCGTTACGGAATTTCTTGATTCGGTCGCCGCGCTCAAAGCCCGCGATAAAAGCTATGCAATAGCTTAAAACGAAGTAAAAATAACGAAGTTTTGTAATTTTCGTTTAATTTGGATATAGGGATTACTGTAATTTTTTTAAATCAGAATAACGGTGACAAAAGCACTCAGTCCAACACCTGATGGTAAGTGGATGCTCCGACCCGTAGACATCTCATTTATTCTCGATTAAAATTTAAATGCATATGCGTTGTCACTCCTGAGGACTATGATGGAATGCCTCGTTTCTAGTAAAAAAGTGTCTCCGATTCTCCACACTCACCATACAAAACACAGCAGTATTAAGCTGCTATTTTGCGCTGGTATTCTGTGAGAGCGTGGTACTACACCGGTCGAGCCGACCCATTCATGCTACAACCATAACATATCTGCAGTATAGTTCAACCAAGTACAATTTAAACACAAAATAATGAATTTGTTCCATAAATTAAATTCTTAAAAAGGTACTACAAATAGATTTGTTTACTATTTTTTAAATGTAAATGTGTGTATTAATTCGAAAGCTTGACTTTATAAAACGTCAAATACAGACGTATATGACTCCGCATTTTAAAACTGTCTAGTGATCAATGTTGCTGAATGAATGGTTATTATCAAAATGTTTTTATAAATTAGATGAATATTTTAAAAGCAATGATTGATTTATTGTTGCTTTATTTTTGTATTCTATTACACGTCTGAAATCAATGATATTATAAGAAAAAGAGGTAGATAGGTGAGGTTATACGCGCACCGCAAGGGGCACGTGAAAACTATGACAAGGGCGTTGATAGTAATTAGTGTTTTGTTTTTGCACCGAAAATGCCGTCATATGTGATGAGATTCTGCACAAACTACACAAGAAAGGTTTCCAAAAGTCAAAAGGAATCATATTTCATTCGTTTACTATTTACTAATTTATTTTCGTATTTTTTACTAATTCAAAATTTTACGTATTTTAAAATATATTGCCAGAAAAAATAGAGGGATAAAAATACCCAAATGAGTGAGTTTGAAAGAGAAGTGATATTGTTTTTCATCAAAGAATATAAAAAACAGATAGGTCTCTTCTGAGTATCGTCAATTCAAATTGTGTACATACCTATAATTCTTGTTTTAGGGAAGGGTAAATTTATTATGTTATTATTAATTTTAAGTTCAATTTATTTGTTTTGTAGCGTAACGAAGTGGTATAAACGTTCGTATACAACACGTAACATAATTAACGCACTTTGAGAAAGTAGTTTGTTCAGACTCGTTTACTGAATCGATTCCTATCATTTTTAATATAGGTAATTTTTTATCCAAAAAATAATTAAAACTACGTAAATTACAGTCACACTAAATCTGTACAGTCAAAAAAAACTGAAATGGACCGTAACTTAAGGCAATAAGACTTTTAAGAGTGCAGTTTTATTTGTATTATTAATAATTCTGTCATTCAATAAAAATAAAGAAAAATGAACTTTATTTCAAGCACGTTAAAGTCTTTGCGTTCGTGGATTTGTACTGTGCCCACAACTTTCTTCCGGAATTAGTATAACTAATTTGATAAATAATCAGTGCATAAAATGTTTAACTAACAATTCAGTGTATGTATTATGATTATAACATAATATACTAATTGGGATATCTGAGGGTGTGCGTTAATTACGTTACATATTGTATAATTGTTACAGCAATTTATTTGAAAATAAATTTTTAATAAAATCAATTATATTTTTTTATTTTCCTACTTTTAATGCATTTTTACTACTTTATTACTTTTACTACGTGCACTCATGAGTGAATTGCGTTTTAGGCATAAATTACGGTGTACGGTATAATGTCATATCTGATCAATTATTCTACATCGTTCCTACTACATAAGACCACGCACTGTCGCAAATTAAATTTATCTCTTTGCCGCTTGCGAAAGTTTACTCATGCCATATACTGTATCACGATTACGTGATACAGTATATGGCATGATTAAACTACTTACTAACTACTAACTAACTTACTAAATATTGCAGTAGCATACTACATTAGTAGTATGCTACTGCAATATTTAGTAATTTATTTGTGCGTTAGTGTGCCGTTTTTGAAGATCGAATATTGGGTAGGTAACCTATCTACACCTTTTTACTTATAATATCATTGTCTGAAATGGACAAACTGTTGTAAATATATTTTTGTATTTGTAAGACCTCATGTACACAGTTGGACAATAAATGATTAACTTATCTTATTATTATGTTTTCTATGGTGTTGAATTTTTGTTGATTTGACTTCAGCAACCAGCGGTTTAACATGCCGGAAGTGGCTCAGGACCGTGTTTTGTGTCACGTTTACAAGCCAACTATATAATATAGTATTCTACTATATTAAGTGTCCGTATACTATATTTTAAAAAACATAGTAGTGGAAACTATTATATTTTAATATAGCGTAACGCTCTAGAAGTTTAAAGCAGCAAAAGTATTTAAAAAAATAAGGGTTAAAATTAAAAACATCATCACTACAGACTATATTTTTCGCCATCTACTATATTTTTAAAAGTAATAGCGAGGAAAATAATATATTTGAAATAAAAAAGTGGCAACCCTAATTTTATGACATTACTTAGGGGAGGCTGTTCTTCAGCAGAGGATTTGTGAAAGAATGTATTGATATTGATGACATTATTTAACTTGCTTACATTTTCCTCACTCAAATCAACCCCTTTGCCGTATCTCCTTAATTTTAAGCATCAGTGTCCTCGGCCTGGGCATATCGAATGGTGTAGTTTCTTGGTCACTTGGAAGGGAAGGCTACATTGGCCTCTACAAAACTGCTCAGCAGAGTGGGCTTGCAACTTTACAAGACGTAGGTTTGGCTTCACATTTTTTTTACTATTTTATGCCAGCGCTTAACTACAATCCCACCGGTGTGAAGTTAATCGAATAAGAGAGCGCGCGGGCAATACGTTTGCAAGTTCACTTCACATTTCAATGTTTACTCTGTTTGTTTACTTGAGTGAATATTGCGAGTTAAAAAAATTATGCTTTTTTTAAAGACTTTTAGCGAAAATGGAGGATAATAGTGTTCCTTGTGCTGAATTGAAGTGTGTTTAAGTGCTAATCGGCGAGGTAAAGGTAAAATCTTTAAACCTGTTCAGAAAATACACAAGGTCAAGAGCGTCTTTGACAGTTATCAATTATCGCAATTGAAAAACAGCTATTGGTACAATTAAAACGTTCACCAACGTAATCAAATCATTCCTTAAGAAAGAGAGACGATTTGATTTAGAATATAAATAATTTGTTTTAAATTTGGTACATTGTTTGTACTTTGTTCATGCTTTTCTTTTGTTCATGTATTTTATTGTATGTAAATATCTTTTCCTTCGCTCAAGCAAACCCAAACGGCTTTTTTCAAAGCCACCGAAGGTATGCAATTGCTGATATGTCATACAATCTATCTAGCAGTAGTATGCCTTCTGTGTGCTTTGTTAAACACGTCCTTGACAGCACTCAATATGAAACTGAAGAGTGGAGACAGATCAAGATTGGTGTATTTTTATAAAACTGCTAAAACGAACAAAAACTATCTTAGGCTTGCCCAGTTTGGAGCCCTATCTTCGCCACTGCTGTAGTGTGAGATTCATAGCTTCTTTTTTGGACTAGATTTGATGCCGACTGCCTCGGGACTTGGTTAGTATCACTGCACAACCGTGCTGTGGTCTGCATACCCATAGATAGCGGGCATATCGTCATCATAATTCATCACAACCCTTTACAAGTCCGTTGCTGGTATTGGTATTCGAATTTTCTTTGAATATTCGAACAACATATCAATGTCGTTACATTATTAATAACATAGGCCTCCCCCAAGGAATGTCACAAAGCACGGTCCTGAGCCACCTGCATCCATCGACTTCCTGCATGTCTTACTTGGTCGTTACTCCATCTCTAGGGATCGCCCTACACTACGCCTACCGGTACGGTCGGTTGTCGGTTCTTCGAGCTATATAACCGACCCATTACCACTTCAGCTCACTAATCCGTTGGGCTCTGTCGATCACTCTAGTTCTAGTGCAGATATTGTCATTTCTAAGCTAATCACGCAGAGACACTCCGAGCATAGCCGTTTCCATAGTTCGATGAGCGACCTTGAGCGTCCTCATACGCCAGCAGTGAAGGACCACGTTACGCACCGGTTATACAATCTTGTTTTCAAGTTTTGCGGTATACCTGACGAGAAGATTTGTCATAATTTACCGAACGCATAAGCATAAAATCCGAACGCATCCGAAGGGCATAAGCAGATCATTAATATGCAGCAGGAAGAGAGTTGCGGAGAGAACGGACTCCTGAGGAACACCAGCGTTAGTCGCCACACGATCGGATCGAGCAGCCATTGACGACGACCGGTAGAGACCGTTCACTCAGAAAGTCCTTTACCCAGTTAATCAGACCACGGGATATGGAATACTGTTCTCATCTCTGGGCCGGGGCACCCCAGTATCAGCTCTTTTCACTTGACGACATCCAGCGAAGAGCGGCTCGAATCGTCGAAGCACAAGCTGCTGCGAAGAGATGTGTATCTTTTTTTACATTTTTTATCGTATTTACCACGGGGTGTGCTCAGAGGAATTATTCGCATTAATTTCACCCGCCACATTTCGCCAACGCACATCACTCCAAAATGTACGATACCATCTACAGCATCTGGATGCTTGGCAGTCCATCACTGTGCGATTTATTAGGAGTTCTTCTACGCACGACTTCTTTGTGGAATCTATTACCATCTTTGATTTTTTCAGACCGACGCAACTTAGGGACCTTCAAAAAACGAGCTTGAGCTTGCCTAAAGCAATTTTGCTGGTGTTGAAGTTGTTCATGGGTGGCGGTCGGTAAAAAAAGACGATCTGGCATTTCCTATGGTCGCCTCTTACGGCACCCACGGGACGAAATAAGAGACATTGATTGAGGTATTTATAATGGTATTAGGTATACCACCATGATGACTTATACCACTAGATAATTGGACCCTGGTCTTGTTTATTTACTCCCTGTATTGTTTTTTCTTTAGCAGCCTTTTAAATACTCCACTGAATATAGGCATTTTCAAGAAGGCGCCAAATGACATACTTCTATGGATAAAGAGAGATAAAGAAGTCACAAGTATGATCTTGCACTCTTTCTATTTTGAAATAAAATGCCCTCACAATTAGTAACAGAGATTTAATAGTTTTCGTCATAAGAACCGGGTTACCGTGTAGTTTACTATCCCAAATCATCCCGTGGATGTCGTAAGAAGCGATACTAACTACTAATCTAAATAACTGCGGTTGCCAACGCGTGGTTATGAGGCAACCCATGGGGGAGGGGGAGGGGAGGAAGGGGCTATATTCAGCAGTGAATTTTAATAGGCTGAAACGGAACGGTCAAAAGAAGAGTTGCTAAGAAGTTTTCGTAGACGTGCTATCCAATTATATTCACGCAATAATTTAAGCAATCATTATTATAATTTATGTTATTGCAATTATTACGTGATAACGTAGGAGTTATTTTAACTGGAAACTTAAGGAATGTAAACATTATCCTTATTCAGAAATCTGAATTCAGATAATGTTCTTTTGCATTACTCGCCTGCAAAATTAGTGTTCAAGTGTACAGTGTAAAACTATATTATGTAACTATATAAAAACGTAAATATGAAATATTAGGCTAAGTCTAAATAATGTGAAGAAGGCGAGAGAGGTGTGTCAGGATCGTGCCAAATGGAAGTCTGTAGTCTCTGCCTACCCCTCCGGGTGACAGGCGTGAGTGTTCATGTTTATGTTATATGTTTTCTAAATAAATTAATGTAAATGATCCTAGACAGAATATTGTGAATAACAATATGACATTAGAAAAACCGAAGTTTGGAAATGAAAATACACATCCAGTAACATTTTTGGAAGATCACACAATTTATTTCAGGAAAGTTTACTGGTATGCTTGAAATGAATTGTTTATGGACGGATTTTATACTATCAGTCGTGTTTATAGTATTGTCTGTAAGTCAGCCGCATACACCATGTGCCAGTGTAGTTGACACAAAGAGAAAAGTTGGCATATTCTCCCATTAAATATCAATCTAGCGGGCTAATAATAAATATTTTTCAAACAGCATTAATTCAAATTTATCACTTTTCTCTAATAGTTGGAAAATATTTCTACAATAGACAAAACTGTCCTTCTGTTGGCTGTCTGTAGGCCATGATCATTGTTATCTGATATTGATTGATGAAATCAAAATAATTTAAATTTACACATAATATGAACAAGCGAAAGAGCTAACCACGCTACAAACTTACGTATTTTCTAACCTAGATGAGTTGCATCCATTTGTAAGAATAGATTAAAAGAAATAGAAATCAAGAATAGAAAATAACATGCTATTTCTTAAAATGTATTATAACTAATCTATCTTTATTAAAAACATACGGAAGAAGGGGTTGAAGACTTCTAGCAAATAGGAACTGTGGCATGTACTTTTTAATTGTTTTACTTATGCAAAGATATGTGAGTATAAAAGATTCAATTGTAGTACTTTATCGTATGATCTAATTTTAGATTCTACGAAAGATGTGGCGACTTTATTCAATTTATGATGAGATTTTGTTGTACCAATCAATCTTGCAATAAAATTTTACTAATTTATAATTTCAAATTAAATTTTTTTGAATTTTTAAGTACAAAGACAATTAGTAGTATAGCTATGGAAGTATTGCGTGTTTATAAATAGAGTTTAAAAAGAAATTGATTTTCTTCTAGTACATAGAAGTATCTGTCATATATAAATGGGCATAGATCCCGTCATTTTCTGGGTATGTTTGTTTAATAATAATGTCCTACAAACCGTATTCTGGTGACGGCGGCCAGTTTCAACGGAAACTAGCCATCTGCGGAGAATAGTATTAAAGTGCAGGAGTGTGTGCACGATAGCAAGAACACTCTCTATTCACTCACTTTCATAGTCTGATGAGATGGTTATCCGACACGACCTTTACGTGTTTTCCGAGGGAGGGGTGGAATAATGTCAACTTCTTGACTCCAAAGATTTAAATAGTTAGATGCGCCCTTACCATAGTATGACCACTCCGAAATGTGACTATTCTCAAATGAGTGAGGTCACTCATTCGCAATCAGTGCTCATTTGTGCGCATTAGTGTGCGCGCGTCAGCGTCTTGCAAACATAATGCCACAGTTTTCAAGGCGAAGGCGCATCTAACTATATAAATCTTTGCTTGACTCTGGGTTACTAATGAGAATTTCTTGACAGAAGAATCCAATAACTGAGTTTGTCCCTATCCAGGATTTAAACCTGGGACTACAAAATAGGCAGTCGCGGTACCGAGCACTAGTACAACGAACAACATATGTGTGTTATATACTTACAGCAGTAGATATTCCTTCTCTTCCATATGTGTAGGCGTCATCAATAAGTGAATCGAGTTTATCCTCCCATCCTTCAGGTAAGTATGTTTGCAGAGGACTATGTTGAACAAAGGTACTATTTAAAAGGCTGCCACTTAGTTGGATTACCACAATGGCTTCGGAATATATCTGGAAGAAACAGTTGCCTTCTATTATCTTCCATTGACATAGTTTAATCTTGAATTTTCACTTGGATTTTTAGCAAGTTTTATTACCATTAATATCTTAATCACCACCCACTTAAAATTGCAATAAATTTTTTTAATGATACTGAAGGGCTACTGTGCGCTTTTGCTTATTTACCACGTGCTCGGCGGTGAGGGAAAACCCCCGAAACAATAAATTGCTATTTTTTCAAATTCATGTAAACAATGGCATGAGTTGTTTTATCAAAACATTTACGTGCATTTTAAACAGACGAATCACATTAAATTTAAGCACAAAAGCGTGAAAGTATCTTGAATCATGAAATCTTATAACATATTATCAACTAACCTGTATGCAGACGAAGACAACGGCAACGGTGACAAAAAATATGAGGCCAATGATCACAATGCAAGAAGATACAGTATCGACCGAGTCGTATGCCATTTCAGTAACACTACTGTTACAGATAGACAGCATTTTGGAGACGCCACGAATATGCGCCGGAACTAATGCTGATTTCCTGCAAAATATATGAGTAGATTACGGACCTAAATAATATGGATGTAATGTTACATTGTTAATGTGTGCAGCACCCTAGATTCTATAATTTTGTTTGGCATACACGAGATACATGCACACAAATACATCAAAGTCATCAGTCAATAATCGGCAATGGAGCGCGCGTCAGCCCTAATGACCATAAACTTTTTTATAGGAGAAAGTGATAAACGAGCACACAGTCTACGTGATGGTAAGTGGTTGCTGTGACCAATAGATATCTACATCTATCCTGATTACGAATCAAAATGCAAATGCGTTGTCACTCGTGAGGACTAAGATGGGGTGCCTTCTCCACAGTAAAAACGGTCTTCGGTTCTCTACACTCATCATACGAAACACAACAGCATTAAGCTGCGATTTGACGCTGGTATTCTGCGAGAGCGTGGTCCTTTCCCGGTCAAGCCAACCCATTTGTACTATAACTATACTACTAATAAAGCTGGGGTTTGGCTCTACCATGTCAAAACTACTTACTATTTTATAAACATAAAATTGCTATTTTTATTAGTAACATTCCATTCAGTACACAGTGTCAATATCACAACTGATGAGACGATAAACGTACATGTCTATGGGCTACATCATCACATTCACTTATCATCACATAAACCCTGTGCTCTCTGTAACTATTACTTCTTAAAATATAACAGTTGATGCAAATGCCTCCTCCTTCATTTCATCGGCTCATAAACATATACAAAGTTATAGTCCATTTGATGGTAAGTGGCTACTGCTAGTAGTGTATATCGCCATGGGCCATAATGGGTGAGATTTGCCATGCCTAAATGAGAGCATCCATGACTTTTTCGACCAACAAACCGGCGCCACTTTGGAACGAGGTGTAATTATTGACAAATTTCATGGCGGAGGCAGGTCATTTGTTAGAAAAGTGTGGAGATTAATATTTATATCTTATCTATTGGTTATATTTTATGTTAGTTTTTATTACGTGGAGAGCTATGCTGTAGCTATATTGTGGTTGCATCACGAATGGGTCGGCTCGATCGGAGTAGGACCACGCTCTCACAGAATACCAGCGTAAAATAGCAGTTCAATGCTGCTGTGTTTTGTAAGGTGAGTGTAGAGAACCCGAGACCCTTTTTACTGGAAACACGGCATTCCAGTCCTCAGGACTGCATTTTGATTCTTTATTGAAGATAAATGTAGATGTCTATGGGCCACAGCATCCATTTATCATCAGGTGGACTGAGTACTCGTTTGTCACCCTTATACTATAAAAAAAGTTAATTATATTGGAAATTGTAAAATTCCTAAACGTAAAAGATTTAAAAAATGTTAAAAATGTGAACATGGCACTGAAGTATTGTTTTGTGTATATACATACACAAATACGGAAAGACTTTCATTTAAACCATAATTTTTGAAAGATGATACTGTGTGACCATTTCCGTAATAAATAAAATCACCTCTGTCCCAACTAGCGACATATTATGGTGAGCGTAAGATTATTATAACTCGGTATTTTACTTCTATAAGGAACTATATCTATATTTTTGTACTTTTGTGAGGAAATCTGGCATTTCCTTTTTACAGCACCTATGGGAGGAAATGGGTTGACTGATTGTCTTAGGCTGCTCAACTCGGCTAAAGCGAAACTTATTAAAATGTCATCAATCACAGCCACAGCCAAGGCCATATTCCTGATAAAGCTCAATAGTAATAAAATACAGCAGTAGCAAGGACCATCATCCCGTCTTGTCCCATAGGTGTCGTCGTTATACGTCGTAGAGCCACGCTGTTGCTATATTATGGTTGTAGCATGAATGGGTCGGCTCGACTGGGGAAGGATCACGCTCTCACAGAATACCAGCATAAAATAGCAGCTTAATACTCCTGTGTTTCGTTATGGTGAGTGTAGAGACCCGGAGACCTTTTTTTACTGGAAATAAGGCATTCCATCTTAATCCTCAGGGGTGACAACGCATCTACATTTGAAAGAAAGAAAGAAAGATTTAGAAAGTTTTAGAGGAAGAAAGAAAGAGAGATTTATTCTATAAAAAAATTGACAGTGGGAAACACTTTGAATACATGCTAGATGTATTGACCATCTGCATATAATAATCTTTTGTCTTACATACATAGTACACTTTGGTTGGTTTTGGATGAGGTCCTCTCTTGTATAACGTATAATAGTAATATAAAACAGTGTGAATCACCTGTCTCCCCACCAGCCTTTAACTTTAGCCATCACATTATTGTAGTAGTTTTCAAAAAACAGCCACACTCCAAAAAAGTTTAGCATCCACTTAATGAAATGAATTGCCAAAAAGAACACCATCACAGGTAACAGCCAAATATGTTTCCAAACCAACATACAGAAGCAAGCAAAGAATAGGAGCTTGAAATATATAGCTGATTCATCATCATTATTAAAATTGTTTCGCATATAGTTCTCATCAAGGGATCTTTGTTTATAAGATGCTAAGATGCGGTTTTCAATTGGCGGTTTTGTTTTAACATTAGATAGAGGTAAAGCAGATAATGTTCTAGTTTTAAATAACATCTTTGCATGTCTGGGTGAGCTCTGTGAAGACTCGTTTCCAGTCCAGCTTCCTCTTTTTGTATTTGCATCTGGAGTCACTGGGCTCTCTTTGTCAGGGGTTGAATCTTTATCAGAAGTAGATTCTTTATCACTACGCTCTTCTGGAATAGTATCTGATACTTCAGTTTTGTCGCTCTTAGTTTCTTCCTCCTTTGTGATAACTGCTGTTTGGTTTCCATTTGTAATAACCCTATGTAGTGCAACTAAGACAGAAGTTTCTGGATCTGCAAGAAATTAAAAAAATTTGCACAAAACAAAACATAATTGAGAGAAATTTATTTAAAAGCTATTTAAAATCATGTCAGATCTGATAGTGCATAAAAGTGCAAGCTTTATAATAAATTATTCCACTGCATTGCAGAGAGGATCTCAAAAAAACAGGGATACAAACCTTTCACTAACAACTGCTTGTGAATGTGTAAGACTTCAAGTATGAAACCTGTGAGGCCAATAATTTGAAGCATCACAAACATGTAGACTTGATACGAGCCACACAAACTTGCCAAGTAGCTAGCTATGATTAGCCATAGGAAATATGATGTGGCTCTGAATATATCTGACCTCTCAGGTGACCATAATATATAAACACTTATAATATATGCTAACGCAAATGTCAATGTCTGAAAAAAAAGAGGGTAAAATTTGAAGTAACACACTTTTCAGATACCATTCATTTTTAAGCTCAGTTAAATCAAATTTCTAATATGTTACTATGGTCTCATCATATGTAATATAGCATAATCCAAGTAACAAATTGAGTTCTGTAGATTTTTAAGTTACATAAACATTTTTAAGTTATAGTCTGTTCACTTAGATACGGTCGCCTTTGTGTCGCGACGCCGTGGCACTTACCGCAACTTGTCAAAGACGCCGCCGCGACATCAAAGGTAGCCACAGGCGTATTTGGCATTTTAAAACAATGACCGTAGTGAAAGGTTCTTTGCTACCTAACTTGTGTTTATTATTTATATTCATATTTTATTACAATAGCCATGAGAATAAATTAGTATTCTAGTTTATTCTAAGAATAGAAAAAAATTATTTGACAAACACAATAAAAAAATGAAATAAAAGCATAATAATAAGCACTTCTGGGTGTACTTAGTGAACCAGACCATAATTATTTGACAAAAAGTAACTCAATACTATACTATGTCCATTTAATAATGCTAGAAATTAATATGAGACTTTAAGTTATTAATTTTATGAACTAACAATTACTGCAATATGTGAACTTACAGTATATGAGCTGCATAAGTTGATAAGCAATGTAGTAGAGACACCAATAAAATTAGTTATCTGCCAAAAAATGCAGCATAAACTTCTTGGGATTGAGTTGTACAGCCAGGGAAATATGAATATAGCAGAAAGGAGGCCTATTATAGTCTGAAAAACAAAAAAAAATACTACAGTAAACCCTCGTTAATGCGAACACGGTTAACACGAATTTTGGTTTAAGGCGAACAAAAATTTGCTCTAGACAATAGTTCCATAAGCTTCAATGTAATTATGTTCGGTTAAGACGAACCCTCGTTAATCCGAACTTCGAACAACTTTTTTGTCCCTTCACGGTTAATTATCGGATAATACGAACTATAAAAATTCCCAAATCATGTATTTTGTATATTTTTGACCTTTTTCGGTCAATACAAATAGCGGTAAACAATGGCATATGAAGAGATTAGGAAAGTCATTAACTCGAGTTTCTAAAATTAGACAAAGGAAAGGATATCAAACATTCACGCGAGTACCTAAAAATAGAAACAATACCTCAAATTTTAAAATAATAATAATGTTAAGTTGAAATTTTATAATAAAAAAATATTGTAAATATAAAATAATAATATCAAAGTTATTAATAAAAATGTTTCTATGATGAATCATAATATTGAGTTTAGAAACACGAATTCATCTTTTGCATTGTTCGGATTACACGAACTCCCCTGTAACACGAACTATTTGTCTGATTTTTTCGTGTTCGTGTTAACGAGGGTTTACTGTAACTCATTTATGATGATTAAGGTGACACCGCGAAAAAATGCACCTCCTTTCATCGAATAGTATAGGACTATGAAACCACTAACGAAAGTGGAATTTTGATATAGGTAAATTCATGTCTTTATCTTGAATTTGATTGTTCAAAAACACGATTGTATAATTTAGATTCGATCATAATTATTTGCAAAAACACCTCAAAAAAATCACTATAGTTGAAATTACAACGAAATCACTTAATCTATATGCTTGGTAATCACTCAAGTATATTCATAACAACAATATTCAGAATTTACTTGCTCATTATTTTGATTACTTAAATCAATAATTTATAAAAAATATTTTAAGATTCTGACAATTTTTAAGCTGATTTATTCGTCGCGTGCACTACACAAGTTTAGACCTTATGACCTCGGATCAGTATGGCAATAGCCTGGAGCCACTTTTTCGATGTGTCGTCTTAAGGCAAATTCTCCCTGAAACAGGATAGGCCCATGTCCAGAGATGAACTTTAATGGGTTGAATGAATAATAAGGGTAATAAAACAAAATGTACTAAGTTCATTATCAATTCAATGTTAAACAAATGAATTTTACCAGTGTCCTTTTAAATGGCAGGGAGCTGAGTCTTGTTCAATCACCCCGTTTTTCTCAAAATGATAGTCGATACAAAGCTTTAGTAGGGCTCCTATTACTAAAAGATGCACATAGTGCAAAAATAATAATAGCTTGTAATAGATAAATTAGTTTATTTTATTTATATCCAAACTTATATCCAAAAACTTTTGTTAATTATTATGTCATATCGAATCTTGCTACAGGTTAATGCAACAGACAATGAGACTATCTTTATTTTACGGAAGAGAGTTATAAGAGCAATTTAATAAATTGTTCTAAAGATATTGATATAGTAACTTTGGCCTCGTAGAGTCCCACAGACTACAGACTTTCTATCGGCAGATAGTTTGGTCGGCTTCTTAATCAGTACGAAGAGGTATGCATGCGCACATTACAGTGATTACGTATCGGCCGATAAAAAATTTTGATGGGCTTCACAATTGCCTCCAAAATAAACTATCGGCCGACCACTTGATCAGTATGGCCTTCTTCCCCGCCCGCACACTATCCGTTTATCGGCTGACTCGGCCGATATTTATATTTATTTATTCTGAACAATACAAGTTGTGTTGAAGGTTCAAGGTTGTTGAAGAGTGAACTGAAGTGGTTCACACTTCAGTTCACTCTGCGTTGGATGCACAAAAGGTCATTTGTGTCAGTGAGCATGCATAATGATTCGAATTTGTTCCTGCTTGTCGAAACATACCGATATTGACATCCTAATTCAGGTAATTGAAAAAAGACCAGCAACCTATAAAAAGAATTTAAAAGAGTACTCTGATTATTCTTCTCTTTTGTTTTGTTAGTTTTTTTTTAAGTAAACAATAATAATATTTCTGGGCACCATTTCATGTATCCGATCTCTTCATCAACTCCATCGAATGTATCAATTGGACAAACGGCCGACTGTTGATTGGCTAGTCTAGCTAGGATCCCTAGTATATTTATGGAAATTTGATGTATACACAAAAACAAAAATAGTTCTACTAAAAATAGATATGTACAACATTCTGTAAGTACTAGGAACAAGCACAAGATAGTAATAAAATTTAGTAGACTTCAAAGTTTACTTTATAAATCAGAAATTGCTAATTCATGTCTAAGTAAAATTTTTATTAGCTATTCTTCTTAAAAAACTGAAGTGAGGAACAAACTTACAGTCCATGTCTATGGACACCTACAGCCAACTTCGTAGGCTATAGAAGTTGTTACCTCCAAGGACTAGGATGGAATTTTATATGTGGTAGAGCCATGCTGCAGCTATGTTAAGGTTGTAGCATGAATGGGTCGGCTAGACCAGGGAAGAACCACACTCTCACAGAATACCAGCTTAAAATAGCAGCTTAATACTGCTGTTTTTCATATGGTGAGTGTAGAGAACCGGAGACCCTCTTTACTGGAAACGAGGCACTCCATCTTAGTCCTCAAGGGTGACAACACATCTGCATTTTGATTCTAAATCAAGGATAAATGTAGATGTCTATGGGCCACAGCATCCATTTACCATCAGGTGGACTGTGTGCTCATTTGTCACCCTAATTCTATAAAAAACAGTAATTATACTAGATCTCTATACTCTTCAGACCAGAACACAGCTAGCATTACTATTTGGTGGCAGCAATAGGTAAGAGGGTGGTACCTACCTAGACAGATTTCTGGGCAGAAAAGAAGTCTGACCAACTAGTATTGTATCACCATATAAAAATATTGTCATGATTTATTCTGAACCAGTAGTAAAAACAAAAAAAAAATAGTACAAAAATTATCCAATTTAATATTTTTAAATTTAATAAACTGGTAGCTGGGACCTGGGAGATATAGGCTATTAACATTTGCAGTATAACAATATAATGTAAAATATCTGTTAAAAACATTAAAAGTATACTGAAATTACTCACTTTATAATGCTCTTTGAACTGATTTCCAACAGTGTCCGAGGCGAAGTTTATAATATCCACAGGGATTACCATTAATCCAAATATCACAGAGGTATTTGATTTTTCCAAGTTTTCAAACCATGACTTTATCTGCCTAGATAATTTGTACTTGAAAGGATGGAGAATAGATCCAACAAGTAAGGCCCACAAAAGCGGCTTAAAAAAGGGTTCGAGTATAAGAAATAACACGTATACTGCCACACAACAAATTGCTAAAATAAAAAGTGCAAAAGCGTTGTAAAAACCATGTTTCATAGGTTTTTCGTTGCCTTCCGAAAAACCACCTATTATATTAAATATATTTTCAAATGGTGATTGTTGCATTTTTCTTTAGTTAAATTAACAGAGCACTAAATAATAGGTAACATCTAATTAAGTCTAAGTTATAAGGAGTAGTTCGAAATTGTTTTATAATGAGATCATAGCTAAAAGAAAGATTTTCGGCAAACGACAACATCAACATCAAAATCAAATGTCAGTTGTCAACTTGTCATTTGCTGTTTGATGTTGTTGTTGTTTTTATTATTCAGCAGGCAAAGGAACTAAGCTATACAGCCTTGTCTTTTTTTTTAATTTGAATATATAGAATTTTGAAGTGTAAAGGCCGGAACCAAGTCTTATTTTTCTTCTTTCCATCTCTTGAAAATCCATAAATCCATTTTCCATTTTCTTTAATTCTTCATATTTTCAAAAACCACAAAGGCTAAAGCCAAGCTGTCTTTATATTATAATCTTTATAAGTTTCAATCCATATAGATTTATCTAGCCAGTTTCAACGTTCCGCGCTTTTTTCTTTTTTTCACAATATGCTGATGCGTCACATTGCGAAGCCCTTGGGAGATTTTGATGACAACTCAACCCAACGGACAGTTGATGACGACAGCCACTCAAGTTCATAAGGCGCCTAAGCAATCAAAATAACTTCAGGTTTCTATCGACATCAAAGCACTTGTTTCGTCGTTTTCTCTAATAGTTCATACGCGCAGATAATTAATTCACAAAATCACATCACTTTTACGAATTAAAATCCACTTCAAACCATTATTCAAGCGACAAAACAGGAGTGACAGTCCGTCTTCGGCCGAGATCCCGACAAAACTCCTTGCTGTATGCGCACTTGTCAGCCAAGCCGTCAAAGGCCGTATACCATTACACATCCAAGTCCGATTTGTATTTTGTTCAAAATATGCTGATCTGTAACATTGCGAAGTTCTTTAGAGATATTGATGACAGCTTAAGCCAGTGGACGGTTTGCAGTTGATTTTACGCTACTACGCGGATAAAAAAAAACCCTAAAACTTATATATCACCATCGAAGCACTTGCTACATCGTTTCCACTAGTAGTTCACACGCGCAGACACTTTAATACACAAAATCGCACCACTTTTACGTATCAAGATTCAATTTAAGTCATAATTTAAACAATATAACAGGAGCAGCAATCCACCGGCGCGGCGACGCAAGGCGTTTTTCACCTCTGAATATAAGTATTTATTAAAACAAACCAGTAAACTATGGTTCAAATACAATAATCTATCTTTTTATAGAAGAGGGGGCAAACGAGCATTTTTTATATTAGAAAAAGGATGATAAACGAGCACACAGTCAACCTGATGGTAAGTAGATGATGTGATGCTGCATTAACATCTACATTTATTCTCGATTAAGAATCAAAACGCAGATGCTCTGTCACCCCTGAGGAATAAGATGTAATGCCTTGTTTCCATTAAAAAAAGGCTAAAGCCAAGTCTTCTTTATATTATAATCTTTATAAGTTTCAATCCATATAGATTTATCTGTCCAGTTTCAACGTTCCGCGCTTTTTTTCTTTTTTTCACAATATGCTGATGCGTCACATTGCGAAGCCCTTGGGAGATTTTGATGACAGCTCAACCCAGCGGACAGTTGATGACGACAGCCACTCAAGTTCATAAGGCGCCTAAGCGATCAAAATAACTTGAGGTTTATATCGACATCAAAGCACTTGTTTCGTCGTTTTCTCTAATAGTTCATACGCGCAGATAATTAATTCACAAAATCACATCACTTTTACGAATTAAAATCCACTTCAAACCATTATTCAAGCGACAAAACAGGAGCGACAGTCCGTCTTCGGCCAAGATCCCGCCAAAACTCCTTGCTGTATGCGCACTTGTCAGCCAAGCCGGGCAAAGGCCGTATCACCCGATATAGGCGTTACACATCCAAGTCCGATTTGTATTTTGTTCAAAATATGCTGATCTGTAACATTGCGAAGTTCTTTAGAGATATTGATGACAGCTTAAGCCAGTGGACGGTTTGCAGTTGATTTTACGCTACTACGCGGATAAAAAAAACCTAAAACTTATATATCACCATCGAAGCACTTGCTACATCGTTTCCACTAGTAGTTCACACGCGCAGACACTTTAATACACAAAATCGCACCACTTTTACGTATCAAGATTCAATTTAAGTCATAATTTAAACAATATAACAGGAGCAGCAATCCACCGGCGCGGCGACGCAAGGCGTTTTTCACCTCTGAATATAAGTATTTATTAAAACAAACCAGTAAACTATGGTTCAAATACAATAATCTATCTTTTTATAGAAGAGGGGGCAAACGAGCGTTTTTTATATTAGAAAAAGGATGATGAACGAGCACACAGTCAACCTGACGGTAAGTAGATGATGTGATGCTGCATTAACATTTACATTTATTCTCGATTAAGAATCAAAACGCAGATGCTCTGTCACCCCTGAGGAATAAGATCTAATGCCTTGTTTCCATTAAAAAAGGGTCTCTGGATCGCTACACTCACCATACGAAACACAGCAGTATTAAGGTGCTATTTTACGCAGGTATTCAAATATACCTGATGGTAAGTGACTACCACCGCACATAAACAACCGCAACACCAGGGTAATTACAGGCGCGTTGTCGGTCTTTTAGAAAGGAGTAAGCTCTTTTCTTGAAGGCAGTCCCTAAAGGCGGCCATTCGCGTCGCGACAGAGACTAGCGACCGAGACAAGAAACTGAGATGAAGACTCTTAGACCATTCAACCTAATGGACTCACTTCGTATGATTATATCCCTCTGCCCAGGTACCGGATTTAAAAATCTTGTGAATGTATGAAACCGTTTACGTGATCGATTTTATCATTACAGGAATCGTTTTCATCGTTGTAGGTGCTCTTTGAAAAATGCCGCTCTGTGTAGTTAACGTATGCAAAAAGAAGTCTAATACTTCAAATTTACAAAAGTATGGAGTTACATTCCAAATGTAAGGATTTTCTTATATGCTTTCTTTCTATTATAATCATAATAAAAACATAACATAAACACTCACGCCTGTCACCCAGAGGGGTAGGCAGAGACTACAGGCTTTCATCTGGCACGATCCTGACACACAACTCTCGCCTCTCCCACATCAATATACCTACGCATACATGCTCATCGGTTAAGGGTACTCCTAGTTTGGCCCGTTTTCAATATATCGCCAATTTGGTCGATATACTTCCACATATGACGTCCATTCCGACTCTGCCGTTCACTTCTGCAACATAAATTTTCTTTGTCACTCTTTCCTCATTCATTCTTTCCACATAACCAAACCACCGAAGCATTCCTTTCTTAATCCTGGTCACAACATTATATTGCAAACCACACTCTTCTCTTATTACACAATTTCTCACCCTGTCATTCAGATTCAGCCCTAACACACTTCTTAACGACCGCATTCCTACTGCGTTTATTCCACTCTCGTGCTTCTTTTGCCACACCCAACTTTCACTACCATACGTTAAAGTAGGGATCAACACAGCACTGTGAATGGCCGTGTCTTTTTTGACCCATTCTGACTCCTCACAATAGAGTGCAGGGCCTCATTTATTATATTTCCTGCGTTCACTCGTCGTTCTATATCATTATCATATCTCCCATTCCTGCTAAATACGCATCCCAAATATACAAACTCATCTACTTGCTCGATCAACTCACCTTCTATTCTTATTTCACATATAGTTTTGCTTTGTTCTTTATCAAAAACCATAGTATAATCATTTAAAATCTTAGAGCATCATTACATGGAAAGAGGCCCCCACCCCAAAAAAAAAAAAAAGAACCAAGCCCTTTAAAATAATATCATAAATAATAATCGAGAACTTTACCAATAAGATAATTGAGTACGTAATATTTCATAAAAATCGTAGTGATAATCGAAATGTGACAACCACACTCCCCACGAGATTATATTTCTTTTTAAACAAATTCCACCCTAGTGTATTACGAATTAGGTTTAAAATTGAATGGCTATGGCTGTGGGGAAAGTGCTATCTTCGAACCAGCTGCCCTAAGCGAACCGTAGAAAGGGAAGGCGAGCGATCTCGAGAGGGTATTGCGGCTAACAGCAGTAGCAGGAATACGTTACTATCGCACACTACAGCGGGAAATCGCATGGCAACGCAGATGCATTGTCAAGAAGATCTTATCCTGATAAGTGTAAGAATAGTACTAGGCAAGAGGGTAAGGAAGTGCTGTCTGTGAGGATTCTCAGGACAGACCACCTCAGCAACGAATGGAAGGACAGCCTACGACATGCACAGCAGGAAGATTCGGACATCAAGCCAATTCTGGAATGGATGAAGGCCAGTGCTCTCAAGCCCAAGTGGAGCGACGTCTCAGCGATGAGTTCGACCACGAAAATCTATTGGGCCCAATGGGACAGATTCCTGATTCAAGATGGAGTCCTGTGCCGTAAATGGGAAAATGATCGAGGAGATCGATGTCATTTGCAAATGGTTTTCCCTAAAGCTAAAGTGCCGGATGTTCTCCAGCTGTACCATAATGGTTGTTCAGGAGTCCATCTGGGAGTTAAACGAACTCTACTGAAGATCCGGGAACGGATTTACTGGGTCCATTATCGTGACGATGTCGAGGATTGGTGTCGCAAATGTACAAGTTGTGCGGCTGTGAAGGGACCTCAGACTCGTAGTAGAGGTGCATTGAAATTGTACAATGTTGGTGCACCATGGGAGAGGACAGCCCTTG